ACAATAACAGATTATAAAATCGTTTTTAAAACTCTTGTTCAAAAGGTAACTAATTTTTAAAGCCGTTTATCAACATAGTACTAGTAATTGTTTAATTTGTGTTCTACTTACTTAAATTTACATAATTTTTTTATGAATCTATTGTTGTTTTTAATATAAAATTACAATATATGTAGATGCAGTCAATTCCATCATTTATTGTGGCGTCAAAAAAGGTCAACAGTACGTTAAGGGCTATAAAATCGTTATAATGTATGCTACCAGAATAACTATCAAAATAGATAATTATATCAGCAGATTACCTCAGTATATTAGTTTTTAAAAGGGCTCTATAATTAGTATTTTTATATGAATTCTTGTTAATATATTTTTTAATTAATTTTTAATATTTGAAACGTTCATATCATTGTCCAATCGATCATCCAATGTGTATATGAACCTGTCTGTACTAGGTAATTATCACATATCGCTAAAGGACGCGTAGGTACATTTTTTATACGCACCTAATATAAAAAATAAAACAACTGTGACTTCACAACACACGAGGATGATAATTTGAACTCCGGAGTCAAAGAAGGTCGTGTTGGAATAACAAATCGCGAACAGCACCGGTGCGGTGGCGATTTGTATTGTTTTTTTTACAGCTCCGGTTCACTCACGCGCAGTAATAATACTGGGTCACGTGACCATGAAACGTCCCACGATAATAATATCAACCCATCGACGGCCAAAAGGTGCACATCCCAATAACAGAAGATACCTACTATATTGCATCTTAATCTCAATTAATAGATTTCATTTTTATTTTTCTTCACATGTACTCAGGTAGTGTGCAATGTGATGACACCTGGCTCTGTTTTGTTTTCTGAACAAATGTTAGGTTGGGATCGGATTGAATTACGCGAACAGGTTTCTTTTGGACTGGTTGTCTGACAGGTCTGGCTGTACCGTTTAGTTAGTAATGTTTCATTATAGGTACATTTCTGATAAATATAGCTCTGGACTAATATTATGAAGTGAAAATATATACTGTATAAATACTAAATAGGCAACATAGTTCATCTTCGTGGGATAAACGAATTTCATGAAATTTTGACCTCATATTCCCGCCTTGTCACAGGAAATATTTTTAAGATTTTGTTAATACTTCAAATTTCATATTTAATGTATATTTACATGTATTATATTTTGAAATGTAACTGCTTGCGCATCTAGTCATAGAATGTAATACTTTATCTTCCCTCTCAACTTTGAACGGTTTTTAAGGATGGTTAATAATAATAATAATAATAATAATCATTTATTCAGCATAAAAAAGCGTACAGATAAAAAAGAAAATTTAAAAACTAATAATTCGCTATGCTGAAAAGGCTTCCACTCAGCTGGTGCCGCAGCGTATTACTACAGCGCTGATTTTCAGTGGAGCCACTTGAAAAAAAGAAAAAAAGAAATAGCATTCGTGATAAATTCAAATCAAATATCTAAAATGAAGAATCAGTTAAATGGATGAATTATATGTGTGATAAATAGAAGAAAAATATATAAGGATAAAAAAGTGTTGATAGAAAGACTTGTGTAATATAGTATAGCTTGAATATATTTATTTATTTAATCAATATATATGTATATAAAAATACTGTATTTATCTGGTACGTTTAAAATTTTTGTACTTTGAGTAAATATTTTTTAAAATTATGTTTAAAAGACGAAACTGACTGAATAGTATTTTGAAGCGGGGGTGGTAAATTGTTCCAGCATTTCGTGGCAGTATATTTAAAACTTCCACGAAATGCTGCAGTTTTATATTGAGGATAGATCATGTAGGGATGTGACAATCGATGATTTCGCATAGAAAATGAAAGTTTTTCAAATAAATATATTGGTTTCTTATACTTCACCACTCCAAAAAGCAATACTGCAAAATGTAGAGATCGTCTGTGTTCCATTTTTAGCCAGTTGCATTGATTTATATAGGGAGTAACATGAGCACGGGGGGTATAGAAAAGCAGAAGCGTGCGCATGCATTCTGCACGCGCTGTATTATTTTTTTTGTACGATTTAATAGACAGCCTCCGTAGACTGTGTCCGCATAGTTGAGTTTAGACAGAACTAATAAATCACATAGAGTGATACGCATTTTCTCACTTAGAAAATCACGTACTTTATACAGTACTCCTAGTCTATAGTAACAGTTTCTTATGGTTTCATGGATATGACTCTCGAAGTGTAAAGAGCTATCCATAATGACACCAAGATTTCGAACTTGATCAACAAATATTAGAGGATTTTCTGAAATTGACAGAGTAGGATTTTGTGCCATGATCTGATTTATTTTATTTTTAGTACCAAGTACTAGTAATTTTGATTTTGTTGGATTTAAAGTAAGACCATTTGATATCGACCATTTCGCTATATTGTTCAAATCATTATTTAACACTGCTATATCTGGATTAGGATTATAGGGATTTATAGATTTATACATTTGAAGATCATCTGCGAATAAATGATATTTACAAATTTTCATAGACTTAATGATGTCAGCTGTGAAGAGTATGAACAATATCGGCCCTAGAATAGATCCTTGCGGAATACCTTTTACAACTTGAGCAGATGATGATGTTAAAGTGGGAGAATTTGTTGTGGTCAATTGTACTTTTTGATAGCGATTACTTAGATAGCTAGAGAACCACTTTACTGTAACGTTATCGAACCCATAAAAAGTCAGTTTGGCTAATAGCAGTGATATATTAATGGTATCGAATGCACGAGAAAAATCTAATAGTACAAGAATAGTAACCTTGCCTAAATCTTGATTTGTTAAAATATCATTTACTACATGTGTAAGTGCACTACATGTGCTGCGGCCCTTTCTAAAACCAGACTGTAGCTCAGGCAGTATGTGATTAGACTCTAAGTATTCCGTAATTTGAATACAGATTGTTTTTTCAACTATTTTGGACAAAAATGGTAATATATTAATGGGTCGTAAGTCTTTTAACTCTGTGGGATTTGTATTTTTGGGTATAGGTTTAACTATGGCCATTTTCCAGGCATTAGGGAAAGTACTAGTTTTAAAAGATAAGTTAACTATGTCAGTTATTACTTGTAAAGTTCTAGGTAAAGTTAACAATATCATGTTTAGGGAAATACCATCTGATCCTATCGCGTTTGATTTCATAGATTTAATCATTTTTAATATGATATTTGGTTCCACTAATTTGAATTTAAACACAGAGGAATTGAAACGATTTAAAGCAAAGTGTAATAAATCAGAAATATCAGGAACATTATTATTAGGTAGGTCAAGAAAAAAGGCATTTATGGCATCTGGATCACGTAAATGAGGTGGCAGTTCTTTAACTTTAGTTTTAAAATTACCAACATTATTTTTAACATTTTTCCATAAAGTTTTAGGATCGTTTATGTTTTTATTTATATATTGATTAAAGTACGCAGATTTTTCACGATGTAAGGCAATATTAACTGTACGTTTTAACTGTTTATAGTATTCTTTATGTGAACTCAATTTAGTTTTACAACTTCTAACATAAGCCCTATCACGTAACTTCATCATTAGTTTAATTGTATCAGTTATCCAGGGGTATGTATAGTCCTTAACAAAAATTGTCTTAATAGGAGCATATCTATCAAATAATTTAATTATTTCATGATTAAAATTATTTACACATTCGTTAACGTCTTCAGTTAAGAGTGATTCCCATGCAATAGAATTAATAGCTGTATTAAATTCAATCATATCGATATCCTGTAATGGTCTATAATGTATCCAATTTGGTTTCGGTTTATCTTTTCTTACATCAAAAGTACAGGTTAAGAAAGCATGATTGCTGAGTTCACGTATATAATCAATACATACATGCGTTGTTCTTACATTAGAACATATAAGATCTATTAACGTAGTACTGTGTTCAGTATAATGTGTTGGCTCAGTAACATGTTGTGATAAGTTTATGTAGTCTAAAAATTCTCTAAGTTTTTTTGTTTGAGAATTTTGAACATTTAGAAGGTTGGTATTGAAATCTCCGAGTAAAATGGTATGATCGAATCCTGAAAATGTAGTTAGAGAATTAGTAAGAGCATCAATGAATATGTCAAGATCTAGCCATGGAGGACGGTATGCAGTACCAATTACTAGTTTTTTAGCGTTGATGTTAATACTTATCCACATTTGTTCTACCGATGGTGTGTGTGGGTGTTTAAGAACACGAGTATTTAGTCCAGATCTTATGTAAAAGCCTACGCCTCCGCCGCGCGTACGAATATCAACAGGACGAGGTATGTGACGGAGATGGTATCCGGGAACAATGGGAGCCCGTGCCTCTTCTCCAGTTCTAAGCCATGTCTCGTTAATGGCCATCACGTCAACTTGATGTCGCGCCATAGCCACAAGGAACTCGTCATGTCGTGTACCGAGAGAACCAGGATTTAGTAACCCTACAGTAAATTTTTTATTTCTTATAAATGTAATTACAAACGCATGGAGAATTTGTATGTACTTATTATTGGTTAAAAAACGGCTTAAGTATGTTATGTGTCGCCAGTTAGTTGTTTCATGTATTGTGTTTGAATTATATAGTGTTGAATATGAAAATGTGATTTGTCGATGATTTATATAGAATATAGTATTTTGTTTATATATATAATACATATAACATTTAAAAATTATGTATATTATATTTTTTTGATGTAGTATTTGTTTAAAAAGAAATATAGAAATGCTGTGTCTTTTTTTCATGTTTACATTATTATTCATCGAATATATATGAGAGACTGGTATACTGCTCATCACATGTAAGGCATATACAAACATTAAACAATCATAGTATAGATTAAACCACTGTAGATGTCGACACAAACAACTGCAATATATATGACAACCACAATTTAAAATACAATTTGAAAAAATATATTTCTTTCTTTTGTGTATAGTATATATAGTATTGAAATTTATTATAGAACAATGTATAAAAAAGTAATTATTATTTTGGTCCAACGGGATATTCACCAAAAACCTTGTTAATCTCTGCAATAGATCGGATTCTGTGTACTGATTCACCAGGCTCTCGACGGGTAAAAATTTTTCCATGCCTTGTCCAAGAAAACCGCCATTTAAAAATACGACAAGCCTCTCTGACTTTGTAAAATAGTTGTTTATTATCCCGTGTAAGTCTTTCGTTTATATACAAACGGTTTGAGTCAGTCTGTAGATTGAGTCCACTGCAATCGAGTCCACGGCGCACGCGTGCTGCACGTAATAGTTCATCACGAAGAGAACGGCGAAGTAATCTCACGACGAGTGTGCGCGGTCGTTTCAGTTTTTCATCTCCATATGGATCCACTTCATTCTTATTTTCTTGTCGTGTACCAACTCTCTCCGCATTTACAATATCGTTTTCATTAACCTCCAATCCAAGTTTTTTAGATACCAAAGCTACCAAATGTATAGGTCTTTCATTTTTTTCTTCAGGCAGTCCATTTATTTCCACATCATTATGTAAAAGCTCTTGATCTCTATCGTTTAACTCCGCCTGCAAGCGTGCAACAGTATCTGTGAGGTCTTTTTGTGTATCAAGACGTTTCTCAATAACGTGTACTCTGTCTTCGACGCTGGTAATACGAGTCTGAATGCCTTCTAAGACCATTACAAATTTATTCATATCGTGACTGAGCTGGTCACTTATTTTTTTGAATTGTTCTGAAATATTTTGTTGAATTATGATCTGTAGAGAACCAGTCATCTCCTCTTTTATAATTTCTCTTATTTTACTCTCAGTCACATAATTATTTTTATCACTAGACTGCTGGGAATTTTTTGTACGCATTGTAATATTTGAGTTTTCTTGATCAGATAAATCTGACGCAGATGCATCTTCATTGTTCCTCGTAAAAGACTGTTCTGTCTGTGCGGACGTAGGTATACTTTTTGAGATAGATTTTGTTGTTTTACGATAGCATGCAGTGCACTTCCAGTTTACTCTATGCTCTTTTTCCATTAAAAAGAAACGCTTTTCAGTTACATTAGCACATGCAAGGTCGTAATTTAGTTTACATACCACACAGGTTAAGAATTGTCTATTTCTAATATTATTTTTACAAGTAGTGCAAAGTCGCGAGTTGCTTGTACTCGGTGTCATTTTGTAAATTAAGCGGTTCAGCGAAAAGAAGTGGTAGTAGAGCCGTAAACTTCAAAACGCTGCTTTCTAGCGATGTAGCTACTATATTGGGCAATTGTAACGATTGCGTATGGGTGCGCGGAATCGTCGATCGTGCGAGTTGTCCTAGGTCAGGATAATTTGTTAAATATTGTCAATTTAATAAAGTTTTTTGCTAATTACTCACTTAATACAAAGAGTCCAGAAATGAAGTAAAGTTCAACACTTTATACTATTTATCTAGATTTTGTACATATAACTCACCATTAGTATAATTCACTTTTTACCACTAAAATACATTTATTTTATGGAGCTATCATAAAACAGTGTTGTCACGAATGCTATTTTTTTCAATTTCTGGTTATGGTATGGTTACTAGGTAATAAAAAGCCTTTTCGTTTATTTAACATAGATATATTTACCCATATCTATTAATAAGGACTAATATGATGTGTACAAACAATCACACCTAATAAATACAGAATACAACTATTGAATATATTTCATATAGGTGCCTATTATACTTGTTCTAAAAGGTCATATTTTTTAAATGCAATTAATAAATAATGATGGAGATGCACTCGTTACTTTTAGAAATAATTTTGAATGCAATAATGATTAAAAAAATTGCATGACGTATGATTATACGTGTGCAATGTGTACGAGTATGTGCAACTGTATAGGATTGCAAAATCAGTACAGTTCAGGTGAAGTTATCGCGCCTATACAACGGACATAGCGGCGAATTGTTAATCTTTTACAAGCAGTCGACTGAAAATAGTCTTTAGTTTTTTGAGCTGAGTTAAAAAAAATGGTATAACAAGTAGGTATAAGCAAATTGCTGTACTACTTTTTGATATCGTCGCTTCTTTATTCAGGCTACTACACCTCTACACGTGCACCTTGTTACTATAATAAATTTTAATAAATTATACCGTACCCATGGTATTCCAATAGAATACTTTTTTGTATATTCCATGATAAGTTGAAAGTTACATAGCATAAATAAAATAAAAACTGATTTACATTATACAAATGAACCCCTTTCATAAGTTACCCCACTTGAAGTAATGATCGGTGGCTCAGAGAAGACGTTTTAATATGGGTCTGACTGCCAGACGGCATTGTCCCACACGGGCCGACTGAATCATATACATATTTATATCTGGACGTTGAACGTCGTTGAAACCATGTTGATACCATTTTGAAATTGAGAATATATACTAAGAAGGCAGAGAATATATACTAATAAATAAGTATGTGTGCACATATATCATGCTGTTTTGCTGTTCTGGCTTGGAATCATTATGTAGTTCGGAGTCCTATGTATGGATCATTGATAATTTCTACCCTCCATATTTTATGCAGCCCTACAACACTAAAGTGCAGTTATAGTGATTTTTCTAATATTGAATATCATCAATATATAATGTCTGTAGCTGTAGGTCTGCAATTTTTTAAAACCCCATCTATCTGTATAAAGTAAAAAAAATGTTCCTATGCAGTACCTAATTAGGTATAGTTACTGTAAAGCATGTATATGTGAAATCATCGTCCGAGAAAATATAAATGATTTATAAATTTTCTACCCCTTTACAAAGTGGTTTTAAGTATTATTACGAAACATCCTCGCACTTCAAGGAATATTCTAAAAAAAAAGAATTATCGAAATCGGTTCAGCTGTTTTCAAGATTTGCGCTTAGCAACACATTCAGAGTTCATTTTTATATTTTATAGATAAATGGTATGTATGAAACGAACTTGATTATTCGACCCTTACGATTTTATTGCAAGTAGATTAGTGATGGCTAGTGGGGCGAGTCAGTCAGCCAGTGCAGACTGGACACCGCGGCAAAAGGCGCGGTTGTTCACCACAGTCCCTGGGCCTTTACTCTGCCTATAGCACAGGGCTGAGATGCATCCAGTACCTATGTCAATGTAAAAATTTTAATATTTAAAAATTATAAATAAAAAAAATTTCAGATATTTATGTGTATTTTTAATTTTGAAAGTTATTATTTTTTTCTATTTCGACAATAAGTACTTATTAGTATATATACAAGTGAATGGACTTTGGCGTCTATCTATTGCTGTTACGCGACATAAAGTGCTATTAGTATTGAGAGTCACCTGTTACCAGTTTTATGGGTCGATTGTAATAAAAGTGAAATAGGGTTTGAATATAAAATATTTCATAGGATTAAATGTATATTAAATATATTTTTTTCGGGATTTCTTAGCCGGGATGAGTCAATATTTAAATACATATATAATAAAAAAGAAATAAGATTTATATATTTTTTTTTCATTTACCGTTAGCAAAGGCGGGTCCGTCATTCATTATGACACAAAAAGCTATTTAAAATAAATAACATAGTATTTCCTTTTTTGGATAGTCTTCTACTCCTAGTTCTCCAGAAACCGTGTACAAATATCTCAAAAGTCATGACAATGCAATGACAAAACAAAATTGTAATTTGACCTTGTTGCACGATGTCGTTACTAAGTTATTGTTTACAATTTATTGAGTGTTACACCAATGAGTCATTTCAACGAAGTAAAACACACATCTTAGCCAGCTCGTTCCACTAGCTTTTAGTACAGAATAGGGTACTGAGCATTTCAGCACACTGGCTGTGGTTGCTGTACAATTGTGCACTAAATTAAAAATATCACTGTAGATAGGTACCTACTCTCTTTAAATTTTATATCGTCACGCTGACATGACGTGTTGTTTAGTTGAAATTACGTAAGTTTAGATCTCAATCCACAAAAATCTCTGTTACAATTAGTAAAATTATATTTTTTTAAAACAGTTATTAAAATGGATTCAAAGGTAGCGAAGGTATCGCACTCTTACATACAAAAACATTGTCATATTTAGAACCTTGATTTTCGACGTTTTCTGAAAATAAACATTAAAGATGACAATATTACGTAACAATATTATATTATAAGACTATATCAAACTACGGAAGGAAAATTACTAAGATTGTAGTATTGAAGCCTTTGTCCGAGTGTCGTATCGCTGCATCGTGACTCTCATAATAGATAATATTCGCATTTAATTATGTAAAATCCATTTGTCTTATTCCATCCATCGCTAATTATGGAGTTAGTTACATATTAAGCTTTAAATCTTGAAACCTTCAAAAATTGTATCAACTTTTGTCGTTCTTCAATTTATTTTCTTTGTTTGACAAAAAGGGATAAAATTCCTAACAGTTAAAATAGCTTCCCAGAAGGTATAATTTTACTATTACGAATTATGTACGAGAATTATAAGAGATGTACGAGTTATTATAGTAATATACCAATTATAAAGAGGCAAACACAACACTGAAAAGTGCCAAAATATATCAAATCCTATATGTAATGCGAACCGTACTCACTATTACAGATGTAAGTTCCGACCTAGGTAATATAATAAAAACTAATAACATACAAACAAGTTTTTTAGGTTATAGAGGATAATCTTACAACTACAATAATTTCTTAAAAATAATTCAGCTTTTATGTAGCATGCGATTATAGAATTATGTTGCTGTTATTGTATTTGAGCAATTCAGGGTGTAAAAAAAAGAATGCACTCGAACTATCTATGCCATATACATATATAATATTGTAGTTTATGTATGTATTAAGTTAAACAATTTGGCAGCCCTGAAAATAATGCTATGAAACAATCGTTGTTTTCCTAGCAAGTTGGTAGAGATAATGTTGCCGTTATTTTTATTTTTCGACGTTGGTAGAATACGTGATTTTATGATATATAGTATAAATAATATAACGATATCAAATTTGTCTGATTTGTATTAATATTTCTCTAGTATTACACTTCATCTAGTATTACATTACGATTTTAAGTACTTATTAGTTACGTCACGATTTATTGACTGTAATAGTTACTCGAATAGGTATATTACATTTTTTGTACAAATATGTAGTAATCTTTTTATATCGCGTATCGTCATTAGTCTTAAAACTGCTTGCATTGTTTACGTCATAACATAGTGGCGCCACCTTTGCTAAAGGTGGGTCGCTAATATTAGATGTCTTTTACGTATATTTATTTATATATCCGTATTTGTACTTTCTTATTTTATGATGCCTCCTGTTTAGGACATATTTTTTTAACCGTACCTACATTATATTAATTGTTACTGCATTATTAGATTATAATTTAATGAAATAGTTTAAATTTATAAATATAATGTTTATAATGTAAAGTATTAAGACAATACCGAGCTAAAAAAATACTAATGCAGATTAAAATATACAGACAAAATCTGTGTATTGGTATCATTTGAAGTTTTCAACTGGCAACATTTTTAGTGACAGCCAGCGACTAAACCAGCTGTGTGGAATGGATTGAAAATATTTCGACAAAAAGCGTAGTTCCCGTCCTTGATGTGTCATCCATTACGATAATTTCTTTAAAACGTGGTATTACTTACCTAAAAATTCTTGTTGTATTTCAAACTGTCGGAATTGCATTTGTTTTACAAGTATTTTTGCAATATCCACAAATCAGTACCAGGTAGTTGCTGCTAAATTGTTAAAATGTTTATGTAACGTCGCATTGTCAGATCGCTGACTGCGTATTTCATCTTTTGTTCCAGATAGCTAAGCAGTGAGTGTCAGTGTCGCGTATCGACCGTGAGTGCATCAAGTGTGACGGTGATATCGGTGCGAGCGTTTGAGATGTGTTTGTGAGGTGTCGGGTGCGGTGCAGTGGATGCGAAGGCAGCGTTGTAGCGCTCGCCCTGGCATGGTGCCGGGAAGGTAGCGCGCGCGGGCGGCCTGCGCAGGCCCCACACAAGCACCCGCGTGTGTCCCCCAGCGTCGTCTATGGCCGAGCAACACATTACACCGTCGTCGCACTCTGCACTCACGAGAGAGTCCAGTGGGTAAGAATAATATGCTGCTGTCATTCTAACCACTAACAATAATTTTCCATAAGAGCAACTAACAGTACTAGCACTCGCTCTAATGTAAACCCTGGCCTGCTTTCTTCTGCATTTTTTTTCCTTATGTTTCATCTTGCACTTTGCTTTACTTTGGTATGAAGTTATTAAGCTTATTGTTGCAAGTAACTGTAATGATACAAATGCTGACTGTCCACCTGATGAAAAGTTGTAACCATCCTTTATAGACAGGATACAATACTTTATGGTTACCAGATTCAACATTTTTGTGTCACATAATACTCCTCATGTATTGTCATTCCGCAGGCATTGTTCTCCCATGCTTCATCAAAGCGCTCTGTTTATAGGCATAAATAGATGAGGCAGTGAGACACACAGATAACTTTGTACTAAGTCCCGGAATGAAAATAATTGGCTTAGGTATTTTATGAATCAGTAGTTGTAATCTTAACACAAGATTAAAATAAAGGACCTTGTATTGAAGGCTACAAGCTTGATATATATAGACTTTAATATGTATAGGGATAATGATTTCTATTGGTAGATGGATATTGAAAGGAAAACCCACCTGCATAAATTCACTGGACATCAGAGTAGGATGATCATGTAATACAATATGGTAATATTACCTCAAATTAACTATTACTTTTTAGAGGGTATACCTACTTAGGTATTTTGTTAATAATATTCCACATTACTGTATTGCCCCTCCCTCATTACACTAGTCTACAATATATATTGGCATAATATATATACTGAATGTATATTGTAATAGGATCCTGGAACTATTTTATTTTAAATACACTAAAATGGACATTTACTAGAACAATAGAATCTGGAAAGAGTGTAACAAAGTTGTTCTGTGTGTTAAAAATGTTGTTATTGTTATATTGTGTACATTTTACTGGAAATTAACTTAAAAAACTGATTTACATAACATATTGTTTATGAATCTAAATTTGACAAAACAAATATATAGGGAAATGGAAGTATATATTGTTTTACTGTAAATAAGCAAATTCCAACTGGAAATTAATTTACATAGAAACAACTTGTATGCCAGTAAAATTTATTTATTATAGAAAATACTATTCAAAGTTGTTGTAAAATAAGCAAAAAATCACACATAAAACACAATTGTATATCACAAACAAAAATACCATAGTATAGTGACCTTCCCCATTTGGGAGAACAAAAGACAAATCATTATGGTCAAGGGAACCTATTATGAAAAACTATCTACATATGAAGACTGACATGTTCAAAATAGTTTACAAACTGTATTTAAATAGATAATGCATTTAAATAGATATTACATTTTGCATTTCAAATGTTAAATACTCAATAGTTTTTCATTTTGTTTTTAAATTATAAATGCAAAACCTGTATCTTCAATATACTGTATATTAAAATACAGGATTCTTATAATTCTAAACTTCATTTACGTTATTACAAAATTTTTATTAAAGTTGATAATGCTTAATTTAATGATATATAACAATATTAAAGCCCATTTACTATAAAGTTTTAAAGTACTATTTAGAGTATTATGTGAAATGATTTTTTATATGACAGAATCATTAAAAATTCTGTTCTGCTTTTTTCTTAATTCATTTATTGTGGGATTTCAACAATTTTATATTAAATTTAGAAGTTGATAACATTTTTGGTGAACTGTTTGAAAATATTTAATTATGCATAAAATTTTTGTGTACTCATCATAGTTAATTGAGCAACTGTATATTATTAAACAGATATATATCAAAATCTTAAAATAAAAGTAATGAATGAAGAGGAAAATTCAATACTCACCAATTAATATGAAGCAAACCTTTAAGCTTTCAGATTTCCTAAAATTACCATGCCCTGATAATCATTAGTCATAGTCATGCAAGTAGTCATATATTTTTACTGGTAGTAAATGTTGTTTCTAATTATAACAATACCATTTAAGAACATAGTAATATACTAAGATTTTGTATCAAAAGTTTGGTTTAAAATAACAATCAATTCCAAATTAGTATAAAAACTACAAAAATTAAATTGTATTGGTTGCAAAAAGATAATAGTAGTTCGTCTACTACCTATTAGCAAAAGCAGCACTGTCAAATTAAGAAACCCCATCTTGCCAATCAGATAACAATGTGGTGTCATTTCTAATGGTTACATAAACTCTGTATGATTGGGTCAGTTTTTTTGCAGAATTTCTTTAATTTTAATTCATCATTGTTTTAAGTTTGTAACAAACTTCAATATATATTTTGTATAAATAAATTCAAACACATTTATTTTTAAAATGGCCTGTTTATGTCTAAATCTCAATGCACAATAAAGTCTTACAGTACATTATACAAATGTTTAATAATGAAATAACTATTTAGAATTATTAATACACATTTAATTTCCTTATTCCAACAACTTTAAGGCGACTCTATTTTTTAATGCAATAAAATGTAACATTTTATTGCATTCTTATTTTATTGCATCTTAGTAACTATTGGAAGAATGGGGCCATATTTGTTTTTTTTTACTACAGGGAAGAGGGGATTATGTATAAATTTGTCTGTGTAACTTAACATCTGCAGAACCATGTTCTACCAGGTATCTGAGCTTGTTTTCTATGCTAGTAAATGAAAAAAAAAATACTGAAGGTAGATGAGACTATTCAATTATTATTAGGGTTCATTCCCAAATCGTTGGGTTTTGTTCCCGGAAAATCAAGCTCGAGAAAAGTCGAGAACTCGAGAAATCAAGTACCTATATAGAAATTAAATTGCCGTTTGTTGTATTGCGTGGCGGCGCAATAATTTAAGATATTAAGGTTTTCTTCCATGTATTTTTTTTTTTGTTTTACAGAAACTATTTTTGTTTACAAGTTTAAGGTAGATTTTTTCTAAATAACCAGCCAAAAATGGTGCTGTCATTATAAATATAAGTTTGAATAATATTAGGTCCTAACATATGAAAGTGGTGTTTTGTAAAGGAGTAACCTGAAGTTTTTTTTTTCAAAATATAACATGTGTATTTAATCAAACTATGTACCATTGCTATTTATGCACTTTTGCCATCTCATAGGTACTTCATTGATCCCTTTACTGAAAAAACATTTGAACGGGAACATTTGGACATATCAATAAAATCTTTGAACTTTGGACTGCCCCATCGAATTTGAGTTTTTTCTCAATCAGTTATCCAAATTTCGAAAAAAATGGTAATCTGTTGGAGCAAGATCCGGGGAGCAATTGTAAAGTCTTAGACATTACAATTGAATCTCTTCTTATTTGGTAAATGTCAGTTGTACAGTGTGTGGTCTAGCGTTGTCCTGAAGCAGCAGTAGCCTACGGCGATTGACCAGCCTCGGTTGTTTAGTAGCTAGCTTTACCATTATGGTTTCTCAATTGCTGACAACACACATCTGCCGTAATCATCTAGCCAGATTTAAGAAAGCTGAAGTGAACAACACCGGAACTAGTCCACTAAACGCTCGCAAGTAACTTTTTTTGGGTCAAATTTCGCTTGGGGCAGGTTTTGGTTGGTTTACCAGGGTTCAGCCATTGCGATGAGCGTTTCCAATTATCATACAAGACCCACATCATCACAGGTAATGATTCAGTTTAAAATCCCTTTATTATTATGCCGGTTGACTAATGTAACGCAGCAGTCTATGCGCGTTTGTCGATCGAAACGCGAATTGTCTACTCACTTCATGAGGGACCCACCTTTTAAGCTTTTTCACCCTCCCAATTTGCTACAAGTGGATTAATACAGTTTTGTCACTAACACCGCAACCTGCAACTAACTCGGACGTGGTTTGCGATGGATCTGCTATAACAATTGCCTTCAATCCTTCATTACCAACCTTGGACTCCAGCCGCCCACGGGGATTATTTAGCAGGTCGAAATTTCCAGAACGAAAAAGTTGCAACCAACAATGCATTGTGTTTTCTTTTGCGACACCACCACTATACACATCATTAATCCTTCGAGCCGTTTCTGCAGCACTAGTGCTATGGCGGAACTCGTACTCGTACTTGTAAATGACGCGATATTTTAAGTTTTCCATTTTGTAAGCTGAGTGACCCAAAGAAAATTGAAATTTCTAACCAAAGAGGAGACATTTAAGATCAAAGTGGCCAGTACGACAAAACGCTAATTTCATACGTAACCTTATATATTTGAGTATTTTTAAAAAAAATTGCTTATTCATAATATGTATAATGTTTTTAAATATACCAATCCAATAAGGGTTTTATAATTAATTTTATAGTTAAATTTATATTTAATATTTAACAAAAAATGCAGTGGTTTTCGTAACAAATGAAACCACTGAGTTTTTTGACGTTATTGGAACCAAATAATATGAGAAAACGTACGTAAATGTAAATTTCTCGACAACCCGAGAAGACCCGAGAAATTAACCTCGAGAATTCTCGAGACCCGAGAAATTGAAAAGCTCGAGAAATCATGAACCCTAATTATTATGCACATATATTTCTAAATCACAATCATGTATCTGTGCACTTCCCAAACATTGACTGGAGAGAATGTTATAGTATTAAGTCCAGTTTTGTACCATATTTTAGTGGTCAATAAAGCAAATTAATTAATTGATATTTTATTCTATTGTATTTTTCCTGGTATACAAGCTGTTTACATACAAAATTAGTCTCAAATTAGACTATTTCTTGTATGAGGAATTGACATATGTTTTATTTAAAATATTTTATTGTTGTTTATTTGATATACAACAATCAGGCATATGTTATTTTACATGTAGAATATAATATCAATTACAGTCAACCCTCCTATAACGCGGTACTCTCAGAACGCGGTTTCCGTATAACGCGGAGCTAAAATTGCGACAGCCCTCCTATAACGCGGTACTCTTACAGCGCGGTTTCCGTTCAACAACGTCCCATCAGTTCTTTCCGTGCACCCAATGAATGGTTTTAACTGGATATGTTTATATCAGCGTGGTTCACGGGTGGGTGGTTCTCCTCATGCGCTATCTTCCACTTCTATTAACTAAATAGTTTCGCATCGACAGCGTGCCATGCGTGTGTGTGTCTAACGAAACTGTAACATGAAAGATATATATGTGATCTTTTGACTACATTGTTGCGTGAACTATAGAAAAACTACGTTCTGCTTATGTCTTAGCCGCTTAAAACCAATGTGAAGATCAGCCAAGTGAGGAAGACATTTTGCCCATTAAAAGAAGGCGAGTTAGGCGACTCATATCTGACAGTGAGGATGAGTGTTGAAAGATTACATCATTTTACAAAAGTCTTTCTTTTGTTTTTGTTATAAAACAGTTTTTTAGTTTAGTTTTTGTTTCATTTTTTTCATCATTTCCTTATTTTTATTGAATTGAAGAGTTCATACTCTTCAATTCAATAAAAATAATTTATAATTTATCTTGTCTTTTGTATTTATTGGTCTCCATATAACGCGGTACGAATGATGTGATTTGTACTTATTCCGAGTCTCTTATAGCGCGGTTTCCATACAACGCGGTAGACGGTTTCCATAGAACGCGCTACGAATTATTAATTGTATGGTTAAATCCGAGTTTCTTATAGCGCGGTTTCCATACAACGCGGTACGCACTCACCGCGTTATAGGAGGGTTGACTGTAAATATATATTAAGTAAAATATTGTTAGTTTAAAATAATACTGCTCATAACAATAAACTTGGTACTTTTATTAATAATAATATTATTTGTGCAGGTCTTCTCCTAGCAGGGTGGTGGGCGGTCGGTGGTTGCGTCAGGTTCGTCAAGCGAATCACAGTCGCAGAAATAGACGTAACGTGACGTCGCCCCTGCCGCGCTCCACCAGCCGTAATTCTTCCAGCCGCCGCAGCGACGCTGAGCGGCAGGCGCCCCTCGAGCTGCGAAGAAGCTCACGTCTCATTAGTACTTTACCTAGATCTGATTACTCCATCACTGAACGCTGGTCTTACGGCGCTGACGTATACGAAACACGCTGTGACACTATCAACTTCAAAGGTGGAGACATCCATAAGTCTTCCACGAACATATATCCGAAACGCGGGCGAACTTCTTCGCATGAAAGAAAGAAACGCAAGAGCTATTCCACATCGAATAATAGCACTGACGATTGCGTCGCCTACTGCACACGCTCACGGACTGCTCTTAAATCTACTGAGAGTGCTTGTGAGCTATTACCGGACAGTTTAAAAACACAAACATTGTCACACCTAATTAACCAGAACGCCACAGTTACTTCAACTCAACATTTGCAGTTGAATCAGTCGGAAGGAGGCTTACTGCCGTTGGAGGATAGAGACTTTGCTTACTCGCCATTTAGTTCGTCGACTGTAACAGAACTTCTGGATTCTGACTATTCTGTATACAGTCCTACAACCAGCCGAAGGAAAGGGAAGAAAAGAAAACGCTCAGCGCATCGTTCTTTATCTAATAGGCGAAGCAATTTCTTAATAAATTTCGAGGAGTGTACCAAGAAATTTAAAATTGATTCTCATAATAAGGAGATAGCAGATACAAACAAGGAATTTCCAGAAGACAAAGTATTTGACTTTGAAACTGAGAAATCAGATCAGCCGTCAGCGTCCTTCACGTCGTGCACGTACCTGCTACGGAATCGACACCACCGTGACCTCGGCCCTCCTACCTCGACTATTATTAGTGACCATACAGGTACATTATATACACCGATTACATATTAATAATTAACAGTAATAAATCACCATAAACTGCATCATAATTATTTATACCCAATTAGTTGATCGACGAAATTATTATTAATATTAATAGTTGATTGACGCATTACTGCAATCACATGTACGTATTTCAACTACACTAAAGAGTTTATTGTGGCATTCTGCTCGCATCTTATCAGGCCTGTTATCATTTTGTATCAGCCGCAATCTTTCAAAGTGATAATATAGAATTTCGCATTGTATAATAATATTCATGTGTCAATATTACAGAACACCCGTCAACGAGTGACGCGGTACAAATCAGCACAACACCAGAGCACAAAAGCGGAGCAGATAGCCGCGGAAGGACTGTTACTCCTCCGCTTTACAAGGATATTGAAGGTATTAATAGTTTTAATGATAAGCGGCGAATATGAATATAGTCATACATCATAGATCGTACTGTGAGAGGAGAGATATGAATTTTCAAAATCAGCTTGTACTGACCATGGCATTAGATAAAGCCAGAGTTGTGTTAGGATAAAGACGTTTGATATTTCAATCTGTCTACATTTTTAGAAAACAAGAGTGATACATTTTCATATAAATATGAAATCATGATTTGCACATTTTAATAATATTTCAGTGAAACAATTGTTTTTATTTTACAGAAGCCAGCTCATCAAAAGCGCATAGTTCGGGCAGCAAACTTCTTATAGTGCCGCGCGACCTTCCATATTTACGTCAAACTAACGCGCGGAGGGTAAAATGACATATTAATTTAATAATATTAATATCATACCATTTTAGCTTGTAACAGAATACATGGATTACTAATAGTGTCCTAGTACCCAAAATTATTCATTGTTTCCTTATTTAGCTATTGATGTTTACATTTGTGAAGTGATAATTATAATTTAATGTTAGCAATAATATTGATGATGTAATGTAATTTAATAATATCAATATATTATTAAATTAAATTTGTTCTTTGCACTTCTTTTCAATAAAAGAAGTGCAAAGAACAAAAACATAATTATTTTATATAAATTACTTGCAAAATCCTGCTTTTAAAAATTTCCACATGCTACATTTATTATCATTTGCTCAGAGTATCGCTGCTGCAACGGGGGCGACCCTGGGAGCTTGCCTGACGAGAGGAGCCAGCACTTCTCAACGTCAGAGACAGGATACTTCTTCAAAAAGACATGTGAGTTCTAAAAATTACCTTTAGTATAATAATAATAACCCAGAATAATACACGCTACGTTATTTGGCTTTTATTATGGATACTACACAACTGATAGGAACAATCATATATATCATATCATATAGGAATAGAACCAGCAACCTTCGGAAGTAATGTGGTGGTAAAGAAAATGCTGTTGAGAATGTGACTTCTAATAGACATAAAACTATCAAATTTTTAAATGATACTGTGCCCTACATATGGAATCTTATTTTATTTAACATAATTTATTATCTATCGTTATTTACACATGTCCACAAGTCGACTACGCGTTCTAATTGAAATATCAATATGGAATAGATATTTTTATCAATAATCAATTAATGCTAAAATTTTAATATTACAAGATCTTATCATATAAAAACAATGTAGGTATCGCAGACAGTATGACGCGTGGGTACTACAATATGAAGCAAAACTAGATTGTATCACTAGAACGGATATAGACCATCTTTTACATATAAATACAGATTATGTGGCGGGTAACAGCCAGACGGCCGCCTTTGACAGGCTCGGTGGTTTAGTAGTTGAGCACATCACTTTACTTCCGATGGTTGTGGGTTCTATTCCTCGCACGGTACAAACATTGGTATTTGTAAATACGATTGTTTGTATCTTATATGTTTTCTAAGTATATTATGTATGTATTTACAATATAATATATAAGTATTTATATCAGTTGTCTAGTACCCATAAGAAAAGCTCTGCTTTAGTCGGGACTAAGAGACGTTTTGTGAATTATCTAGGCTTATTATTATTATCTATACATATAAATAAAATTGGAGTGTCTCTTTGTAATATTAAAATAACAGTTTTTTACTACATGCATATGAATATAAAACTGGTAAATACGCCAAAAAACCACTTTTTAAAATTTTTGTCTGTCTGTCTGTCGGTCTGTTTGTTCCCGCTAATCTCTGAAATGGCTGGACCAATTTTAACGGGACTTTTTTTGGCAGGTAGCTGATGTAATAAGGAATAACTTAGGCTACTTTTATTTTAGAAAAATACAAGTTAAATTCCATTCGCGGGAACCGCTAGTTGTAACTATAATCGTACGGATATGATGTCATAAATTATATAAGATGGAGACAATTAGGTGGTCACCATTTAGTGTTGTTTGTGTCAGACGGGAGGCAGCGAGGGCGCGGGCAGTAGCGCGGCGGGCGGCCGGCGAGCGCGGACTCGCGACATGCCGCAGCCGCAGCCGGCGTCCACGCGTCGAGATAAACGAGGTACCACAACCCCACACCGTTGGTAGTACCGACCGATCACCGTTGGCCATACTGTGCCTCTACTGAGCAACAGTATAATACCACTATTTTATTTTGTAGGCTCGATAATAATAATGATAATCTTTATTAGTTTCAAATATCAAACTAGTACAATTGCTGCTTATAATAAAATTAAGTGGTATTAATCAAGACAAGACTGTCTACAAATCAGAGGGGGCAGTGAGTCCACCCTCTAATATTTTATTATAGAAAGAAGAAAACAGGAAAATATTGTATTATAGCCTTTACGTTAAATTATTACAATAAAATAATTAACACTATAGCATTAAGTTCATAACTCTCCTCTACTAACAAAGTTAACATAAAAATAATAATAACCAAATATATCTCTTCCGAATGGTCTAAGAAATGGCAACTATGGGGCCGTTCAAGTATTACGTAAGCACTATAGGGGGGTGGGGGTTCTTTTCTTTGCTTATTTTGGATGACATGGGGGTGGGGAAGTCTGTATGATGATTACGTCATCGGTCGTAATTTACTTTTTTACACGAATGGCAACCCTCACATTGTCTTTGCTAAAAAAACAATACATTCATTGAGAAATGTTTACGTAAGCATGGGGGGAGGGGTAAGAGCTTTGCTTACTTTTGCTGACAAGGGGGATGGGGGGTAAATAATTGTGATAAATCTGCTTACGTAATACTTGAACAGCCCCTATATTGTATAAACAACAAAGTTTGATGTGTTTTGTTTTGTACCTGTAGAATATATTTACTGCAACTTATAATTTCACTTTACCACCTTGTTCTCTAGTTCGAACTACCTACATATAATTTGTTTCTTATTATTTTTATTTTTGAGGTGTTAGATAAATATCGAAGATTGTCGTCGGATATGTCATGAAAAGTAAATAATATACGATAGTTTTCCATACAAACTAATATATAAAAAAAATTTTTTGACTTTCAATAATCTCGCCTTTAACTTTTAAAAGGTCACATAATTATTTCTATTATAATAATTATTTTATTATTGCAGGCAAAAGCAGTCTGGGTTCGTGTGCCAGTACTGGTGGTGCGTCCAGCCGGTCTCACCCCCAGCCTCTAACCACGGTAACATTTAATATATTATAATTTTAAATCTATTTTTATTAATTGGTTTTTGATAGTACGTGATCAAAAATTTATTGGTAAGGTGGATGTTTATTCGTGTAGCTCTAAATTTATAAATTTTGTCAGTGAAAGTTGTCATATCTAATAAGGAGTCTTTTCTACATATATTCAAACCACCTTAAAGCGGTCTAGATCCTTGACCTCTTAAAGGGGTCGGCAAAGTATGACAAAGTATAACAAGAGGTAAGGGGTAAGGAAAGTTGCGAAAAATTCCTGAATTTGAAGGACTTTATGGATGGCCCCTAATAAGCAATAAAGAATATTATTTCGTGATTTATGTTATAGACAGTTCATTTTACATGTATGTATTGTTTTTATGTAGGGTGCTGTAGCATCCACTTCTTCCACACCGCCGGCTTCCGCTTCGGCCGCTTTAATGCCTGACAACGCGTCAACTGACGCCAAACCAAAGGGCAAAGGTAAGTACTTTACAGGACTTCATTTTTGTCTTAAGGTTTGAATCACAGCATCATACTACATTAGAACCACAATTCAAGATTTATAAATTATTAATAACTCCATAGTCACATGTCCGCAATTTTGCATTGATTATTAATAATTTAAACGGGGCTAAAGCACGTACGAATATAGAACGCGAGATAGCGCGAGCTGGCAGCGCCCACGGTGTTTCTCGTTCTCTTTGTCTACATTTACATTCTTTCATGCGTGATAACCTATCCGTGTGAAAGGGTACGTGTATCAAATGTGACGCTGTCGTTATTTATACGTATAAAGATGTCATGTTTTTTACTAATTAAATAATGTAAACATAGCTAACGAATAGTAATTGCGTTCAGCGGAGGAGTGCGCCGGCGGCGGGAGCGGCGTGGGCGTGGGCGGGGCGGCGGGCGCGGGCGGGGGCGGCGCGGGCGCGGCGGGCGAGGAGTCGTCGTCGGAGGAGGGCGAGGTGGGGCGGCTGCAGGCGCTGCTGGAGGCGCGCGGCCTGCCGCCCCACCTGCTGGGCGCGCTCGGCCCGCGCATGCAGCACCTCCTGCACAGGACCGTCACCGCCAACTCCGGTACGCACACACTCTACTCCTGGTCACCTCCGATATAACTCTCATGTGACTGGACTGTAATATAACATGTGTAATTCGTTGGCTTAGAAATGACTATTGGTGTTGATTCTATTTAAGGGTTAGGTAACTGTTTTCCAAACTTTTTAGTGCCACGCTTTGCTATTCGGCAGTTTGTATTCACACAAAATTCTTGAAAATGTAAATCTGAACAATATTTATTTAAAAGAGTAATAAATAAATTTCTTGTTCAATCTTAATGTGATGAGTTTGCATTCCGAATGTGAGGAAGCATAAAAATGTGACTATTAAATAATCTTTAAATTAAGTTATTTATTGGTTATTTAATAGTTTATAATTAAATAATTTATTTGCAGGAATATTATTTCTATGTATGCTCACAACTCCATTTGGTATTTCTATTTTTCCTTCTATTCATATAATATTGTATGTTAGTGTTGTAATTAGTTTGATATGAGTAAATACGACAGATTAATAAAATATCTATACTAACTGAAATACCTAAAATGTTATGAAAACTTTAGACTCTAATAAAACTATGTATAATAAATCTTATAGCGCTGGTCTAGCAGTTTAGAACGCCACCTTCCATTCGATAGCCGAGCTTTCGATTCCTCGCACAATGTAATTATTGAATATACCTGTTTACACTATTAATCCAGTAGAACTAAATACTATAATTAATTGTATAAACGAAAATAGCAGTATTATGAATAATATTTTTATCCATAGCTGCTTCTAAAGCTGCCCAGTTGTTAGCCGGGCTGCAAGCTACAGGTGATGAAGGCCAGCAGCTTCAAGCGGTAATAGAGATGTGCCAACTGCTCGTAATGGGAAATGAAGACACCCTCGCCGGCTTTCCGGTCAGGCAGGTGGTTCCGGCACTTGTGAACTTGCTTGCAGCTGAACACAACTTTGATATGGTAAGTGTAAATATAATTAAGAAAGAAATGATCGCGTCAAACTTATCGCGTATACTTATTTTACCGGGGTATTCTTTTTGATCTCTTCGTGGATACCTCAGTTTCACATATTATAGGCGCCAAGCAGCGGGCGTTGTAAACTGTGTTTGGGTTTTGTATTTGAGATAAGGCAGTGAATTTATGCATAAACAATTAAATATCTATGAAAGACAGAGATTATACCCATATATGCCTTCAAACGCTTTCTGTTTTACCTAATGATTAGCTGGTAAAGAATGCTATATGGCATTAAACTTGCCAGTTGTACTTTATAAATAGTGCATTAAAGAATAAATAATAAACAGCAATAAATATTTGACAGCTTTTTAATTGTTGCTGTAAATTTGCTACGTACTATATGAACACACATGCAAATAAAACACGTTATAAATTGCTAAACACAACATTATAATACTCTCCAGAATTGGCTAGTACAGCCTCGTCGAAACGTTGTGAGAGACAAATACCTTTATTTGCCATAAAATTATTCGTGATAAGACCCAGTTAATATTGTAGATAATGTATTATAATACTCTATTCTCAATAACTCAAGGTTGCTGTAAATCATGAGTGGGGTTGTTTGCAGATGAATCACGCGTGCCGTGCTCTGACGTACATGCTGGAGGCGCTGCCCCGCAGTAGCGGCGCGGTGGTGCTGGCGGTGCCGGCCTTCCTCGACAAGCTGCAGGCCATCACCTGCATGGACGTCGCCGAGCAGAGTCTAACAGCTCTTGACATGCTCTCGCGGCGACACTCCAAGGCTATACTGCAGGCGGTATGTATAGCGTTTGTGTTAATGTAGAATACCCCTTATGTCTTTATTACACTCGTAAGTTAAAATAGTACATGAATCATCAGTTGAGTCGTCGGTTTGTTTACCATTCCAATTAAATTAAAAAAAAAAACATGTAAACAAGAACTACTTAGTCTTCTAGGTGTGATTTTCAGTCCTTTGGTACCCACTGTCCTATGCATTTTGTTCCACGTAACTACAAGTTATCCTGACTATGTTTTGTGATTCATATTAGCTTTATAAAATGAATCACAATCAGATCAGATGATCAGATCATCAATCGCATCAGATGTGTTATAGCAGCCCGAGCATAAATACAATGAGATCGCTGCCACTTTATTTAAATATCGTTGAATGGAAGTTGCTATTCGAAATATATTAATAAATAATAATATATATCTTTTCTGTTATCATATAAGAAATAACCAGCTACTATGTGGTTATATCAGTAGTAATATGATGTTATCTTTGTTTATAGCGCGGTGTATCGGCCTGTTTGACTTACTTGGACTTCTTTTCGATCAACGCTCAACGCGCGGCGCTTTCTATCACTGCAAATTGCTGCCAAAACCTTACACCAGATGAGTTCCATCTTGTCCGAGACTCACTTCAGTTGCTTGCTAACAGGTAAAATATAGTGATAAGTAACTAAATCAAAACTACTTCTAATACGAAAACAAAATATTCCAAATAGTTTCTAAATAGAATGTTTTGAATGTAAAATAAATAAATAAGTGATATTATAGTTATCTTTTCAATTATAAAATATTTTCTTACATTTATTTATGTGTAGAAATAATTAAAAATAAATTCCGAAAGTATGTACGACAACATCACTTCAGAAGGGATTTTTAACTATTTTATAAGAAAAATCGTATAAAATAGTTCAAAATTAGAATTAAGAAATCTCCATATACATATAAAAAGTATATTGACTGAATTTACTGATTAGATATTCTACAAAGGAAAGATTTGTGACATTTTTGTCATTCATCATGTACAGTATTAAGACTGGTGGTCTTAGGTAAGTTCTGCAATGTTGAGTATGGATTTTAGTTATAATTTTATTTGCAGACTCACACAACAAGACAAAAAGTCGGTGGAGTGCGTATGCCTCGCGTTCTCTCGTCTAGTAGACAGCTTCCAGCATGATCCCGCACGACTGCAAGAAATCGCCACACCGGAACTCCTTACCAATTTACAACAACTTGTTAGTATTGAATATATATAAATATTTATATGCCATCTATATATAATTGTTTTAAGCAAATTAATTTAAATACATCACTGTCAGGAATCAATAATTCAGAATTGAGTAAATATTTAGACTTCACATGTAGATTATTAAATTTTCGAAAGCAATTTCTGTTTCGATTAAAATAATTTTCTTCTCGCTATAATGCTATATATAACTACAGCCATATATGAATATAATAGTGTTCTAATATTTTTAGTAATGAATTGTGGTAATCTTCACTTAAAATTGTTGTTAATAGAAAAATGTGTTATTCGATTCTGTTATTCGTGTTCAAATTCGCGGGCTCATCTCGTAATACATAAGTACAATACATGTAAATAGTTGAAATACAACAAAGTATTGTTGTATAGCTGGTGGTGCAGCCGCCTCTGATCTCCGGGGCGACATTCATCACAGTGCTGCGGCTCCTGTGGGTGATGTGCGCGGCGTGCCCGCAGCTGGCGCTCGCACTTCACCAGAGGTCTATTGCTGATACGCTGCTTTGTCTGCTCACCGGCTCCACGCTGCAACAGGAGGTATATCGTCCATCTATTGTATTCTAATATATGTAAAGTATATTCCGCAATCGTAGACTGAGCTAATTACGGTCGCATCCAGCAGGCATAAAAACCATGTAAATATGAATTTACATTTAATCTTCACATAGTATAAAACAAAGTCGCCGCCTGGAGCTGTGCCCTAAGACTGCTTAAGATTATGAAGTTTTCTTTGTACAAGAAGAAAAACAAACTAATATTAAAATATTTAAATAATTATTGATTTTTCGAAATTCAAAGGTTAAGAAAAATGCTCTATATTTAAGATTATCCAAAATAAGTATTACCTTTGTATTTAAATTGTGTAGATACACTGGTGTAGATACAACAAGGCGTTCATATTACCAATAACCTTAAATATTAATTAATAAATATGTGACAATCTAATATATAATAGTGCTGCCTTTCCCTATCATAGTGTAATTGCTAATTCATTCGGTCACTATCTTCTGTTTAAGAAACAACATATTAAAGTGCAATTGTAAATCAATGACTTCCTCCACAGCAAGTGGAACTGATACCACGATTGCCTCAAGAACTGTACGAGATCACATGCCTGATCGGTGAGCTGATGCCGCGTTTACCGACGGACGGCATCTTCGCTGTAGACGCTCATCTCGACCGGCCCTGGTCCGCCACAACGGACCGCGCTGCGCACTGGCAGTGGCGCGATGATAGAGGTATACATTATATGCTTTCCTGAATTTGTACTATTAATCATCCTAATTATTTATTTATTAAGTAGGACATATTACTTTTACACGATACATTCTTTCAAGCTCGATTATGAAGCGCTTACAATTACTGCGGAAAGCCATCACGTACGATCGTGAGGAATTGGCTATTTGACAGTTGTAGAAATAAAATATGAAAACTATTTTATGTTTTTTTTTATGTTAGCTTCTTAGTACACGGTAATCATACAATATGTTTATTGCATTAAAAAGCATTATTATTGTATTTTTTTAAAATAAATCTGATTCTTTTTTATCTGTGGTTGACATGGAGCGGCCATGATTGATCATCGTATGACATCATAATTCAATAAATAAAACGTTGTTAAGTAAGCACATGTCATTTGTTCTATAGTTTGCTAAGAAAAATCGCTCAAATATTTCAATTTGTGTTGTATAAAGTGTCACGAAAAGGAGTTAGGCTATATTAAAACGGATAATACATATCTGCCCAGAATAGAGTCGTTTATGATCGCAAATCTATTTGCCTGTAATCCTGTTAATTTTTGTTCTGCCGAGTTTATTATTTAATGTTTATTTTACCAATAGAACCAATTATAATGTATTGGATGTAATTTTCTATATTATTAGGTAGTTATAAAGAAAAAAAGTGTCATTATTTAGAAATTAGGTTTGTTTATTCTATAGTTTAAGAAGAAGAAGTTACATAGGTTAGGTTAATTTATTTTGGACAATCAAACATATTGATTTCTTCTAAATAATTACATCAAAGTACTTTCACAATTCCAATAAAAACTGTATACTTATCACACAAAACAGTTAGAGCGCCGTATTAGCCTTGTTTCGTTTATTGAAATATGACGTCATAGCTCAGAAATGTCACGTGACATAGTGTTTTAGTGCGAATTTCAAACCAAGAGAAATAAAATTCATGTTTTCTCTATCAAATAAAGCTTATTTTGAAAATTAGATAATTGTAAGGGTTTTAAATAAGTCTACAAAAATATAAAATATATATCAGAAAAATAGCCAATTGCAATGTATCTTTTTTTTGTTCACTTTATCGCATACATTTGCTCATATGAATATTGTCATTTTTAGCAAGCATAAACATAATTATATAATTATGTTTATGCTTCATAGTCAGATGTTCACTATTGTACATTGTAATTAATTATTATAAAAAAGACACTAAAGCATGTACGATTGAAATCCGCCGGAATGCATGAGCTGCCGGCACGAGCTGTCTTTCTCATTCTGTTTGTCTACATTTACATACTCATTCTTTCCTGCGTGAAATCGTATTGACGCGTTAAAAAAGCGTACATGTAAAGACAGCTGTATACACACTTATTCTTTCCTATATGTTAGCCGTACGTTTCGTTTGCATGATCATTTTTCCTGCGTAATGGCCTATCGGCGTGTGAAAGAGCGTAAGTCTAAAAGGCAGGTATTGTGCAGGCGCGTGGCGATCGTACTCGTGGGCGGAGAGCCGGGCGCTGGAGGCGGGCGTGGCGGCGGGCGAGGAGGAGGTGTGCCTGTCGACGCTGGGTCGCTCGTACACGGTGGACCTCACGGCCATGCAGCAGCTCAACGACCACACCGGCACCGCGCGGCCCGTGCAGCGCCTCGCGCCCGCCCCCGCCGCCGCCCCCGCCGCCGCCGCGCACGACCACGCCGCCGCACCGCCCGCGCCCGCGCCCGCACCCGGTACGCACTAGTAACATAAATGTTATCTATTATATATTCATGTAGCTCTATTACAGACTCTTATGTCATTTCAAACAATGAGTCTACTGTCAGTTAGACTTATCCTTCGACTTCACATAAGCGTCTGCGATAGAAATAATTAGTAGTTGTGGAGAAATTTTGATGTTAGAATATAATATATAATATCAGAAAATAAACAATGAGGCGTTCGATAAATAATTGTTTAATTTGCCTTATTTAGTAAATTGTATTAATAATAAAAATAGGCAACAAACAAATCTTAACTTTATTTATACCTTTAAGAAGACATTCTATATCGCCATGTCCGCTGCAACCTGTTGCTGGCGCCCGAGCCGGTTTGTTTGGGTTAAGATATCATACTGTCCGTGTGTTTAAAATCAATATTGTGTCATTGTGATAAGTAATAATATGGTTATGTAATACAGACCCACGCATCGCCATGGTCCGCTGCAATCCACTGCTGGCGCGCGCCTTGCTGGCCGTTCTCCACGAGGTGTACTGGAGCTCGGCCGGGCCGGCCGTGCGCTCGCAGGCGCTCAAGGCTATCTTACGCTGCGTCTACTACGCTGACGCACCGCTCCTGCGGCAAGTGCTCAAGATGCAGGTAAGCACTGCACTATACTATTACTAACAATCCCCTTCCCCCAGGTTAAGTAATTAAGTATTTATATAATTATATATGAATCGTTAGTCATTGAATTTCACTTTTTGGTGTTCAAAATATATATAGAATATAATTGAGTTGTTTTCCATTAGACATTATGAGTACAAGCATTGAATGTTGCGTTAGGTTATATCGTCCCACATCGCGGGCATGATGGCGTCGAGCGACTTGCGCATCGTAGTGGGCTCGCTGCAGCTGGCAGAGATCCTGATGCAGCGGCTGCCCGAGGAGATGAGCGCGCAGTTCCGGCGCGAAGGCGTGCTGCACCAGGTGGCGCTGCTGGCCGAGCGCGCGCCTGCTACGCCCGCCGCCGCCGCCGCCGCCGCCACCGCTTCCGCTTCCGCGGCCGCTTCCGCCGCCGCCGCGACCACAGCCGCAGTCCCTGCGCCCGCGCCCGCCCCGCGACATGCTAAACTCAAGGTATAATAATAATAACTAGTCGCCCGATGCTCGAGATACGACCATAATTAATTTAAATTTATTGTATTTAATGAATTTATTATAATTGACATTCAGTAAGACAAGAAAGGTAATATTAATCTCTGTCTCAATTTGACCAGTCTTTAACAATAAACAAGTAGTCAGAGTCAAGTAACAAGAGTGTCTGCAGTAAAATAATATGTTTAATCTAGCTATTCCTAGACTCGATGATACTCAATTAACTCAATCATATACAGTACTAGGTGTAAAGAGTGTAGAACAACTTACGAAGAAATCTGATAGATTTAAAATTAAATTTCTCTTATGAATACATCCCCACATTTACGTATATTTGCATATGTATACACTGTTTTCTCAGTCACCAAGCGCCACCAGCGTACGTTCCAGTGGCGGCTCTTCTCCGCCGGCATCCACTTCAGCTACGTCTCTAGATCACGCCAATTTATCTCTGGCTTTCTCTGCTTCTGGTTCATTCGTCGCTAGCTCACTACGTAAGTAATTTGACTAATTCATGCACTAGTATTATAAAGAGATATTGATATTATTAAATGAGTCTATGAATTGTATGTAATATCTGACAAGGATGTTAAAAAAAAATTCACCATTTCAAAGCTACTTATTTCAAGTGTACATAGAACTATGTAGATTGAGCAAATCAGAGGGTTGAGTAATTTGCATTGTATTTTATGCATCTCTATTTGTTCACAGCTACAGGTAGTGACTGCAGTGGCTCTGAACCTGGCCAACCTTCATCATCTACTCACCCACAAAACACTAGTGCTGCACATAGGTATGTTTGTTACGTCTACATTGGAACTGTTAAAAGAAAGTGCTACTTTTGTGAATTTGTATGAGGAGGATAATCTCCAAAACCTTCAAAACCTCCAAAAACTTCTAAACAAAAATGTATGTGAACAATGTACGATAAATTTTGTGCATGTGAACAATAATATTATAGGACTTTATTGAGAGTTATATACAGTGCACAGTTTTTTTACATTGTAAAATATTTATGTAGGTATACAAAGTAATTATACATCGACATCTGTACATTAATCTAGGATTATTTCACAAATGCCTTCCCCAATATTTTTCATGTCTCTATGGGTCAAGGGTAGAGCCCTAGACCGTTGTCCTCGTACCGCCTCCTACGGCTTTTACATCAATCTACATTGGTTAGGTTTATCAATTTATGTTCAGATATAAAGAGACGCAGTTTAGTGAATAACATTTACGAACAGGTCAAGCAGTCCACTGCAGCTGACAGAGATGTTAAAGCGCAAGCGTGCCGTGAAGCGGTCGGGCGGCGCGGGCAGCAGACACGCGCGGCGCCGTGACGACGCGCCCGCGCACGCCGCGCACGCCGCGCACGCCGCGCCGCCGCACGCGCACCTCGCGCACGCCGCGCCGCACGCGCCGCACGCGCACGCGCAGCCAGCCTCGCACGGTACCGGTCTCCCTGTCCCACCGTCGCTACTATAACACACTCCGCCCATGGCCCGAGCTCATCGCTCTAGCGCCTGATGCCGTCGGGCACGGTGCGACTCTGTATGTGTATCTCGCGCACGCTGCGCCGCACTCACACTTGCAGTGCTCATTCCGCGGTATGTCTCTCGCTCGTCGCTGTCAGCGGGTATGGTACGATGCTACACGCGCATCTCTCCTCGCAGAGTACGTGTCTCCCCCTTCGCTCCTTTGCTTGCAGCACACGCTGCCGGTGGCTCAGAGCAAACGTGCACGCTGTGTTGTATGTGTACATCGCACGCGCAACCCACGGCGCTATAGCGACGCCCCGGCACACGTATCAATTCAGTTTAAAGAAAATAAATGATGATCGAGTGATGGTGTCGTTCTCAATAATATAAGCATTCAAAATTAAGGATCCTTAATATGTATGTGTTTAATCATTTATAATATTCTGTTAATATTTGTAGCATCCGGTGTCACGTCGGCGGGAAGATCGACGTCACGGGTCGGCGGTGCATCGAAAACGTCGTCGTTTTTGTCGTCGCTAAACCCGTCGCGGTGGGGACGCACGCCGCACGCGCACAAAGACACCGGCCTGCTCGCGTCGCCGCATACGTCCGCCAATCTCACAGTACAGAACAAGTTAGTCATTACAAAGATACTGTTTTATATTGATAAAAATAAAATAAATGTAAAACTTACTGTATAGATAACAATGTTCTAAATGAAAATTAGTCGAGTTTGCATTTTTTGAGCGATAACTTCTTTGTTTAACAACGTTAGTATTCTTATTACTTTTCTTATGATTGCATTCGCGCAAATCGTATGTATTTTTGAGTCTTAGCCGAAAAAATTAAAACATTGACTTTGCCATTCTTATTTCCTATTTTGATTAATTGCTCGAATCATGTTTTAACTCTATACATTGCTACCGGTGTACAGAGAGAAGGTCCGCGAATGGATTCAGTGGACGGCGTCGCGGCTACAGCGCAAGTGGGGAGCTTTGAGTTCCGAGGGTGGTGTACTGCAGCAGTTGGCTGCGCTGGCCGCCGCGCTGCCGCATGCTCAGCTGCAGCGTGCCGCACTAGAACAGCTCCGTGACACGTTGCTGCAACATGACATCTCGCCCTTCGAGGTCCCTAATCTTCAACATTTCTAGTTTATTATGGTAGACTACCAGTACAAAGTCGACTGGTCGACCTGGGTACTTATCTCTCATCTATTTGAGCCGCCAAGCAGCTTACTATGTAAGCTCTGCTTTTACTGGTTTATCGCGGTATACTCAGATACTAACTCGTCTGAATGGCTACTTATATCTTACCTATTTCAGCCTTGATGGCTTGCTTTGATTGACAGGTGAAGTATGGCAGTAACGTTACTAGGTATGGAGACATGAAATCATAGACCTCCGAAATGACAACGCATAAAAGGTACAATAGACAGACATCACATGATTACAACGTGAGGTTGTTCATGTTTATAAAGATAGTTGCCACTTAACATCAAGTGGACAGTAAATTTATTAGGTATTCCAGTTGCTTAAATAAAATTGCAATGTAAGGGTAACATATCGTAATTATTTTATACTTCATAGTAAATGAATAAGAACATTAAAAAAAGCGTATTACTATAATTATTTTTATGTACAGGTAAATCATTCCGGGGTACTGGGCGCCCTGCTGCAGTTCCTGACGGGCGGCGAATCGGATCCAGAAACTACCAGCCAAGATCAAGATGGAGAGACTGAAAGTCAAGATTCCGCAGAACTAGTTGCTGCCTGCGAGCAGCGCCTTAGACTCTTCCTACACGTCTTCGCCGATATGCCACTTGCTGCAGAGTAAGTTTGCCGGTTGTTAATACCTAGAAAAATTGACTGTGGTTAATAATTTCTTTGATTAATAATATTTTTATGTAACTCCACTATATCTGTAGAGACCTAAGAGAGGACTGTAACTTTGTATAATTTAAATCTATAATACACAGAACGAAATAAACACAATCGATAGACGCGTGAGTTGTTCTCGGTGGTGAGACATGAAGTGCCGTCGACCGCATAAAAAAAAATGCGGTGCTATTCGCATCTCCTCAGTTCGACTCTAGTGACGCGTACCGACGATATCCAAACAGTGCCAATATTTCGTAAATAAATGATTTCATTCCATTTAATTTCACTCGCGTATGGTCTACAGCGCGGAGTGGAGCGAGGAAGGCATGGTGGTTGTGGGCGCGATTAGTGGCAGTCCGCTGTCGGCGCTGGTGGCCAAGGTGAACGCGTGCGTCTCGCACCTCGAACAGTTCCCCGTTCGAGTGCACGACCTGCCCGCACGCCCGGCCACCTCCGCACTTAAGTTCTTCAACACGCACCAGCTCATGGTCAGTATATGTTTCACATAGTTACACGGAGACGACTTTAATCCTATCTAACTTAGAAAAGTTTTGCCATTACACGCAATATTGGTCATAACATTCGCATTACATGTTATTATACTTTAAATAAAGTCAAGACGGTTCTTAACTTTCTTTGTCCATATTTATTAATGTTGACATTAAACTTGGCTCGAACTGTTGATGCAAATTAAATTTTCTTTTTTATTAAATTAATAATGTTCTATTTTATTCTATTTTTGTTTTATTTTTCTAATTGCAGTGTGATCTCAAACGTCATCCAACTTGTAGCAACTTGAAGCAATGGAAAGGTGGTGTAGTACGGATAGACCCTCTAGCATTAGTGCAAGCCATTGAGAGGTAATATATATTACTAATTATATTAATACATAAAATGTTAAATACTTTTTGTTTCAAAACCTAAGCTACTTTGAGCAATATTTTATACGAAGTGAATACATATATGTATTTTACAGCTCATAATCCTGGTCGAAAAGTAATCTTACAAACATTTAAAAACCAATTTCTTTAAATTGACAACTATAAAAATATTTTGCAACTGGCTATGTTATCGCAGCGCTACTTGCGTGGATTCGATTATGTTTTGATAATAAAGAAAAACATCTAGTAAAAATAGGTGTCGTGACGCCGGTCTGTCATTTATGAGGAAAATAACCTAGTGAAAAGTGGTATTTGTGACATGAGCGTGTATGTGTGTGGCAGATACTTGTCGCAGCGTGGGTACGCGACGGCCCGGGCGCGCGACTCTGCGGGCGCGGGCGCGCACTCCGACGACGACGGAGCCTCCGAAGACGACGTCGAGGACTCGCTCGCCACGCCGCCGCATCACCACCCCGCAGAGTCAGTACCTAAGTACATAAATACATCACTATGTTACTTTTTTTTGGGCGGTTGATAATGAATGTTTCGTCCGGTTAAGCTGAAGAGGCCAGCTGCGGTCGACAGCATTAGGATAGTCCGAAAAAAAGGATGATATTGAAATCGGGCACCCGCCTGTGCTAACGGTTTACGCTGGGGGGCATCAGTGGAGGATGATAAGATGAATATGAGGTCAGGTCAGTTAGCCCATCGTGACAAATTTACAAAAAAAATGTCACTATGGTTTCTAGGAAGAACCGAGTGGAGGTCGACCTAACATGGTACATTGCTAGTATGACTAAGAAGTAGAAACACTATAATTAGTGAATACCGATTGGGTCACTTATGTCGCTGTTAAACTTTGTTTGCATATGCTGTATGACTGTGTCAAGTAGAAAAATTATATAAGTACTGTTATAATCAAAGTGATTTTGATTTTCTCACATAGGTTACTTTCTTTTAAGTTAAAAATATACTTAAAATTAAAATAATAATTTAGTAAATTTATTACATAATTAATACAAACAATTACAAAAAACAATCATTGTAATCCAAATTAAATAAATTTCATGGTATTTATTTACTAAATATACCACTGAATGTAAAATATATGTTATTTTTATGCATCAAGTATTACAAGCATACAGCCTTGGCCAAAAGTATTAGGCACCCTACATTTTACTAAAAATAATAATTAAAAACAGCTTATATTTTTTGAATTGATTTATTACCATTAAATTACACAAAAAAGAATAAAAAAAACTTAAAATCTAGTCGGTCCTGCTTTGGATTTAATTACTGCACTAATTCTAGTTAACATGCTACGTACAAGCATAGTGCAACCCTCCCTTATAATGGCATGCCATTCTTGTACTAACGCATTTTTAATGCCGTTTTCGATGTGGTACTATGCTCTTCAGTCTTGTCCTTCAAAATGCTCCAAAGATGCTCAATTGGGTTCAAATCTGGGGACTGCGCTGGCCAATGCAACAAGACAATATTGTTTTCAGTAAACCAATATATCAAAGTCGCTGACTTATGACAAGGCGCATTGTTTTGCTAGAATATGACTCCGTCTAAGTTGGTATCGCCGAAAATACTCGTTAGCGAAGGTGTAAGCGCAGTTTCAAGCACTTTTATGTACTTTTCGCTGTTCTTATAACCTTCACAAACGAACATTTCGTCAACCCCTTGAGCATCCATGCAGCCCCAGATCATTATGCTGCCTCCTCTGTGCTGTACTATCGGTACAACGTAATCTGAATAGTATTCTTCGCCCACACGTCGCCTAACGAAGGTCACACCTGGTGTTGCAAATATCGGTTGAAAAAAGAAAATAAAAAGTTTTTTTAAACTACCCTAACTTTTATTATTTCAGTAAAATAAATAGCTGACAATGATTATTAATAACAAAAACAGTAAAATTTACTTACTTCAAAGTTAGATTCGTCAGACCACACCACATTGGCCCAATCTTCCTCACTAAAATGTCAATGCCGTAGAGCCAATTCAAGCCGTTTTCTTTTGTTAGCTTCTGAAAGCCAGAGCTTCTTCCTGGCTTTGTATCCTTTTAAGCCCGTTTCTTGAAGTCGTCTTCTGGTGGTCCGAGCACTTACTGGCTTTCCAGCCTCTTCGGACAAAGCAGCTGCAAGGTTTGATGACGTTTTCTTCCGATCTTTCATAGATTCGCGTATTAATTTTCCATCGACGCGCTTCGAACTGCCAGCCTGAGCAAACCGTTTGATGGCAAATTGCACGGCGCAACGCGAACATTTTACTAACTTAGTAATTTCTTTTTGCGACTCCCCTGTTCATGGAGAAGTTATATTTTTACTCGATTTTCCAAACTAATTTCACTTATTTTCGATATTTTTAAGTAAATTAGGCGTCAATTTAATCACTGAGTTAGAAATAAAAACTTGTTAACTCGTTAGAGTCTTGAATACAAGTGACCAAACATTGACTAATAATAACGCAAAAAACCGAATCCTTTCTTTTCAGTCACCAGGTGTTTTATGACCATAAAAAATAGATGTTTGCTTTTCTAGGAAGGTATTTATGATCCCGGTATGCCATCTAAGATAAGCATTTCTTCATTGTTCAATTGGTAAACATGAATTGTGCATTTTACTGGGGTGCCTAATACTTTTGGCCAAGGCTGTATAGTTATAATTAACAATGCGCATTTTTTATTTACTTTAGAGCTGTCAACTATGTATGTATTTCTAAATAAACCTCATAATAATGTTTATAGAAACATAAATATCACTATATGAAACAAGGTTAACATATCTATCTTTTATTGTTGCAGTTCTGAACACAAATTAGAATTCCTAATTGGTGATACGGTATTACCATATAATATGACTGTGTACCAAGCTGTAAGACAGTTTGGCGAACAAACAGACGCCGATACCGACACAGAGACGCCATTGGGTATGTATATTTTGGATCATCCTTCGTCAGTAGTATCCGAAATTTTGTATATATATTCTCATATTCAAAATTTCAATGTTCTTCTCTACAGCAATTTCATTATATATGAAAAAGTGATATAATGTATTCTAGACAAATCTAATAAATATATATATATATATATATAAACTCACTTATTTCTCAACTTATTCATACCACAGCTTCAAATACATACCACATCAGTATTTTATATATATATAAGTAGTAGAAGGCAAACATGGTTTTGCCATATAAAATAAAATCGCTATTAAAAAATAGAGGTTGGTGGTAGAAGGGTGAAAATTTAGAGTTGTATGTATTTTTTAATGTCACATTAAAAACAAAATTCAGGGGTGGAAGACACAGGGGTATGCAAAAAAGATAGTAGCCGATTCTTAGATCGACTGAATATTCATATAAAATGTAATAAAACCCGTCAAGCCGTTTCGCAGAAGTATTGTAAACTAACAAGAGATGTTTTTATATATAGGATTTAGATAATTAAAATGTTGTGTTTGGTTGCAGCGAATGCTGGAATTTGGGTGCAAACTCACACAATCTATTACCGCGCTGTCGAGACACCCGAACAGCCCCGGACGGACGCGGCCGCTTCCAAGAAAGGCAAAGGGCAACCCACCAAGCTTACGTCCAGACGCAAACCGGATCTATTGTGGAATGGTAATTACAAGCTTTGTAAATCGCCCATTGTAGGTAATTTCTGCGGGTTATATATGTTATGGGATTATATTACATCTTTTTATAGGTTTAAGTTATTTAACTTCACTTACTTTGTTCTTTGTTTTATTTTATAATTTTCCACTGGGCATCCTTCAATACTTATTATTAAACAATTTTTAATTCTTATTCTTAAAAAAGTATACATGGTCCCTCTTACATGTCTTAGTGTATGGCAGTTTTAATATTTATTATTATAGTACTGTCGGTTGCGCTTGGCCTTTACGCCTTCACTAAATAACAAGGCAAGCTAGTATATAGTAGGAGTTAATCTATCACTTTATGTTTTCATACATTATGTCCTGAGTACGGGACGTAAATATATCAGCTTATACAAATAATATTATTGAAATGAAGCTGCAGAAGTCAGTATAGAACACACAATTATGGTATATCCGCGGTTCTGAAAGACTAAAATCTGGGGTGACAATAATATACATATTTTTGAACAATTCACACTGCGTCATCTAGTCCTAAGTTAAGCAGATCTTGTGCAATAGGTACTAGACAACTGATATATTTTTTGTAAATATATACCTATAATAGAAAATACTCAGACCGAAATGAACCACCATAGTCTCGAATACAAATGTTCGTACCTCGGTGATCTAGCGGTTTAGATACACACCGCTTCAGTCGGTCTTCGACGGTCGCAGGTTCGATTCCTCGCACGGCACGTGTCCGACTAGATCCTCGATGTCGATACTTGTGGACATAGAATAGATGAGTGATGGTCCTGGATGCGTATGCGTACAGAGGGGAGCCCGCCGACGCGCGCGCCGCCGCTGGTGGGCATGGTGCGCGCGGCGGCGGCGGCGGGCGGCGAGCTGCGGGACGCGGCGCTGCCGGCGCTGGGCGTGCTGCGCGCGCTGCACGCGCTCGCGCGCCACTGGCCCGACCTCTACCGCGCCGCCTGCCTGCCCGACCACCGCCCGCTCGTGCCCAACGCGGACTTCATCAACTCCAAGGTGACCGACACGCACTCGCACTCCCGTTTTAGTGTTGGATATCCCAATTTTGTAAGATCACGCTACGACTGGTAGTCCGAAACTGCAATGAAAAATGTTCCTAAAACGTGGACTAAAACGTTTACGTGTGATAAAGTCGAAACTGCGAGGCTCAGGTAGTACTGCATACTTTTATCTTCAAGTCGAGACAACAATATATGTGTTTCAGCTTCAAAATTGATTGTTTTTCATTTGTTAAAAATCGGCAACAGAGTAACACCTTGTGTGTATGGAAGTTAATTCTATTTTAATTTCATTTTAAAGTAAAAAGTAAGTCAATACAAAACTATCAAAAGATGTCATCAATTCATATTATTTTTATATCTATTCGTACTCATAATCTAAAATCGTATTAACATCCATTCATGTTTTCAGCTCGCAGCCAAAGCCAATAGACAACTACAAGACCCACTTGTGATCATGACCGGAAATCTCCCCCCGTGGCTGAAGAAAATCGCATATGCTTGGTGAGAACTAATAATTTAATACTTTAGAAATAAATTATTATTATTAATAGTTAAATTAAATTAGACGACCTCCGTGGTATATCGGTTTAGCACACCGCTCCGATGATCGCGGGTTCGATTCTTCGCACGGCACTAACATTTGTATTTATGACTATGATTGTTTGTATTGGTTTGGGTGTTTTCTATGTATAATATGTTTGTATTTACAAAAAAATATATTTATTTGTATCAGTTGTCTAGTGCCCATAATACATAGCTTTAGCTAGTTTAACTTGGCTCTAAATGATGCTGTATGATTTGTCCTGAGATTTATTTATTATTATTAGTTTATTATTATTAGTTATAAATGAACCGAGATACCGGTTCTAAATAATTATTTATTACGCCTAATAGATAATTAAGATTAATAAAATATAAAGAGTTTAATAGAAAACAGTGCCAATAAAATTAAAATCTCCTTTAATATTTATTTCTATTTTTTTTAAGTAGTTGCATACAATATTTCATCATATTATAAAAAAATATTGTTAGATTACCTTTAGTTTTATCTTTGGCATAAATTATGACGACAGAGTGATGAGATGATGTGAGATTTGGTGTAAAATTTTCATTTGAATGGATTCCATACAGTCCATCGAAGGCCATCGAACCGTAGAGTAATAGTTGTGTGCATGCGTGTGTGCAGTCCGTTCGTGTTCCCGTTCGAATGCCGGCACCTGCTGTTCTACGTGGTGTCGTTCGACCGGGACCGCGCGCTGCAGCGGCTGCTGGAGGCGGGCGGCGAGCGGGGCGCGGGCGGCGCGGGCGCGGGGGGCGCGGACGCGGAGCGCGTGGCGCCGCGCCTCGACCGCCGCAAGCGCACCGTACAGCGCCACAACGTGCTGCGCCAGGCCGAGCACGTCATGCACGAGTTCGCGCACTCCAAGGCGCTGCTCGAGATCCAGTACGAGAACGAGGTCGGCACCGGCCTCGGGCCCACGCTCGAGTTCTACGCGCTCGTCTCGCAGGAGCTGCAGCGCGCCGACCTCGACCTCTGGCACGGCAGCGAGAACTTCAAGCAGAAGCCCACCTCGTTCGCCGGGGAGATAGTCAAGAGCCAGCCGCCGGTGGTCACGGACCGGTCGGCGGACGCGGCCGCGCGGCTCGCCTCGTCGGTGCGCGACGCGCTCAACCTGGACGAGGAGCGCACGCCCGAGCCGTCCGACTTCGAGAAGGAGACGTCGATCCCGTCGCCCGCGCCGGACGCCACCTACGTCACGTGGCCGTGCGGCCTGTTCCCGCAGGCGGTCGGCCGGAATGCGCGCGCGTCGCATCTCTCACGGGTCAAGGCTAAGTTCCGGTTTCTCGGGAAATTTATGGCCAAAGCTGTTATGGATTCCAGAATGGTTAGTGTTTAAGATATGTCATTTTAATAGGTATAATTGTACTTAAATTAAAATTGTATATATGTGTATATCATTTCTATGTATTACATACATATATGGCATATAGTCATACTTGCCATATATGTAAAAAAGTTATTTTACATTGGTAAATATAAATATTTATCATCTCGAGAAATAGATTCAAATATTTGGATTAATAAGAGTAGTATAGTAATAGAGCATTAACATTATTTTTATATATAATAATATTATAATTTAAGAAGAAAAGATTAATGCAAATACTGAAAAATATGGTTGCTACTTAGTTTATATTATGGCAAAATATAACTGGTAGGTTTATTCACACGGGTGGTGTTGTATTGCAGGTGGACATACCGCTGTCGGTGGCGATGTACCGGTGGGCGGTGAGCGAGCAGCACTGGCTGTCCCTGAGCGACGTGCGCAGCGTGGCGCCGGAGCTGTGGCGCTCGCTGTGTCGGCTGCAGCGCGTCGCCGAGCGAGCCAGGCACATCGCCGCCGACCCGCGCTACACGCCTGACCAGAAGAACCATATGGTACGTCCATTTACATTGCCGTATTATATTAAGTCAGCGAGACGTTTACTAAATAAGCCCTTTGAATTATAAAATAATAATAAATGGAATAATATATTTATCCCATATCTATATTTATACAAACTCGTTAATTATTACTGTAATCTTGTTATTTTCTTTCTTTAATTAAAACTATTTTAATTGTTAATTTAAGACTTGTTTTTTGTGAAAGCCTGTCGGTGGCTTAGCATGTCTTATAAATTATGTTAAATAAATAGTAAATTCTAATAACGACATACTGAATTTTTAGTAAGTGAAGGAAGGTCCTCTGACTCAAACCTGTCCAGCTAAACCAATTTGATAGCTGATTGTATTTATTTTTTGGTGGATGAATAGAGAAGGGGATCATCATGACGTGTCGTTCGCGATGGACCTCATCGCTAGTTCTAACAATACCTTTCTCTCCCACAGAAACCCAGTAGAATATACACAGTTTAGCTCAATATTGAGTTGATTGCTCATAGGATCTTTGGTATTATTAGATATTAGCACCCTTTGATCATTGGAATTATTAGATTTCTTTTAGTTCTGGGGTCAATAAGTTATTGTTCTGTTCACACATTTGAAAGTTTAACGTTTTATTTTAGCTCCAAAACCTTTACGAGACTATAAAGTGTAAAAGTTGTTTTCGTAAATGTCATTACAATGTTTGTTTTATTTTAGATAAGTGCATTGGAATTGGACGGATGTCCGATCGAGGAGCTCGGCTTGGACTTCATCCTGCCGGGCGACGGTTGTACGGAACTGAGGCGCGGCGGCCGCGACATACCCGTCACCGCACACAATCTACAAAATTATATCTCTCTCGTTACACATTGGCTTCTTTACGAAGGTAAATAGATACACATAAAATGTAATAAATGTAGTGTTGGATACTGTCTTTTGTATACTGTAGCAATCGTTTTTATGTTTCAAACAGGTGTCAGTAAGCAAATGGCTGCTTTCAAGGAAGGATTTGAATCAGTATTTCCTTTAGCCAATCTCAAAATATTCTATCCTGAAGAATTAGAGCAGGTCTTCTGTGGAAGTCCATCTGGTAAGTTGACTATTTTTATATATATTTATGACTAGCTGTCCGCGGCCTCGTACCCTTGGTATTCGGAATAATTATAACTTTTTTTTTCATACACTGATTGGGATAAAAAACATGAAATTTTAAGTGAAGCTTATTAAAATTCATTAACTAAAACAAACATTAACGAACATACACTGGCAAATAGATAAACAGAGAAGTAGGCAACTATGGTAACTATCATTTTTTTGGATTCTGTCAGATTAATTAGGAGACTCTTAATAATATTCTTTCTCATATATCTTCCATTTATGTTCTATCTATTGATGGTGACCAGTTACAATTTCATTGTATGTACTATTATCTAACTAAAGAAAATAACATAAAAAATGTACCAATTGAGTAGTCAGTACTTCTCAACTTATTAGCTAGCAGAACTGGACGGTAGGGATAGTGATAAAAGGTATGACGTCTACAAGAGGTCATATGTGAATAAATAAGTTGTGTTTAGATATGGCCTATCTTTAATGTAATAAAGTTAATGTAGTCTGTGGTATCACCTTCATACAATATTGATTATTGTATTATTTACAGGTGGTCGAGATCAGCGATGGGAGCCACGTATGCTGGCGGAATGCATCCGACCCGACCACGGGTACAACGCAGAGTCGCGGGCCATTCGTATGCTCATCGACATACTAGCTTCTTACACTCGCGAGGAACAGCGACTCTTCCTTCAGTTCGTCACGGGCAGTCCACGGCTGCCCACTGGAGGTATATATACTGATAAATTAGTTGTAAAATATTGTCATTTGAAACCACCAAGTAGGCCAATTTGTAACAATAATACACAAGAGACACTTTATTTAATTCGCTAAAGTTGGAATAAAAATCGGGTCTTTTTTTCCATATAAAAGATCAATTAATGATATAGTGAATTTTTGTATAATATATGATTTGAATTTGCCAGGTTTTAAGGCTCTGAATCCGCCCCTCACTGTGGTGCGCAAGTCACTGGAGTCTTCGCTGGACCCGGATGAGTACCTGCCGTCGGTGATGACGTGCGTGAACTACCTCAAGTTGCCCGACTATAGCAGCGGCGAGGTGATGCGCGCCAAGCTGCGCCTCGCCGCCTCTGAGGGGCAACACTCGTTCCACCTCTCGTGAACACATCGCTATGTACCCTGCCACTGTGATTATCAGCCCCTCACTTCTTGTATACATGTGTGAATGCGGTTAGTGATAAATATAATATTTGTGTTATATTAGCCGGCCCGCTCCGGACTAATGTTATTAATGTGCAATCAGAGTGATTTATTTACATTATATGACGGACACTCCCAAGTGCTGTGCGTTCAATTTTTTGTTTCTTTGGATTCTTTTTAGATAATCAATATGTTCATAACTATATTTTGTGTTAATTTAATGTGATAGCACTGTATATTACTTTGTTAGTTTAGACTCTCAGTGGGATAACAATAAAAGTGTGACGGAATAATTTCTGCAAGACATTTGAAGACGCTACACATATATACATTGTGTCAAATTGCCCCTATATAATACATTATATTCATCATCTCGTCGTCGTCGTCATCGCAATAATACTATATAGTTTTGAAGGATGATTACTGTAAATCTTATATGAGAGTCCTATAAAAAATATATAATAGCATTTATTACCAAATGGTGTATGTTTTGAGTAACATTTAAGTATCATTAATGATTAAAGAAAAAGTGCAAAATTTAATATGTAACAATTTCAATAAAACCATGTAAACAATATTGATCAATTTTGCGTTTCATTTCATGGAGCCGATCCTCATAATGGTACTAATGTTGCTCCTGCCACTATGATTGTGTCCAACCAACATTCACTTTTAACCTGCAGAACCAAATTTCTAATTAAAATTAGGACTCCTTGTAAGTTTTTTAGAGTGTAGTTGTCATATTATATAATTAAAAGTGCATATTTACGGGGTAATCCTTTCATTGATCTCGAAAGACCTTATTTATTATTATTTTGTTCCTTACACATTAACTTTCTCAAATGAAACAATATCTTTAAAATACAACATCTTGCAATATAACAATAATAGATAATATATATTGTAATGTAAAATACCTATATACTATTTGCTGTTTAATTTTTTTATAAAAGATATTTTATGTACGTGCCTGTGATAAAATCTATAAAGATAACAAGATGAAAGACATACTTTCAAATTTATATTTGTATATGGATTAATTAACGTCAAATAAATTGGCTAAAATCTGCCTTGAGAATCACTGATTGATTATATAATGTAAATGTAGTTTTCAATCCATATCTAGTCTGATCGACATAATTAATCTTACAGCATAAAAATATAATAAGGTCACTATTGATATTGGCAGCAATCCAAAGATATTTCAATACTATGATTATATTATTATACTTATGTTATGTACTAAAGTGGGTACTTTGTAAAAAAGAGTCAATAGATGTCATTCTGGCCAGTGTGATGTGTGCTTCGAAAAATACGTGTTTTAGTGAGTATATAATAGTGGCGACGAGAGAAAATAGTGGAAAAGTGCAATAAAGTGATTATTATCTTACTAATTACATAAATAACAATAATGGGCATAAAATTTAACGAGTTTGATATAGCACATGGGTGTTGGCAAAATTATATAGAAAGGTTATGTTTTTGCTTCCAAGCTAGTGAAATTGAAGAAGATACAAAGAAAAAAGCGAATTTATTGGCGGTCTGTGGCCCTGAATTATATGATTTAATCATTTCTTTGATATCTCCAAGTAAAATAAGTGATGTGACTTTCTCTTTTATTGTGGGCATTTTGAATAATCATTTCCATCCGAAACCTAATGAAATTGTAGAATCATATAAATTTCACACAAGAAATCAAGAGGAAGGTGAAATGATAAAAAATTATATTGCTCAATTACGTAAATTAAGTATAGGTTGTAATTTCACTGATTTAGATCGTACTCTGAGAGATAGATTGGTGTGTGGAATATTAGATAAAGATATTCGGAGGAAACTGCTTCAACAAAGGCAATTAACATTTGAACAAGCTTGTGACATAGTATTATCACAGGAAACTGCAAATTTTGATGCAAATATTATCACACCATGTAGTACAAATACTCCAGTTCTTGATACAATAGTGCCAATGGATATTAACAAAGTACGGGTGAGTCAGAGAATGTCTTCTCAAAGCACAAATAAGAATAATGAGAATATGTCAACCTGTTTTCGTTGTGGGAAACCACATAGGGGTGAATGTAGGTTCCGCTGGACTAAATGCCATCATTGTGGGAAAATTGGTCATATAGAGGCAGCCTGTTTATTGAAGTCCAGCCAAGGTAAGAAGTATAATTCAGAATGTAATGGGCTATATGAAGTGGGAATCAACAGCATTAGACAAGACAAAGTGGATCCTTTTGTGATTAGAGTATTCCTTAATAGAATGGAATTACTGATGGAAGTAGATTCAGGTTGCCCATATACAATTATAAATGAGATAACAGCCAAACAAATATGGAAGGGTAAATTACCTAAACTAGAATTAACAGATATTGCATTAAAATCTTACACAGAAGGTAAATTAATATTATTAGGTCAGACGAAAGTCCATGTAAAATATAATCAAATAAGTAAAATTATGAATATATTAATTACAAAAGGTAGTGGTTCAAGCCTAATTGGCAGGAATTGGTTTGCACAATTGGGTATAAGTATAGAAGGATTAAATAATGTTAAATCAATGGATTTTAATAAGGGACAGATAACACAATTGTTATATAGATACAAACAGATTTTTGAGCCTGGTTTAGGCAAATACACTGGACCAGTAGTGAATATTACACCAAAAGAGGGTTCTGTACCAAAGTTCCTTAAAAGTAGACCCATTCCATTTGCAATTAGAGAAAGAGTATTTAAAGAAATAGACAGACTGGTTCAAGAGGAGGTACTAGAACCTACTACACATTCTGAATGGGCTACTCCGATAGTCCCAGTATTAAAAGCAAATGGTCAGGTACGTTTGTGTGGAGATTATCGGTCCACTGTGAATGCAGCTACTAATACAGATACATACCCTTTACCTACACTTAATGAAGCTTTTGTACAGCTTCAGGGGGGAGTAATATTCTCAAAAATTGATTTGGAGCAAGCATACACACAGGTGGCTGTCGATAATAACACAGCCAGCTTGCTTACAGTAAATACACCTAGAGGATTATACAAAGTAAAGCGGTTGGCCTTCGGTGTTAAAGCTTGTCCTGGTATTTTTCAAAGGCTGATGACTTCATTACTGGCAGGAATAACAGGAATAGCTGTTCTGTTAGACGATATCGTTATTTCTGGTAAGGATATCAATATACACAATGCAAGACTGGAGATGGTGTTACAGAGGTTACAAAAAGCTGGTCTAAGAGTGAATAAAGAAAAATGTTTATTTGCAGTACCTAAGGTCAAGTTTTTAGGTTATTTAATAGATGAGTCAGGAATACATCCATCTAAAGAGAAAACCAAAAAATATAAAGGAATTACAGGCATTTCTAGGACTTCTTAATTTTTATGATAGGTTTTTACCTCATAAGGCAACCATTGCTGAACCATTATATAGATTATTAGAGAAAGGGTCCAAATGGAAATGGAACAAAGAACAACACACTGCTTTTACAAAATTGAAAACAATGTTATCCAATGAAGATACGCTGGTTCACTATGATGGCACTAAGAAATTGATTATGTCGTGTGATGCTTCTCAGTATGGACTTGGTGCTGTTCTAGAACAGGAAATGGACAATGGTATGGTGAAACCAGTTATGTTTGCATCACGTACTATGAATAGCCATGAGCGAAACTATGCTCAGATTGATAAAGAAGCAGCTGCTATTGTTTTTGGTTTGAAGAAATTCCATCAATACATAAGTGGACGGAAAGTGATAATTAAAACAGATCATAGACCACTGTTAGGCATTTTTGGACCAGGAAAACCAATTCCTACAATTATATCACCCAGAATGCTGAGGTGGGCACTTTTATTGAACTCATATGATTACGAGATTCAATATGTAGAAGGCAGGAAGTTAGGAAATGCTGATGCATTAAGCCGGTGGCCAGCAGAAGAATCAACTATAGAAAAGGAATATTCAGGAGTTTTATTAATTGAGGAGACACTAATGGAACTAGAATTTACAGCTAAAGATGTAGCAAAACTTACGAGAAAAGATAAAGTTTTAAGTAAAATATTGTATTGGATAAGAAATGGATGGCCTTCTAAGGTACATACAGACTATAAAATGTTTATGAAAATTAGAGAGGAATTATCTGTACATAGTGACTGTATACTGTGGGGAAATAGAGTGGTGGTGCCAGAGAAAATGCGCTCTTATATTTTGGAAGAATTACACCGGAACCATGATGGTATAGTTATTAGTAAAGCTTTAGCTAGAAGTTATTTTTGGTGGCCATGTATGGATAAACAAATTGAAGAGATGATAAAAAACTGTAATATTTGCTCAGAAAATAGGAACATGCCTGCTCCAGTTACTCATCAGTGGTTGAAACCAGATAAGGCCTGGTCAAGAGTACACGTTGATTACGCTGGACCTTTTCAGGGCAAATCTTTTTTAATACTCATAGATGCATACTCTAAGTGGCCAGAAGTTAAAATAGTAAATGATCTTAGCAGTGCTACATTGATTCGAGAATTAAGATATATTTTTGCTGAACAAGGTTTACCTGATTCTATTGTAAGTGACAATGGTCGAAGTTTCATTTCAGAAGAATTTCAGAAATATCTTAAGAGCTGTGGAATTAGACAGATATTAGTACCTCCTTATCATCCATCATCGAATGGGCAAGCTGAACGTACAGTACAGACAGTAAAAAATAAACTTAGGAAAAGAACATCAGAACCCTGGCATGTCCGATTGCCGAACTTATTATATGGATTGCGAGCCACACCTAACAGTGTTAATGAAAAAACACCTGCGGAACTTCTGAACAACCGTCGGTTCAGAACACAGTTCGACTATTTAAATCCATTATCGTATAAAACAGATAGAAAATTAAGTGCAAATGAAAACAATGAAAAACTTAAAGTACGGTCATTTGAAATTGGTGAGTCTGTGTATGTTCGCAATTATAGCAAAGGACCTCGATGGTTACGAGGAATGGTGGAGAAGAGAGTAGGGGTATGTAGATACTTGGTACGATGGAATAGAAGGTTGTTGTTGAGACACATTAACCAAATGCATAAAGGAGGAATAACAATTAATGGAGACAGTTTAAAAAATACTTCAAGGCCTGATGCAACCCAATATAATAGTGATGATGAAAGTCATGTGGTTATACCATCTCCAGAGAAATGGGCTGACATCATTGGAGTATCAGGGCCACAAGACATTGTAATGCCAGGAAGTTCAGGTGAAATATTAAGGACAAAGAGAGCTTTATCATTATCCCCACCTACACTATCTTCCAAGAGAGTAAGATCGCGGGTAGAGTGTAACTTGGAGGACAAAGAGTCTGAGGTTGAAACAGACGAATCATTTGAAGTAGAATAACTCGCCAACCATTCTAACAAAAAATTAGCCTAGTAATTAGTTATTTAAGTGTTAACAAAATGTGCATGGACAATAAAATTTAAAAGTGAATGTAAATTGTGTTGTGAAAATGTTTACCAATCTCGGGGGAAAGATATGTTATGTACTAAAGTGGGTACTTTGTAAAAAAGAGTCAATAGATGTCATTCTGGCCAGTGTGATGTGTGCTTCGAAAAATACGTGTTTTAGTGAGTATATAATAACTTATAATGACAATAATTCATTACAAAAACAAAAATATGTCAATATGAAATCCCGCCTCCATGGTTTAAGGTAGTGTGGAACCATTGGAGGTTGATAGTATGAAGATAATCTCAGGTCAGTTAGCCCATTGTGGCGAATTTACCAGGACTCACAAGGTTTTTCCAGAGCAAATTGGATGGAGGTCGAACTGACATGGAACATTGCTAGAAAACTAGTACTCTATATAAACTGTGTAACCTTTAGTAATAAGTTTTGGTTTGCTAGCAAAATACTATGTCAGTATGAATTTGTACAGTCTCCTATGGAAACCATAGTTCAGAGACAAACCTCTAGAGTGGCATAAGAGATGTCAGGCATAGACACATTTTTGCATATCATTTTCTTACATTGTATGATTAAGGAAATAGCCTGGGCAAGGCATCTTTTTAAAATAAATCCTGTATTTAATGTCACCATAATCAGTCATAAAAAAATACTATGAAATAAAAAAAAAGGATATTATCCTCATCAAAAAAATTTGAGTTGTTAATCTTCTTATATATTTGTGATACTGATGACAGAGAAATGATATGCTTTGATAACTTTTTATCCAGTAAATGGCAGTGTTACAACCCAATAATATAATTAACCAAGAGGTCTGAGGACAATAAAGGATAAAACACTTTAACACATCAATAATACATATATTAAATGAATCCACTTCACAATCTACAATAATAAAATATGTACAATGAACTGTATTGTTATATAATGTCATTAATTAATAATAGTAACTACACATATCACAAAAGGAAACTTTCGTAAAACAAAAATAAAGCAATCCCATTTTTTTATGTACTGGTAAAAATTACAGTATAAACCTGTTTACAGGATATATTATTGGCCTGGTTTAAGGGCAAATTTTATATCAGAAAAATATAGTTATCAACTGAACAGTTTTTCATCACCAATATTTAGCAGAAAGTATTTTCAAATATATTTAAGTCTAAGGGAACAATACAATAGCTAACTTAATTCAAAATATAACCTATAGTTATGATACACTACACAAAGCTGGAATAAATGAATTGTACTATTCACAATGACCCTACCTCATACATTTGAAATATTGGAAAATAAATAGATAACTACGTTTGTATAAAACTTATAGTACCATTGCAATCCAGCCTAGAATGAGGCAGGAGCCACCAATGGGTGTAAGACGGCGGAGGCTACGGTTACCAGTGAAAGCATGGTAGTAACATGTGCCACTAAAGAGTCCCATACCCGCTATAAAAAATGCACCTGCCTGAAAAGGTAAATAAAATAAACTTAAAACAGAGTCACAACAATTAAAAAGTCATCTAAATAATATTATCAATATTATAAATTATTTCATATCCCATCTTTCAAATAGGTACTTTAAAGTAGATATAGAAGTGATATATTTTGGAGTCAGTTTTTAGGATTTATCTTCATTCAGACAAAGAAATAATACTATATTCCATTCCAATGGAACATACAGAAAAGATAAAGAAGTAGTGATGCCGATAACAATATAAATAAAATATATTCTTTAGTTCTACTGAAACAGTATATTATTTTTGTATTAGGGGTTAAAACAATTAAGAATAGAGAATACTAGGATGTAATATAAAAACTAGAAACTTACGATATATGGTCTCCTGCATAAAGGCACTGTCATCAATGCAAGAGTGTGCAAGAAGTGAAATCGATTAGCAGTGTCAAATATTTTCCGTAGGTCTTCTTTAGTATCTGTCTCAGGGAAGGTGCGATGTGCGCCCATGGCACCGAGCACTACGGCTGCAGCGCCACTGATGCCTGCGAGCCTTACAAAAGGCCCAGCTCCTTGTGCGAGCTCCCAGAGAGGCATTCTGACAATGATCGGAGCCGGAGGTGGATTTACTGACTTAGACTTAAATATACCCTGTAAATTACATTATTGAAAAAATAAATAACCCAAACGATAAAGTCATGATGAATCGCACAAATTGTCAGATAAGTCAGTAAAAGAATAATAATTTTAATTATATTATTATTCCACATTACACTTACAATATGGCGTAATAAATTCATAGCTCCATCCGCCACCGTATTAATCATTAAAGTATCGGCCAAATTTACCATACCTTTGCGTTTTTTATACAATTTCACACAAAACAATCGTAAATCTTTAAAATGAAAAATATATTCAATACATTGATGGATGTTGAGAAATTGACAATAAAATCATAGAGTATATCAATATCAGATATGTCAAATGTGTCAAGAAAAGGAGATTAGTCTGTGCGTTAGAGATTTGACACATCAAAAGCCTTGCAACCGTAGACAGAGAAAACACGTAACGTAGTGTATTTAGTCTATAAGCTTATATTTATAAGCTTGCAGCTGCGGATAATAAGCGCATACTTTACTCTTTGATTAGCACGAATAATTTTTCCTAACTGTACGTGCGACTTCGTCCGCGTGGAATTTTATTATATTTTTCTAAAATAAAAGTAACTTAAGTTACTCCTTAGTACATCAGCTGCTTGCCAAAAAAAGTCCCGTCAAAATGGGGCCAGCCATTTCAGAGATTAGCCGGAATAAACAGACAGACAGACAAAAATTGTAAAAAATGTTATTTTGGCGTATTTATATTCATATGCATGTAGTAAACAATGGTTATTTCAATATTACAAACAGACACTCCTATTTTATTTATATATATAGGTAGATTAAAATAAATGTAATTGATTGGATTTTACGGTTACTTTTTTGTACCGACGCGACGCGGCGACGCCGCGATTGTACTACTAATATTCAGGGCCGTCTTTCACCTATTAGAGGCCCTGGGCACATTAGAATAATGGACCTCTATGACCATATAACAGTAATAAACCACTATCTTGTGAGAATAGACAAAGTCATTTTTGAACATGAGTCTTTAGAGATGTATAGTATTCTGGGCATTTCTGGGACCTTTAAAACAAACTAGGCAAAAATCATTTATAAAATGAACAAAAACGTACAAATTGACTATAATCGGTAAGCATTTGTTAAGATTGATCTTCAGGCAAGAGGACAGTAGCTATCGGTTATCGTTTGGTAATGGAGTAGGGACTAGACTAGACTAGGGGGCCCCAATCCACCACCGGGCCGTGGGCACGTGCCCAGTGGGGAAGAGGGGGAGGGGGGCTGCTAATATTGGTGGTATTTTAGACTTTATTTTTTGTTTAAGGCCGATAGAAATGTGCATTTTATTAGAAGCGTAGTGATTGCTTGCTCAGTGGGATTACGCTTATGCGAATTTATACGATTTCATCCATCCGGCCTACATATACCAGTGAAACCACATCACTGGTGTGGTTAAATATGTAGGCTGTCAAACTGTTCCTCTTCCTGATGAAATACAATAACCGATGTTAATAAACATTAATCATGGTCATCACAAAATTAATTCCTAATGCCTGACGGTATTCCTCATGCGTTAACTTTATAATCTATACATATACCTAAATAAAATTGGAGTGTATGTTTGTAATATTGAAATAATCATTTTATTACTACATGAATATGAAGATAAATACGCCAAAATAACATTTTTTACATCTTTTGTCTATCTGTTTGTTCCGGCTAATCTCTGAAATTGGTGAAATCTTTCATTTTAGAAAAATAAAGTTAAATTCCACGCGTTAAATTCGCAGGTATAGCCAGTTACTAAATAGTTTCGAACAGAATTACCTAAAGGAGGTAACTCTATATCAATGTTTGAAATTTTTACCAAACATCAAAAGTATTCTTTATTTTTGCAAATACATTTACTTACAAATTAGGTATACCTAAACTTATTAATAAACTAGCTTACAGCTGCGGATAATAAGCGCATACTTTACTCTTTGATAAGCACGAATAATTTTTACTAACTGTACCCGCGACTACATCCGCGTGGAATTTGTTTTGAATTTTTTTTCTAAAATAAAAGTAGCCTAAATTACTCCGTATTACATCAGCTACCTGCCAATAAGAGATCAGTAGTGCTCATTTTTATAATAATGTTTATGAAACTCTATAGTTAACAAATGATGTAACCTTAACAGATGTTTAGGTGCGTGGCGCAGGAATAGTCGAGCCTATCTGCACTGCGTCACCGATTTCTGCGTCTCTGCACAGACCTCTCATTACCAGAAGTAGAAAAACGAATGATATTGTCGTAAAGCCACGTGAAACCAATTACTGATAATTAATTTCTGTCGACTATTATCTCCTAATTTATAAAAACTTAAGCACTGCTGTAACTTTCGTAACTTAGCGCGAAGTGATAATTCTCAAACCTAAACACCGATTATGAAAATAGTAATATTTATTAGCTCAGTGCTCAATGACAATTACGCCTCGCAGCAACGCGTCATACCAATCATATTATTTTTCGGACTACTCTAATGCTGTTGGCCGCAGCTAGCCTTTACAGCTTCACCGGTCGATTATCATAAAATGAAATTACGATACCAATAATAAAGCTTTGAAAACCGAGAAAATGCTGTCAGTCACTTCCCGTTTCACTTTTTACATCTGTTAATAACTAGTTACAATACACTTCTTTGAAAAGCTGTTTGAAATTAAAATGCAATAAGTAAGATTATTTTTTATTTGTTATTTAAGAAACGTTCGATAATAACCTAATAATAATAAAACCTTCCGCAGATCATCAACGGATGTATAACATAATGTTAACATGGCACCATACAGTTTATTAGCACCTATGAATTCACAACGTATTGTGTAAACCTATAAATAATAACTTATAAATAATCACATTTCGGAGAATTTCTTTGTAACCACTATCTAATTTCATGTAATTTTCTTGGTCTGTATCACGCGGATATGTTTGCATTTCGATCTTCGGGACAGCAAACTCCTGCGTATCTGTAGATAAAGTAATAAAAAATACAGGTAAATAAGTTGGATAGTAAAATAAACAGCTACCATACTTTTCCCGTTTTGCCAGGAATCGTATAACTCTCTGTTATTGAAAAACAAAAAACTCTACTTATGATACTTTTCACCTATGAATTCTGCTTATGATACTTTTTAGGTATATAAGTGATCTGTAATTTTTCCATCATCAGGTGTGCTGGTAAGACAGTGAAATTACGGGACGAGAGACATGATATTTTCGTTCACCGGAATGGCAACGCATGAGTTGTATTTTACGACGGTTCCCACTTACCATCAGATGGCCCGTCAGCTTGTAGATATATCTATATATGCTTGTAGATATACGGTACGTATATAAAAAAAGTATAGATTGTCCACTCTAACTTATTTTGAAATGTTAAGTACGAAGTAAAGTGAGAATTTTGAAGTAGTACCTAATAGCAAAACACACTCGCTAAATAAGGAGAGTTCTCTACCATTTTTTTATCCTAAATCTATACTAAAGAAATATTTCTACACGTAAATTTTGCATATCACAAATCTTTCCTCGACGACTTCGCTGATGGTTTAGTACACTGGTTTACTTCATACGGTCGCGGGTTCGATTTCTTGCACAATGCAAATATTTGTATTTATGAGCTTGATTGTTCGTTTTGGTTTGCGTCTGTCCATATTAATACTTAATAAACAAATCAAAATTTTATTTAAAAAATACAATTTCTATTTAGTTGTGCAGTACAAGTACTCATACACTAGGTTGAAACTATATAGCGCTCTGTCAATTGTCTAGCGTTATTATTATTAGTGGCTGAAGAAAACCAAGGTGGCCACCAAAACATACCCAGAATCAAAGATGCAAGCAGATTTCGAATAATTCTCTACGGTGATGTTTTGTGCTGCCACACAACTTGTGATGTAGATGCAGTTACCGGTGGCTCCGTCTATTGCATTGTTGCATACAGGGTCACCTCCAGGGATCAACGGTATCTGAACAGTATAAATAATGTTTATTTAAATTCCAATAATCGAGGAATAGTCCTCAAATTTGGAAGATTTCCCGTTGAATGTGGGGGCGTGTTGACGACAACTGTTTAGTGTAAATTCGTCAGCTTTTTTTAGGATGAAATAAAGTCTATGTCCGTGTATATCAATCTTCATAATTAATTTAATTAAGACCCGTCCAGTCGTTTAGTCGTGTAAAAAAACAGACAAATTTAAACAAACAGGCCGACACACCTTCACACTATAATAATAAGTACGTAAGTATGAAATCAATTGACTGCATTCGAATGCCGATTCAAGAGCGGTACCGTAGACGGGCATGACAGCTTGGGAGAGCATACCGTGCCGTGTACCGTGAAAAAATATTTGAAAAAAAAATATCACAACGTAAATTGTTATTTCGGACGTCTTCCGGGCTGAAATGATAAAATTATTATATAGTTTTAAATTTGACGCGGTTGTTATTTATACGTATAATTAGTAAAAATCACGGGATCTTACCACGTTTTATATTTATTTGCTGAATTCCCGATATTTCGGCAGTGTCTCGACCACCATGATCACGGGTTTACCCGTAAGATAAAATATAACACGTGGTAGGATCCCGTGATTTTTATTAATTATACCTACGTATAGATAAAATTATTATTACTGATGACAATCATTTTGTTATACATACCCTGTTGTCCTTGATAAGTTTCAAGTTAAGCGCGATTCCATTGACTTCGACCACAAGTGAATCAGTAGTGGTATTGAGCAGATGTATTGCCCAAGAGTATCTCTCTAATCCGTACTTATTTAGGGGACTGATGGAACTGGTTACCACTCGAGGGGTTGTAATGTAATAGTCCGGTTGCATATGGTCTGACGAGTGATTGATGGGTCCTGTACGTAATATTGTATAAAACTTACTATTTTTGATTTTCACTACATAATTACTCTGAAATCGCGTCACAGTCACAGATTTTGTTATTACGATGATAATTTTATACAATTAGAGCAGTATGGTTAGGTACGTGTATGATATGTCTAATAGCCCATTATATAAAAAATATTTAGATATGTTAATATATATTATTACCTACACTGATATTTTAGAGTAAAGTAACCTCTGGCAAAACCTAACAATTCTCTTTTATAATGCTACCTACTAACCGAGGCCACAATAATTCATTCATTGTTTTTCGTTAAAACATCATCGAGTGGATGCATCTGTTGTAAAACAGGTTGTTTGTGATTTTATGCATACTTGTAACATATATAGATACAAATGTGCCGTGTTGAGAACAGAAACATATTTTAGCGATGAAGTCTCATTTGAGTGATATAAAAACGTTGCATAAAATGTTTTGTTAATTACATACCCGTTGAACCTCTCGGAGATATGAGAGACGTAGTGTGGTAGTCTGAAGAACAAAAAAAATTCGGTAAGTGCGCCATTTATGAAGCAGGTCCATAATAATAATAATAATAATCTTTATTTGTCTCAAACAAAAACTTTTTACACAATACAACTATAGCCCATAGAATAATATAATTTAAAACTAATGAATGAGACAAAACGGTCTATAACTCAGTGAGGGCAGTGAGTCCACCCTCTCTGCTATTCTGTTATAACCTTTATCAGTAAAATACAATGTGAGATCGACGACGACGATAGCATATTAAGTTAACTTTTAAACTACAACTAACAAAGTAAACATAAAAATTGACAATAACAAACTTAAATATATATAATCTAAACATTATTCAGGATTAGTTACAACATTAAATAAAATCTAAGAATTGCCACCGGACTACCGATTGTCAAAGAACCTTCATTGTATCGAGTGGTATGAAAGGAGGTTTTAAATTCTACTGTATTTTTTGTGTGTTACGAATAACTCAATAAAAGTAAATAAAATTTATGTTTATTAAAATTATAGTGAAAGTTATAAACATGTGATTGTGATCGCTTCTGACAAATCCATAAAAAGTACATGTTTAAAATAATTAAGAGTGAGTACATTTCAGAGTTTTATTTTAGATATATATGTGGTGATGCATACAACCGAACCGAACCGAAGAATACAACCTGCCACTTTGCTTGGCGTTTGTGGACTATGAAAAAGCCTTTGATTCGATCGAGACGTGGGCTGTGCTACAGTCTCTCCAGCGGTGCCAAATTGACTATCGATATATCGAAGCGTTGAAATGTTTGTATGAAAACGCCACTATGTCAGTTCGCCTCCACGACCAGAATTCGAAGCCTATCCAACTGCAGCGAGGTGTCAGACAAGGCGATGTCATATCGCCAAAGCTGTTTACCGCTGCGTTGGAAGATGTCTTCAAGCTTCTGGACTGGAGCGGGCTGGGCATCAACATTAACGGCGAGTACATCAATCACCTTCAATTTGCCGACGATATCGTGGTCATGGCTGAGCCCCTGGAAGACCTTAGCAAAATGCTCGAAGACCTCAGTAGAGTCTCACAAGGAGTAGGTCTTAAAATGAACATGGACAAGACGAAAATTATGTCAAACGTCCATGTCGTACCTGCTCCCGTAAAAATCGGAGATTCTACACTCGAAATTGTCGATCACTACGTATACTTAGGGCAAACTATCCAGCTAGGTAGATCCAATTTCTAGAAAGAGGTCGTCGGTCAATCGTCGAATCCAACTCGGATGGGCAGCGTTCGGGAAGCTCCGATATATCTTTTCGTCCAAATTTCCGCAGTGTCTCAAGACGAAGGTTTACGACCAATGTGTGTTGCCAGTGATGACTTACGGAACAGAGACGTGGTCGCTAACTATGGGCCCCATCAACAAGCTCAGAGTCACTCAGAGGGCAATGGAGAGGGCTATGCTCGGAGTTTCTCTGCGTGATCGAATCAGAAATGAGGAGATCCGCAGAAGAACCAGAGTGACCGACATAGCCCGAAGAATTGCGACTTTGAAGTGGCAATGGGCAGGGCACATAGCTCGTAGGACAGATGGCCGTTGGGGCAGTAAAGTCCTCGAGTGGCGACCACGGACCGGAAGACGCAGCGTGGGAAGGCCTCCAGCAAGGTGGACCGACGATCTGGTCAAGATCGCGGGAAGGCATTGGATGCGAGCAGCGCAGGACCGATCGTCGTGGAGATCTTTGGGGGAGGCCTATGTCCAGCAGTGGACGGGCTGCGATGATGATGATGATGATGATGCATATATTGCACTTACCCCATTTATAAAGACTATTAGAACTTATTACTATGTCCATTCCAATGACAATAATTAAAGCTACTGCAAAGGTCAATGAGTTCCCATTAAAATGATTAAATTTGAAGGAAATGAAATAAAAACGTTGCAAACTATATTTAATTAATAACATACCCGGAACTCTCTTGCTCATCTGCCATGACGGTAATGTGGGAATCGTAGATCTGTAGCCTGAAGAACAAACATTGATACGACTAGTGAAACTAATAAGTTAACGTAATAACTTATTAGAAGATATAAGTTTCAGTTCAGTATTCTAAGCAGAATAATTAGAGTATCATCAAAGGTAAAATTTATATAAAAATTCACCAAATTTGGTCAATCAACTCAGTTACTTAATGAGAATAGTTTATAGTATCTGGTAAATTTTCCTACTTATAAATATAGAAAGTGATTAGTATAAACTACAGAAAACATCAAGTGACAATGTAGCGCACATAATTTGACATCATAGAGACACTTCCCCACTTCAAAATCATGGCATTTTTAGCAAGGCATGTGAATATTTTAGTCTATATGGGAATAGATGTTACGCATGCAGTATCTAAATCAAATGTTTTTTTTTTTCAATAAATGTATGTTATGTTTTCCCAAGCAATTAAAAGACAATTTATTTTATTGTGTAGTAAAATAAACATTTGATGCAACGTACCATATGCTGAAGTGAAACAATGAATGAATTATTTCCAATGCATGTAAACAATGACAATGATAAAACGTGACAAATTAACTGGCATATTTATTAACAACTAAATTATTATTAGCCTTAGGCAGCTACAAGACAACTTTTATGTACCGGTGTCAAATAAGTTAATAACATTATCGTAATTATATTGTAGGTAAGATTGGTTATTAAAGGCTATTATTATTAGTTACAGACGTCGTACGTCCTACATGACGTACAAAGGTTGTTGTTGATTGAAATAACTTTTGTTTTCCCTTGGATCGATCGATCCCTGACCCCATACCAACGAGAATCGACATTACAACGCCCTAACTGGAGGTTCTAACTGCTAACAATGCTCTTAGACTAAAGTTTTATTTATTAGGCATTCAGCCGCTCCTTAAGTCCCATCGCGGGTTTAGAATGTACTCTGCACTCGTCATGTGAAGAAATGTAAACCAGCTGCGGCCAACAAAATTAGGATGCATATTTCGAAGAAAAAAATGTTTTACATTATTATTCTAACCGGTTGGGGGTACTTGAACGTTGTAAATGCATTAATCATTGAAATTTTGGGCAGGTATTTATTAGTCAGATTTTTTTTAAAACACATCATAGCTAAATGATTAGCAACTGACGTGACTATGCTGTCTGGGATAATTGACATAGTAAGTAGTTTTGATTAATAACGAAAGCAATGTGCTTTAGGTATTATACCTACATAGGATGAACTTTAATATAGTATACTTACAGCTAGTGGAAATTCATATGTATTATATAGTGAGTGCTGAACTGAATATTAGTTATAGAGCCACTTTAATCATTCTGTTATATTAGAAATATTGAACTGGTTTTTTGTTCGGTTTTATTAAGAAAAACCGAAAAATAACTGAAGTGGTGGCTGGCACTACCGATTCCGTCAATAAAATAAAATATTTTAGACATTTGTATTAATTTAGACTATATTATTATTACTGCTTATTTTGCACTTTTTATATTAACTATAAGCTTAAACATACTAAATTAACGACATTCATTTACTATGTCTGTCACACTTATCAGTTGCCACACCAAAAATTGGTAAAACAAACAAAAAATGAAAATTATACTGAACGGCTATATGGGCTTAGACTCTTTGCCTTTCCTATAAGGATAAATAAAACTAAAAAAATAACTACTAACGGAAAAGATAGCAATGAAAAAAATATATAAAAATATGGCGAACCTAGATACTCCCTCTATTGAATATTGGAAATCGTTTATTGCCTTACCAGGTGACGCCTGCTCCACTTCGTAGTCGAGACTTTCCACATCGTCGTATTGTAACGGGCCAGCAGCTAATATAAAAAAAAACTGTCAAGACCGAGTAGGACTTACACACGGAAAGTTCAGAACAAGTTTTATTTTCTTCATTTGTCTATTATTAATACATATACTTATACTCATATATGAACATATAAGGATAATATTATAGAATAGTAAACTCATTACGCTAACGGTTCGTATATCAGGGTAAATGCGGGTTCTCAGATCCGATTTTGAAAATTCTTTTAGTGTTGGATAGCCTATTTATCCAGGAAGGTTATGGGCTATATAACATCACGATACGAACAACAGAAACGGAGCTGCAATGTAAAATGTTGCAATAATGTGTAATTTAACGCAGACAAAGTGATATATTCACTTCATATGTAGAAATGTATTCCAGATATTAATGTGATAGGATTGCAGTCAGCTGTTTGGTAGACTAAACATTGCTATAGTATTTATTTCCGCTACCGATGCGGTATTAAACGAAATAATACAAATCCATTAAATAATGGAATTGACTTTCGCAAAATAACACGTAATTCAATAAAATTTATTTTCCATACTCTCACCGTGAGCCAGGGTCGGATCTACTTGCATTTCCACAACTCCGTTATCCCGCGTAAGTGATGAACCTAAGCGCAAACTTGGGTCATATTAAAGGCATAATAGCAATTTTTGATGATTACTGAAGTTTATTAAATTAGTTACATATTTTTAAAAGCAGATGTACCACATTGTGATTTTCCCTCTACATGTATTTGTTAGTTAATGAAATGGAAAATGAACAAAATCAGAAGATTACATTTTATGTAAAATATCATAATAGACCTGAGGTACCTGTAAAACATGTTTCAATTACAGGTATAAGTTAAAATATCAATAAGAAGTGATGCGCCCAATTATTGCCCACTGCAATTCTCGGATTGTATCGTACAATGAATGGGTAACATATTAGGCAATATGCAATAATATATAACGTAGCTAAAATATTCATTTTACCTGGAAGAATGGCACTTGCGTAAGATGCTTGAGGAACAGGATAGGATCCTACATACATGTGATGATGTGCTCCGCCTATATTCGTGGATAACGGGGCCAATGCTACAAATAAATAATAAAAATATATAAATCGTGATTTTTTTAGTTTCGGCTAAATCTCGATAGTCTTTACCTCCTTTTAATTAATTTTTATTAAATTTTAAAAAGAGGTAAAGTACATATGGGTGGGTAATCACCGGTACTAGTGACACGATTTTGAAAATTCTTTCAAGTGTTGGATAGCCCATTTATCGAAGAAGGCTAATTATACATCTTCACACTGCGAGCAACATGAACGGAGCAGCAATGAAATAAGTTGCAAAAACGGAGAAAATGAGGCAGATACGTTGGCCTATTGATATAGGTAGTTAGAACTGCTCCAGCGAGGAAAATTGTACAAAATACAGATTATTTTACACATTGTTCTTTAGAATCTAATAATCGAAAGCGATAGCCTATGACGTAGCATGTTTATGTCAAAGCATTCTGCAACGCATAAATGATACTTCTGTTCTGCAATAGATTGCACATTGACGGCCTAACTGATAGTAAATGGTAATCGTCGCTTATATACATGGACAGCACCGAGAACAACAAGTATCCTGTGACGCCCGTGACTCATGCGTGCATGCATGCGTGCCATTCTGGAGAGCTATGTCATGCCACTCTTATCCTGTACCTAATTTCACTGCGTTATTTATACATGTCAATTATAAAAATAACAATGAGCTTTTATTATAGAGAAATGTTAAAAAATCATTTACTCACGTATAAAGCCTGCTAAACCGTGTGCAAAGCCGTGATTGTCATTGGCAACTGCAAATGTGTAATAATATACAATTATGTAATATCAAAACAAATACCTAAATCTCTAAACTTACTACCAAATATCATTATGTACTAAAGTATTATTGTAAGAACTATTGAATGCGACAAATAATGTTCTCTTTATTGTGTATTTTTCTACCATTTTTAATACTGTATGTATTATATTTTTAGTTGTATATCAAAAATACAACTAATAGGGGAGCGAGGGGCAATAGCGCTCATCGGGTAATGGCGCTCACCTCTGTAACTCAAATTGGAATGTAGCAACTCGCCACGTTACTTAAAGCACGAGGATAAGCCTCTAAAAGACAGCAATGCAAACAGACAGTCAGCTCGCGTCATGTGATTGTGAAGTGCGGATTTTCGTTTGCGGTCATACTGATCTAATTTTTGCATAAGTATTTTAATATTTTAATGCTTATTTAATTATTAAGTATACTTTTCTGATAATAAAACTATTTGTTGTATTTTATGGTAATGCAATCAATTTTTAACAATTATGTATGATTTTTTTAAATTTCTAATTATTTCCAAAACGACCGGTTGGGGGTTATACCGCTAACCTGACCGCTATTACCCCTTTGTGACTTATTTTTTTTATTGTTGTAGATATAAGAAAACGTCAACGGATCGCCGCTAAAGTTGTTAGACCGAAAATACCGAAAAAGACCTTCAATCTGCTAAAACTATTATTAAAATAAGGTTGTCCAAAAGAAAACAAAAAAACATTCTTCAGATAGTGAAGACAAAGAGGACCTTTGCGATGATGACAGTGACAACAAACTGAATGTGGATGATAGAAATTATGAATTTGGAAAAAATATGAAATCTAGTATCACTGCACCATCTGCGTAGTGTGGGCTCATGCTACATGTTCAGGGTGGGATTCGCAGACAGATACATATGTTATTTATGTACCCAAGAATAAAATATTTTTATTTCTATTTTGTCTTACCTCTAATAAGTATTATTACTTTATATTATATTACAATAATTAAGTTGATTTAACATCTAAGCAGTTGATTAAACTATATTTATTCAATTGAAAAAGGCTAATTTTACGTAGAAATGGGGATAATTGGGGATTATAGATTTTACTTTTATTATATAAGATTGATCTTATGAATATTTCTTTAATTAATATATTTTACTGGTTATTAGACATTACCCCGTACCCTTAGCGGCATTACGTATAGTCAGGGGCAATGCCGCTCAAACATGTTTTTTTAAATAATGTCTTCCTATTACTAGTAAAATAAAGTTATATGCTTTTGTTGTTCAATTGTTGGTTACTCGATAATTAAAGACTTTTCTAAATTTTGATTTGCAATAAATAATTTGTAAAATACACCATGTTTTCCTTAAGTGAATGCCATTCACCCTTCTTACCCTAAATGGCACATATTGTCTATTCTATGTCAAAAATGACTACTGTGTAGATCTAATATACAGACATACGTTCATTATATCAAAACATCACTGTAAAATCATAAATTTCATTTAATTTCATTAGCATAGCAATATAATAAAATAAAATAAAATATTTATCTAACTTATGAATAATATTAAAAATGATCACATTATTATTATTATAGCCTTTATTCAGATCCAACTTATACATTATTTTAAAACAAACAAACAAAGCTTTAAAACTTAAAACGAAAATAGTTATTCTATTATTTGGATCTTTTTTAATGTCTGTAGATTTGTTTGCCAATCGGCAAAGGCCTCCTCCAAAAAATGATCACATACTAAATAAAATAAAAAATAAATTGCAGTAAATCTTTTTGATACTATATATAAAAAATTCGTGTCACGTTGTTTGTCTGCGATGGAATCCTAAACTACTGAACAGATTTTGATGGAATTCTATACATATAGAATGTAACATAAATAATAGTAGGTCTGAGAAGAAATCTATTTGTTATCTATTTTTTACAACACTAAGGATAATTCTAAAGGGTATCCCTTCTTTTACATATTTTTTAAAATATTGGTTTGGTATCTATAAATGTTGGTTGGTATCTATAAATATATTGTGTTAATTTTGTTCACCTTGTATAAATTTTGTACGTTTTATAAAGTTAGACTTGATCCCTACCTTTGTCAACAGATTCGGCATTCACAGCATTTTTCGTGTCATTGGGCTTGACCACTACCAGTGACGTCAGCGGAGTCACCAACTGGTACTGTTGAACAGCAGAACAGCAAATATAAAGACAGGTTTCAGTCAAGTATCAATGGATATGGCAACACTTTCTATGTACCTAATTTATACACTATTTCAATACTGTTGTATTACCAAATACTATGCCATATATTAAGATAGGAACTGAACATTCACTGCTATGCGGATGACAGTACCGGAGATGCCTTGTACAGCGGCCATGCTAATATGTCGCAGGCAAAAATTATAGAGTACCGGAACAAACCTGTGTCCGAAATCGAAACTTCACTCCATCAAGTTTCGGTTTGGGGTCAGGAAAATTGTATTCAATTCAACCCCAAGAAGACACAAGTTTGCGCGTTTACAGCTAAAAAGAATCCATTTATCGTATCTCCTCAGTTTCAAGACACTCTCCTTGATGTGAAGCCAAATCTCGAGGTCCTTGGCGTTGATATATCCAGTGACGTTCAATTTTGCGGTCATTTGGAGGACAAGGCTAAAATAGCCTCAAAAAAGCTTGGTGTGCTCAGTAGAGTGAGACGGTATTTCACGGCGGCCCATCGCTTGCATGAGACAAGGCGCAGATCCGGCCGCACATGGAATACTGTTGTCACCTCTGGGCGGGAGCACCACAATACCAGCTACTTCCATTTGACCGCATTCAGAACCGAGCAGTCAGAATCATTGGTAATCAACGTCTATGTGACAGACTCGACCCATTGGCTTTGCGGCGTGATATTCTCTGTGCATATATCACGGGGAGTGTTCTGAGGAATTGTTCGGATTAATACCAGCTGCTGAGTTTCACCACCGTACCACCCGCCAGAAACTGAAATACCATCCTGATCATCTGGATGAATGGCAGTTTTCCACAGTGCGGTTTTCTAGAAACTTTTTGCCTCGCACAACCACATTATGGAATCACCTTCCAGCAATGGTATTTCCGAACCGATACGATATTGAAACCTTCAAGAAAAGAGCTTATTCCTTTTAAAAAGGCCGACAACGTACTTGCAATTCCCCTGTTGTTGCGGGTGCTCATGGGCGTCGGTAATCACTTACCATCAGGTGAGCCGCATGCTCGTTTGTCCCCTGTGTTATAAAAAAAAACAGGCGACTATCAGGAACTTTTATATGGATGATAATGGTATGGTGTACCCGCCTTTTTTTATTTGGAGAAAATCCCTCATTGGGTTGGTTGGTCCATTATTGGTTTGGTTGTTTCCTATATTTATTATATATTATATTTATATTTATTATATATAAGTATTTCTATTAGTTGTCTGGTAGCCATAACACAGGTTCTACTTAGCTTGGAACTAGATGGCGCTCTGTGAATTGTACGAGGTGTTATTATTAGATTATTAATAAGTGAATGTAGGCAGAATTTCTCGAAACTTACAAGACAAAGCTGTTTGTAAAACACAAATGCAATTTTTATAGATAACACTACATGCCAATACTATTTGCGATCAGCCACTATCTACTAGGTTAATATTATATATAAAATTCTCGTGTCACAATGTTAATTACCATACTCCTCCGAAACGGCTTGACCGATTTTTATGAAATTTTATATGCATATTCTACAGGTCTGAGAATCTGCTCCTATCCATTTTAATACCTCTAAGCGATAAGGGTAGTCCACCCCTAACCAGTGCCGGATATAGCACTACCAGCGCCCTGGGCGAGAGTTTATACGGCGCCCCCCTCTCCCTTATTTTACTCGCGCCTTCTAACTGCAAACCCATTCGATAAAACTGGTTAAGCACGAATTGGATTCGCACTCGAAGGGTTCCGACCAGCAAACAAAGAAAAACATTTTATAGTAGATACTTACGTTATATATATAGGCAGGCGAATATGATTATATCATCAAGGTAAGCAAATATTCATATAAAGACACCTATTTTTTTTTAAGATTTTATAACAAATGTTCAGTTTTCAGATTTATTCCTGTACTTGTGATCTATAACGATGTTACTTACCATACCATTTCATAGTTCCAGATCACAAAGGGGCGCGTCCCTTTTGCCTTTACTTTTTCCCTTTACCTTTGTGTCCGGCGCCCTGGGCGGTCGCCCAACCGCGCCCTACCTTAACGCCCCTAACATCTATTTTTATTTTTTACTCAATCACCCTTCTAGCACCAATTCCCCTATTATTTAATAGCGATATGAGTGTATATTAGTACTTTAATTTAGTACTATATATTTTATTTAGACAAAATTACCTTCAATGCTATATTCAGAGCTTCTTTTTCGGGAGTCTTTTCTTTGGCTTCAGACTTTTCTGAGTCCAATTGTGCGTCCTTTTTATCCAGAAGTTGTTTAACAGTGAGATAGGCCCAAAGTCGTTCCAGAGGTAAGTAGTAGTTCTTCGAACGAGGTATCGGTGCTGTCAATGTTACATCGTACGGAACCTGTTTTATTCAACAGAAAGAAATATTTTACCAGAGGTAGACTGTAAAACGTCTTTAGTGTCATCTATTTCAGCCCGCAAGCAGTTTGCTTTGTAAGCTGTATTTTTTTGATACAACATAGGTGGCAAACAAGCATACGGCACATCTGTTGGTAAACGGTTACCGTAGCGTATAGACGCCTGAAACACCAGGGGTGTCACGTGCGCGTTGCCGAGCCTTAAGGAACCTTAATAACCTTTTGATTGTCGAGTGCAAATTGGCAGTAAAGGTCAATTACAGGACTTGGATTAATTTCTACAATATAATTATATATAATTTACAGGATAAGTTTCTGCAATTTCAGAAACTTATCCTGTAAATTCCAGATGAATAAGATGTCATGCATCTTAATCTTAATACCTGACATCTTAGACATCTGGAATTGCACCGCATGAGCGGTAAATCGGATATCAGGTGAGAACGTGATGTCCGTAGTGCTGTTGATGGTTATAGACGACGGTTACCGCTTACCAGCAGGTGGACCCTCAGCTTGTAAGGCATTCTAATTACATAAAAAATAAAGTACTTCGATCGTGTCTCAACATAGGGGTCACTACCTCTAGCAAAATCAGATTCTGTATATAATTATATATGACTAATAGACAAACACATGTATATATATATATACGTGTGTTAGTCTATTAGTATTTATATTGGTAACCTTAATTAAGTACCACATAGTCTATAAATTTCAATTGGGGGGTACCATGGGCACAGCTCGTTTTATATAAAATATTGTGTTAATAACTTACACTGCCCGTTTGGTTGTCGACGGCGCAGTAGGCATTTAAAGACGACACGATCTCAGTGGCGGTCTCATCCACCTGACCGGCCACCACCACCTCCGAGCCATCGTAGTATGAACGGAACGAGTGCTTAGTTAGCGAATCACTTTTCACCTGTAAACATTATAGTCGTAATAAATACTAAACATCTTTATTTGTCTCAAATTATAAACTTTTACAGTTGGTGCTTATAATAAAACTAGCTACTCGCCCTGGCTTCACACGGGTATGAATTATATTCCTCTAAAATCACTCTATCTATTAGAGAAAACCACTTCAAAATTGCGTAGTTTTAAAGATTTAAGCATACATAGGGATTGACAGCGAGAGCGACTTTGTTTTATATTATATAATTATGATGTTTAAAAGTTATTAATCGACTCAACACGCTCAAAGGGGTAGTGAGTCCACCCTCTTTGATATTATTTTATTTCCTTTCTTTGTCAACAGATTCGGTAAACACAGCAGCGTGGCATTGGGCCTATGCATAACCAGCTTTAGTCACAACCAGATATGCCACCTCATACTGTTGAACACCACATATAAGGACTGGGTTTCAGTCAAGTACCAATTAGATATAGCAACACTTTTAATGTACTTAATTAGAACATTATTTCAATACTTTTGTATTACCAAATATATGCAGTATATTAAATTGGGGACCGAACAGACGACGCGTATTTCTATGTAGGTATATTTTTGTCTGACATTCTGTTATAGCATTTATCGATAAATTATTACAAAATAAAATCAACGATGACGATAGCATTTAAGTTCAAAAGTATCGTCTACTAACAAACTAAGCAGACACTAAAATTTAACAAAAACAAAATTACAAACTAAAAATTACACTTTAAACATAAGAATGTCTTAGTCCTCCGGAATGACAATGAGTGTTGCCGACGTATGTACGATCAGGTGGTCCGTCAGCTTGTTACAGTTTAATTATATAAGAAAAAGTAGGATTGCTTATATTTTGTACAGTTTACCTGATTAGGAGGGTAGATGAATTTAAGATGTGCTAACAGTGGGGACGACACCTGCCGATAAAAGTCACGAAGCTGCTGCGCTGCGTCCGCAGCCTCGTAGATATGCCGCATGAATCCGTCGTTTCGCAGCGATATCTTGCGCAGGAACTTGCGATCCGCGTCTTGTCCTATAATTTTCAAAGGTGTGTAATTTCCTAAGAGAACTTAAGGATAGTAGTAGACCTTTATTATGTAGTTCTAATATAAAAAAACAAAAATGTTATTATTCTTTATACTCATATTGAAAAAGTAGGTAAAAGGAAGAAAAGAGTGTTTACAAATTTTTTGTCAGTCTTCACTAAAACTGCCTTCAGTAGATTTGACTTATCATATGTATCTGTAATTAGACCTACATATTTTAATATATTTTTGATTTAATTTGAAGGTTGCTTGGAAGTTTTACTGAGGCAGACTTGTGTGGATATCTCTGTTTTAAGCTGATGTGCTAAAATAGGTGACATTTCAGCCACCAAGCATGAATTGCTTACATGACGGTAAGGTGTGCTTTGATTCAAATGTGATATAATAGTGAAATTTAAAGATATATACTACAAATAAAAATAAACTATTAAGGTGTGAGAACTTCTCTCCGAAATGATAAAGCTGAAGGGGACACCACGTCATAATGCGATGCCCGTGGCATCGCATTAAGTATGACGTGGTGTCACTTACCACGCGGACCGTCAGTTTGTTGCCCATTACAATAATATAACAACATCTTTCGTAGTTTCTATTCCTACTTTTGCCAAGCCTTCCATCGCGTGGCATCGCATTAAGTATGACGTGGTGTCACTTACCACGCGGGCCGTCAGTTTGTTGCCCATTACAATAATATAACAACATATATACAAAAGCCTTCCAACTGGCGGTCCATTTTGATGCAAAATGGAAAGTGACGTGTATGATGTCATCGATATTAATGCAGAACAATCTTAAGAAGTTTTTTATGTATTCATTGTGTATAGTAGATCAATGTAAAGTTAAATAGTGTAGGAAGTTCCTAGTTGGTCTAACATTGAAAATTCACAAATTTATCTTACCAAAAGCTAGAGAAAATATTGCTGCTTTGTTAACTCCGTAATTCTTTTCGGTTAGATGGTTGATAATTTTCGTTGGATTGGTTTCACCAACAGTAGGATCGCCGTCCGTCAAAAAGATAATGATTGGCTCAAGTTTGACAGCTTCTGCAATTATAAAGAACATTATTATTTTTGCAGAAGTATTATTGCAAAATTACGAATTTATCATTATCACAATCTATTCACGCCATAGTACCCAATTGTCCTTCTATTGCGAGCAGGTCTCAAGTAGATTTCTTCACTTAACATTATCTCTGTATTAGTTTCATTAGTGAAAAATATTATTTTAAATAAATCCCTAAAAGACACCACAGATATTTACTTAGTGCATTGCATTTGCTCCAAACATTACACCACACATAACTTACTATAGAGTGGAGGATATCTCCAAAAAAATCACACCGTAATTAAGAAACATTTGTAAACAAATAAAGCATAAAATGATCTCATACCGTTTTCAGGCTTAGATAATTCGGACGCAACAGTCGTAGGTAAGGTCGTGGACTCAGTGTGGGGCGCAGAGACCGAGTCTGTTTCTATATCGGGGTTATTCTCTACGAAATCATCGTGCGCTTCGTTGTTTGTACTGAGACCCTTCTTGACGATCTGCACTGCGATGTCCAAAGCTTGACCAATATTTGTACCTATAAATAAAACGTATATTACTATTATAACTATCACTTCTTGCGTATTCCTGCTAACTCTTAGTGGGAGGTTGTCAATCAAAATGGCGATCTCAATTTTATCCCTCGCCACTCTTAAAACAAACATAGTGTCAATTCTGAACTACCGTCATAGGTACCCAATACGGGTGCCGCCGTCCTGCTCTTTAGCAATTCTAGATTCTTATTACCATTATATGAAATAGTTACTTGTTACAGGAAATTACCTACGTAGGTACGTATCTAACATATTAGATTTTTTATTCCTAGCAATAGTGTTCATAATTGCTTGGACAACCACATATCGTATGTGATCCCGATGCTACTAAGAGCACAGTACCTATATTAATTAGTCATATATGACCTGTGCCTTATACCATAAAAAAAATAATGTTATTTTCAAAATAAATTTTTAAGATTTTCATAATTATTGCTTACCTCCAGAAGCTTCTAGTCTGTTTACGATGACTGTAGCTTTCGCTTTATTTTCTTCTGTGGCCGGCGATGGTGCTACTAGTTTCACCTTCGGAACATATGACGTTCTGTAATAGTGATATAATGGCCGTGCCGGTTCCTCATCCGCTTCTTTCAATTCATGGACCTGTGAACACAGTTATGCCTTTTTATACCAAACATGCACCTTATAAATTTTATTATGTTCATATGTCATAATTTTTATACAAGAGTGGTGGCAATCAAGCATAGGGGCCCATCTGGTGGCAAACAATTACCGTAACCTATGACGCCTGAAACACCTGGGGTGAATCGTGCGCATTTCCGATTTTTAGGAAACCTTAATCATACGACTTCCCAATAGATATCAATTTTAAACCAACGCTTTCTTTAAGTAGCTCCATATAACTAATAACAACCATCACAAATATTGTTTGCCACCCGCAGATTTTCTATAGTACTCGTTTAACTGAGACAAACATTATAAGTTTCTAATAGAGCCCGAGACATTTTACGCGTGAACATTAGTAGATCGCCATCTATTTATGATAATCAAACAATATATGTAATACACACAATATAAAATATAAAGTTTAAAAAAATAATTCGCTCACCGTGACACTGGAATCGAACTCGACAATATTAAAATAATCTCCTCTGTTTAGATCACTCAGGATAGTTTCCATCGCTTCCCGTAGTTGCACGATTTTTCTGTCTGACATAGAGCCGGATGTGTCCAACACGAACACCACGTGCTTGTTCAACGGCGGCAAGTTAGACGGTGCGAAGAAGTGAACGAAGTAGCCATTGTTAACCTGAAAAAAGGAAGTAATTTAAAACTTTCGTGTTTAATATTAATACAGTTTCGGTCTGTTTTGGTTCGTTATTAATACAGTTAATTTGGTCTAAATACGTTTATTTACCAACAGCTGTCCCCGCGGTTTCACCTGCGTGAAATTTATAGCCTATGTGTTATTCTGATATAAGGTAGTTATATTATTGTAAAATTTCATTAAAATCCATTCAATATTTTTTGTATAAAACAGTAACAATCATCCATCTATCCATCCATTCAAACTCACAAACTTCCGCGTTTATAATATTAGTCGATAAGAAAAGTTATTGGTATTAAAATCCTATAAACTAAATATTAATAAGCATTGTCTATAACAATAATTTGTAGACTTTGTAAAATGTCATCAGCGTGGGTCTGTCCTAATTTAGGCGTCACATTTCAATAATTTAAAAAAGAAATAATGAATTCAAGAAGAGAAATCAAAAGTATTCGTTTCATTTATACTAATATTAAAAAGAGGTAAAGTTTCTGAGTTTGAATCCAAACACATTCACGTACAAACTATATCGGGATACTGCAGATTTAGTGTTGGATAGAACTCTTATCTAAGAATGCTTATAGGTCATATAACATCACGTTATGACTGACTAAAGAGGAGGTGCAATGAAAAATATTACAGAATCGGGGAAAATGTCAGGCAAACCTAGTTGCGTCGGTCCGTTAGTTTTAAATACGTTTAAGTATTGTAAGTGCAGAATAGTCAGTCTTAATGTGGAAAGGTGTATTAAAATGAGAATTTTTAAATTAAGTTGACTTACTATAATTTCCCCATTTTTAGGGCGATCCACGTCGTATTGTACAACAAATTGTCCCAAGACGCCTTCATTTTTTTCCTCAACATCGGGTTCCACAGGGTTATAAAAACTTCGCATATTTGATTGCGACTCTTTGGACTTTTCCTATAAATAAATTACAATATTGTTTATTAACGTGGAGAATATCCACTACATATTTAATTCTTTGGGACTGATATTTTCAGTGATATCCATTCCATTTCCTGTTAATAAAAGAATATATATTATATGCAAATTTAATATTTATAATAAACAAAATGGTGGTCGCTAAGATGTAGGTGTTAAATGTTTAAAAGATATTTGTTACATGGAGCTTTGCTATTTCCATGGAAAATCTTTTTAAGTCTACTATGATACTTTAAAGAGTGGTCTCTAATCCAATATTTTATGATTATTTATTATACAATATATACCTAATCATAAAATTGGATGTTATCCAATATTTTATGATTCCATATATTTTGACCATTGAACAAAAATCTCCATATTCCATACAAATTGCCATATAAGGGGTAGATACAGTTAAAGTTATCTCATAATTCTCACGACACTAGTTACAGTTATTAGTTACACGATACAGTTAGTATTCCGGCTGAAGAGTACTACTAGTGTTCAAGTTCATACTATTGTAATTTGAAATATTTCAAATTACAATAGTATGAACTTGCATGAAAACTCAGTCCTAAGGGATGACAATATGGTATTCTGTGAAGGTAATTCAATAGTACTCTTAGATGCCCTATGCCTATGCGACGATTTCCACTTTTCATCGAGTGAACTGTCAGCTTATTTGCCATTGTTGGAACAATAAGAAATATTGTTTAAATGTTACAAACCATATAAATTCCGATGAGTCTTCTTTGCTCTTCAAGATCGGGTTTGAATGTAACTGTCGCTAGACGATCATCGTGAGGGTGATGGATTACTGCTTTGGAATTTTCTGAAAATTAAAATATATGTAGGTACTTACTAAAAACTAGGGTTTGCACGGGTATTTAACAAAAAATTCAAAAATTATACATTATGACACATCTATAGACATCCTTTTTGCGTTTATTATTGTAACGAATTTTGTAGGATCTAACGGTTTACTCAGAAAAAATATAATTCAAAAGACGACGTCCTCCTTTTTGGAGTTTTGTTTAAAAGTTTGACATTTTTTTTTGTTGACAAGTTAAGTTTGACAATTTTGATCGCTTATTCCCTTTTTATTATATGCGTATATCATAATCTGATCAACATTCTTAATACAAGTTACCAAGGAGTTTCAGTATTTCCAGGAAACAACCTGAAACTTTTAAATCGATAGCTAATACTGATTTTCTTAGATTTTACTATCGTATTGGAATAACGACTTTACATTTTTATACCTCATTCGCTGTGTAACATTCATTTCAAATTGTCTGAAACCTAGTTGCTGTAACTTACGTGTATCCTCTGCAGTGGCATCAATCTCGTTGCCTGTCCTGACCTCAGGCACTCTTAGCTTCGTGATCTTCTCTGACTCGTGGATGTTCACGGTGACTGATAGATTCGGTACAAGCGACCCAGGATGCAGATTGATGGCGTGGTTATACACTCCATTACGCCGAACCAAAAGCTCTTCGTAGGTCAAGTTGAAAACAGCCTCAGTATTAGGCTCCACGTTAACCGTCACTGTGAAGTGATTTGAGTCACGAGCCCTATGGAATTAGTCAATTTATTGTCTCATAATAGAATTAATGTAATGTAATGACCGAAATGTTGTAATTTCTTTGCAGCAGCGTTTGTTGAGTTTCTGGTTTTAATACCTCCTGAGTGGGCAAAGTGGTAAAGTTACGGTGGAATGTTAACGCAACCCTGCGACTACGGCAATGGCGGCTCAGAGGTATACCATGTAGTTTTAGCGAGTAAAAATCCTATTCACACCACCCGTTATCCCTTTGTGTGCGGGAAAATTTTCCCACACGTAAAAATAGGTCGTTGGTATGAAAAATCATCTGAAATGGTTGTTAAAACATCTAAAAACTTTGTAATATATGTTAATTTATACATCAACTTTCCGTTGACAGAAAAACAGATAATTAAACCAAACTAATCCGAGAAATGGTGATATACTCGCCCAATACCAAGTTAGATTCACATATACTGAGCGAAATATGAGTCTGTCAGATATTTCTTTTACCACAACGTCAACATGTTGACTACTCTTCTGGGATAATAGTAATAATAGTATTTACTTTGCAGCAATATGCGCAGCCGCAGTTCCGCTAGCCACCGCTTGGTTGTAAATGTTCTTAGCCTCTTCTTTTTCTTTCACATATGCCTTGTAAGATTTTCCATCCAGTGTCCTAAAACCATATTAGCAAAATGTTACGAATTGTTTTTGCCACATCGGCATGGTTTAAATTATGTTGTTTACGCTTATTATAAAGACCCATGCCTATACCACTTATACTAACAATGCTATAAAAACAAATCTTTGTATCGTGCGAGAATAGTATCCGCGACCATCGAAAATAAAACTATGTTAAACCGCTAGATCACCAAATTTATCGATCCAAAATATCTAACATACGAACATGATAAATCCACTGATGAAAGCTGTATCAGGTAATAATATCTTGAACGTGGCCTCCTGAGAGCGCTTGGCCGGATTCCGTACGCGTGTGACCACAGCCGTGTGCGCGTATCGCAAGGCTATGTCCGACGTTACCTCCATCTCAGTTAGTTTCACAGGTGGTACTGGTTCAGCCGTAGCAGTTTCGTGACTGGACACATTTGTACTTGGGTCCTACAAACATATAATTTGTTATATTTCTATTGATTTCTAAAAGCTTCACATCAATTGGTTTTTTGACCATATAGTTTTTCGGAAATTCTTTACATATTTTTTTTCTAATTATTTTTGTATATTATATCCTAAGTATTTACCATTGCTTTCTTTGTAATTATCATTTCATCCTTCATCTCTCATACACTGTTCCCAATTTACCGCACACAATTGTTGTTAATCTTTTTTTAGAGATGTATATACATATATATATATTAAAATTTTCTGTATAATAAAACATCTAAAATTTTGAAAACAATCTTGCGTGACTAGAAGTAGGAATAAAGAAAGTAGGTTAAATTAAAAGAAAGTTAAACAATAGTCAATATGAATAACGAAAATTCATTTGCAATGTGAGCAGCTGTTGTGACAGGGCTTCTTGAATAACAAAGTACTTAAGTGTCCATACATTTTCGTGGATAGCTAACTCCGCACAGTTACTGACAGTTATGATTTTGTTGTTTTAGGAAACTGTTACATGAATTTTATTGTAAATGTGTTATAAAAATATGAAATGGTTTTATATAGTTCTGTATGAAATTATTTATGCATACAAAGACAACGATAAGATCGTGCAAGAAAAAATTAACCCAGAAATCACTTTTCTACCCGCTGAACACATACCACATAACGTGATAAATAAATTCTGCGACCTTTGGACTTAACGCATCAAATATCTAATAGTCTTCTTTTTAAATAAGTTAGGTCTACATTTTTACCCTGTATATAGTAATAAATGAATAGAAAGAGCAACCTTTTTAAGAATAAACAATCTCATGCAATCTCCGACAGCTTTGTACTTCATATTTGCATTGAAAATGTAAAAAACTCTTACAGAGCATGAAACTGCGATAACTATACACGGAGACGATACTTTAGTCATCCGGAATGGTAACGCATGAGAACTAGGTACGGGCATCCCATGACGATATGAAGTCTGTGATGTTGTATATAAATATAGGCGCTAGTTTCACTTTCCTGTGCCTTCTAGCAGATGCATGCATCTGCTAGAAGGCACACGAAAGTCACTCATCTGCACCTCTAGTCAGGTTGTTTAGTATCTACTTATTACATAATTAAGATATGGCTTTGCAAAACTGTATAAAAAAATATTAGAAAACTAATTTCAGATCAAAACATAAATACTCACCGTGGGGCCATTGTCCGATTTAGCTATCACCATAGTGTCCTGGGTCTGAGTAGGAACTGCATTTGCTTCGATTACGGCAATCCACGTGCAAAAACAAGCCAGTGCGGGTAACCACCGCCTCTTCATGTTGCTAACCTGGTAAAACATACATTCAGTAGGTATATATCTAGGCATAACATACTAGACGCATTTTCCGAGAAACCACGCGGGGTTTGTTCAAACATTGAGCATAAGATAAAAAGGAATTCAAGTTTATACTTATAGACTACTAGCTGTGCCCGCGGTTTCGGCCGGGTTATATTTCAATATAAAAGCAAGCCTAGTTATTCTGATGCACAAGCTATATTACTGTAAAGTTTAATCAAAATCCGTTCAGTAGTTTTTGCGTGAAAGAATAACAAACATCCATACTCACAAACTTTCGCGTTTCACGCGATTATAGTCGAAATAAAAACAAAATAAAATGTTATTAATAATAGAAACCACAAAGAATATGTTTTTTTCTGTTTTCAAAACAGGCCTTGCAAGTGACATGTACCTCTGGTATCTATAGTATATACCTAATCGTAACTGTATTCCTGGACTTTATTTTTACTTATTTGATTGGTACGCTATAATATTCTATTTTTATTTCGCTTTGATAATGACCCCCTCACAATGAGTCCCTCACAGGAATTCACAGGATAAACAGAGTGAAATCTTAAAATCATGGAGTCTAATATACCTATATAACAAATCTAATATAAGATATATATTTATCAACAAACACATTCAATATTTATGTGAACACTAAAAATAAAATAAATATTGCAATGATACTGTGGAATTAGTTTTTATTACTTTTTTATGGAATTAGTTTTTATAATTGTTTATTCTTTTAGGAATAGCCCGCAACAAGGAAAACTTCAGGAATGACGTACTCATCTTTGCTGCACGATACCGTGATGATCGTCAGAATACCTACCCATTTAAATTTATAATACATATATATTTTATCTGTAAATATAAACTTTTATAGGATTATACGTGTCGAATAATGCCCCAGGCTATACATATGTTTTCTTATATTTGTAGGTTTCTTGAATGACAAAATAGAACAACTTTATATATGACTTTATATATTCTGTCCTCCATAGAGAGCGCTAACAATGAGACCAACATCTCCTCCAGCGTACATTTTGGTAACTTCTTGTCAGGTAAACAATGAACTCGCTTTTTGTTATCCAATAAAAGTTTAATTAATTTGCCGACACTTGTATCGGTTTGTGTTGTGTTGTAATCAGAAAGTCAATCCGGTTTATATCTATACTAATAATCAAAGATGTTACTAGTAATAAACAGTTTTTTACATACATAATTAGTTACATTTCTTGGAAAAACCTACGTGTTTATTATTTCAGTTTAAAACGATATTCTCAGAATATGATTAACAACAATAATACAAAAAATGATAATATTTAGACCTTCAGTGTTACAAAAGATAAACTATGAAGTTAAAAACATTGACTTGATAAATACGATCAAGAGTGAAGCGGCCGTATCAGTTTAAAAAAAAATTAAAAAATATATTTAGTATTCTATCCTTCATTGAGTATAGTTTTATATAAGAAAAAAGGTATTCCTTTTTTTAAAAATAACGTGAACGGAGGAGTTTTATTTTGGCAGAGTTTATGTGGAATATATGTGTAAACTATAATTTTTATATAAAAATGCTAATAAAATACACTAAATTGATTTTCAATAACGAATGATTATTTCGTATGTCTGTCGGCTCTTGAATTGATATCGGATTGGATTCTCACCGAATATAATAAATTATAGGTATTTTGCTAAAAATTACACTAAATAAAATTAAAAGTACATAAGGTTGTTTGAGTGCAACTGTGTTATGTATAAATAGAACTATGTTTACATTTACATATCATACTTCTGAAGTTATATAACAGATAAGACGAGTTTGCACTGATAGTAATAACATAATTAATTAGGAATTCATCACGTGACTACTATAATATCCTACCTTTGAGCTTCGTAATATAAATATGTAATCTAAATGTAATTTAATATGAGAATGATAGAAACTGGCGAATCTTATCTTATTATGAACGCGAAAGTTTGCAAAAACTACTGAACGGATTTCGATGAAAGTTTACAGTAATATAGCATATACATCAGAATAACGTATAGTCTATAAATTTCACATGGGTGAAACCGCGGGCACAGCTATTAATACATAATAATGTCTACTTGTGCTAGGTCGGTACACACAATATTCAGAGTTTCGTACTTATAATAGGTAATTAAAACAAAACTAATATGTGTCACATTGTCTCACTTGTGTGTAATATAACAGGCATTTACAATTTGAGAAAAACAGATTATTTCTTGTATTCAACTTAAACAATATTTGAGTAGTACGTATAATTGTCGATATTATCTTATAATACAAGTATATAAAATTGTAGTATCTATTAATTGATTCGAAATTTTTATAATTCTAACATACATATTAGGGATGCAATGGGCACATACATGCATCGTTTATAATCTACTCGTATCTACACTGCACTAAACCATACAGTATAAAATTCGATACGACCCCTGTTCAGAAAACAATAGGTTTACTAGTTATTGTTTTGTGTTTCAATCCGTAAAAACACCATAATAGAATGATAGAAACTGGCGAATCTTATCTTATTATGAACGCGAAAGTTTGCAAAAACTTTCGCGTTCATATATATCTTATATATGTATCTCTCTCTATCTATCTATAATATCTATCTATCTATAATATATCTCATATATATCTTATATATATATCATATATATCATCGCGATAAATAACTACTTAAATAGAACCTAAGTAAACTTGATGTTATGTAACTATTTAGAGGGTTCCTTTGAATTCATATTGTTAACCATCAAGAATATATACGTATTTCCAATAAGCAATAACAGGGAAGGGAATTCTTAGTAATGTGCTCTTGTGGTATTATTTCTAGCAATGTGAACACCATGGCAGATCAACATTCACATGGTCGGCCCTAAAAACCATCCAATTAGAAAATTTTAATATATAGGTCCTGGTGCCCCATCAGAGTAGGTATAATGTTAGCCCAATGTAGGTGCAACATACCATAATCCTCCATTAAAAAAATATGTACTGAATGACACACGCGGAAGGTCGAATTTATCCTATATACTTATAACACATTATAATGCATGTTCAGATTGATATATAATATCTACCTATGTTGACACAGTTTAAAATAAGTCGTAAAGTTATCAAATTATTGTAAACAAGTACCTACCAAATGATATATTTTATCATCTTCAAAATTAACCGACACATGTAGGTATAATATATTGTATAACTGTGCCAATTAGATAGAAATAATTTCAGTATCTTATTTGGAAAATTAGAATATAATTTGCTAAGCTAACAACAATTACACTAGACGACTATTTACAGTGTCGATGTAGACTGTAAAAATTTGTCTGGGTCCCTCAGTCTCACCTATTTCAAACAGCAAACATCTTGTCTTTCAGAGTGGAGGATATTCTTAGGAGAATAGGTACTTGATATATAGAGGAATACATATTAATTGTGTTCCTTAATATATTCATTATGTATTACTTATAAGAAAGACTTAAATTATCGTAAAACTTAACCTAAGTTAAAATTTACCTACTAGAAACCACCAGCAGGTAGTTGCGGAAGTCTAAACAAGATATATTTTTGTTATAAAGAGCTCTCGATAAGTTGACGCTGTTACAAACATCCTGGTCACGTCTACCGGAGATGGCGGTGGATGTAAACAATTATTAGCATAAAATTTATCTACCCGCTTTTTTAGTCTTTTTCTACGCACACCGTGATTATTACTTCTGAAAAGCCTTTGAGAATCATAACAAAAAATACACGCTGTATAGATGCCGTTATTATCTTGAAAACGGGCAAGAGTAACGCTACCGGTATAAAGAATGTGATGAAAAGATGGGTTCTCTGTTCAATAGAACAGGTTGACAATTTTTTTATGAAATAATGCGAAATATCTTTCCACTCATTTTCTATATAATATGGTCAATAAATTCGTGCGTCGAATGATCTTAAATCCACCTAGAATATATTGACAGACTGAATCAGATGGGGTGATCTATCTTATGATTTAATTAAACATGTTAGGGAAATTTTGCAGGCACCAGTACGCCATAAGTCGAGATATCTCAAGTTTACTTCGCTCATAACAGAATCCGCTCTCCGCCTTTATAACATCCGATGGTCGCGGGTTTGATTCCTCGCACGTTACAAATATTTGTATTCATAAGTATGATTGTTTGTATTGGTCTGGGTGTTTTCGTATGTATTTTATGTATGTATTTAAATCACAATCAATACCCGTATCAGAAGTTGGAACTACATGGAACTCCTTTAGAGACTAGATCGAGCTGTATGTATTATCCAGGGCTAATAAATAAGAAACATTGACCAATATTAATGCATATTGATAATTTCTATGAAGTATATGGTAACACATTGAATGATCTATACGAAATCAACTGTGCCTATCGCTCGTACGCGACTAACATACACACAAAAGTATATTTTTTTAATAGAATTATTATGATGACCTTCATAGTGCAATAGTAAAGCCTCGACGCGCTATGTAGTGAATGATTCGATAAACTTGTGGTTTTTTTATACGACTAAAATGATAAACAAGCTAACAACCAATTTGATGCAAAATGGTCGTCGCCTATCTACATATAATGATAGCTCTGCACACGTACAGCGCCATGGGTCGATAAATCTATAAATTAAATAATTTACATTCACAAGCAATAAATGAATTATTATGGATTACTTACAAGGTTTGCATAAGGGAAAATATTAGTACAAACTTTTTCCAAATGTCTCGTTTATATATAATGTGTATAATGTGAAGTGGGAACTACAAAGATCAGTGTCGGAAAACAGAAAATAATTTTGTAGGCGAAATATGACGAGACCCACTCGCTGGAACGCGAGTTCAACGCACATTGCTGAGTATACATGTAATAAAAAAAAGCATAGGTTCTACATGTGTATAGTGTAGGTAAGTCATCATCAACATCATCACTGCTGGACATCCTCCCAATGCATGCCACAGGACACGATATTCAGCCATTCTTTTCCAGTTGGTATCTTAGATAGGTAAAATACAGTAATTGTTAGTTCGCAAAACAAGGTCACCATTTTTATTACCTACGTATTATTGTTTCGTTTTTTATTAAAAAATAATATTTACCTTGTATCATTGCTAATCTTTACGAATGCTAAATGAAATATATTTAAAATACCTAAAATCCTTGGATACAGCGCTCTCTACAGCATAAACAAAACTTGTATTATGAGTACCAGTTTATAGTGCTGATATAAATTATAAAATAATTTTTTTTATAAATACCTGCATACATAGAAAACACCCAAGTCATTTAAATAGTAAATGTTTGTATTGGACGGGTTTTGTACCGAAACCGCTATGTCATATACATAGGTTGTTGTTGGAAGTGACGACATGAAGTCCGGTTATCTACACTAATATTATTAAGAGAGATTTTTGTTAGATGCATGTATACATGTCAACTAACAAAAATCTCTCTTGACATATTTTAGGAACCAGGAAACGACGTGAAAGGTGGAAAAGAAAAAATTACATTGACATAGGTGAACTGGATCCACATGCAGCATGCATGCATCCACAGCATGTTCACAAAATCCGATTTCTATGAAACGGTTATCCAAATATCGACATCGGATTGAACGATTAATGCGCTTAAAATCATAATTTATTTATTGAATTCTCATGGAACAATGGAAATAAAAAAAAACAATGACTTCCATAAGGGCATAGCGTGAAGTAATAATACCTTGGAATAAATAATATTAAAGGATAACGAGATCTCGCTACGTTTTATTCGTGTTTATTTCCCTATACCTATTTCAGCGTGTTGCTACCCCAATGATGAATAAGCAGTAGATGCAGCAGATAAATGGTAGATAATTATTGTTAGACAATTTGTCTGACGCCACACATTCATATCTTTTCATCACCAAAATACAATTTATACTTTCTCATTAAGCTACTACACTGACTGCATCAGCACTGGACATTTTCCAATTGCGATTTTTTAACACTTTATTCTTGTAACCATATTTACGATTGAATTCACTTCACATTCTGTCATGTTAAGAATTAGTTAAACTAATTAACAAGTATTAAATAGATAAACGTTCTGAAGTGATGCGCTTACGTATGTACATTTATACGTATAGACATATAGACAGACATAAATAAACACTACATTAAAATATGTAAACAATTTACTAATAGTATCTATTTGTCGTTAATGTTACAGTTTGATAGTGAATAAAACTTAAATTGGTAGTTACCTACTAATAAAGAAAAATCAAGGTCTACTCTCAAAATAAGGCTTATAGTTTTACGAATGCAGTGTACCATAACATTGAATCTTTTATAATGCATACACCGCCATCTCAAGTTCTAACGACAGGAAAAAGGATTGAACGTCGGTGTCTGATAGGGACGCGACGCTTGCGTTATATAAGCAGGGAGAAACTCACTGGTTTGTTTACTCGTAACGAGATGATTGCACCAATTGACTCCTCAAGATCTGGCACGTTCCACGTCCACTCCTCACTATAATATTGTTGACGTAATCAGAAACGTGTGGCTTGGTCGTCGGCCGGCGCGGAACTCATTGGGACGCCGATCGGGGCCGGTTTTATATCAATGTACATCATATCGACTATTGGGATTCCCACTAGCCACTACGAGTTTATCATACGTACAGTTTTTGTTGATTTACGTATATAATGGTTTAATAATTATAACCACGTTCGTAAGGAATAGCGTATTCCCTTAAATTCGATAATCACGTCTCAAGAGATCTAATATAAGAATATAAAAAAAGGTTCAATATACCTATGTATTTGTGCTCAATATAATAATAACTAATTCATAAATTTAAATAAAAATGAAAGCAGGGATTTGGTCTTCGCGAATTCTCCGCGGGGTTTTATTAGGTTCTTTCCAGAGCTATTTTCATTAGTTGATAATCTCCAAAAACTGCTTACTATAAGAACGTAAGAAAGTAAACTTGAACATAATTAATGATATTTGTGTATGTACGCAATTCAATTGAATCGGGTACTTCTATATCTAAAACTACTTTTCATTTATATGATTACGTGAACATTGATTTGGAATTCCCTTACAAAATAAGATAGTGATATCGTAAACAGTGTAATAGTTTCAGAGTATCGCTTTCAACGCTATTATAAACAAACCAGTGCCGATCACTCGGTTTGTTGATTATTTCTGTATCTATTTATCAAATGGTCCTGGCAAATAAAATGTAGATATTACTTTCAAAAGAAAATTTATTGCAACATCATAAAGTAAGGACCTACATAGGTAACTGTTTATCTGTCTGTAGCATCGTTAGACTAGGTATCTTCCAAATAGATATACCGGTTTTTATTTCGATTAATTATGTTTGAAAACTGACGTGCGCGTACATGTTGTTAGCTACGACTTGAGAAAATTGTTCAACCGTTTGATGGTTCTATACGATTTGATTAAGCATCTGAACCAAATGTGTAATTAATTGAAAACATATGTATCGTTAGACTTTTAATATCACGAGGACATGGTAATCTTGGCTTGATGTTGTAACATCCTACTATATAGGTAGGTATACTATGTGGGTACTGTAGGTCCACTCCACACCAAACCTATGCGGAAGTGTTTCAAGGATACTACGTTTATCTTTTCTATATATTTTTTGCATAGATGCGTTTCTATTATATCCGGGACTGCGAGAGGGGGACTTAGTAACTTTGTTAATAATATACTGTGTTGACCTCCACACAGCCTGGAAAGCATTATGATTATGTCTTGATGAATTCATCATATAGGCTTAACTTGTTGTTAAGTAGCAACCGACATCATATCGTCATATGATGCCGTTTATTTTGGGTTTTGTTTTCAAACATGTCAACCCCATTATATTAAACTAATCGTAACAATTCTTAAAAATAATAAGCAATATTACATAATTACTAACTGAGAGGGATTTATTAATTAAATTACTTTTATCAGACACGCACACAAACACACGCAATCTCAGAAGTAGAGGCTGTACTCGTAGTATGCTCTGAATAGTACCCACATCAAATTTGTTGATTTCAAAAGTTATAGTAATAGTTCCCTCTCTGCTCGATTCGTATAACATTCCATCAATAGATGCTGAACATCTTCGACTTTTTGACACAACACAATCGGGTGGATTTTCTTTTTTCATTCCATATCCATATTCTTGATGAAGGTTAGTTAGTATACCATTTCTGCGGTAATAAGGACTAGTAGCCATGTTAAATTGCTAATAATGGTATAAGCAATATAACATGTCAATTCGGTCTCCTCTGAAACCGTCGTGATTATGTAATTATAACGCCATCTACTCCCTTCCCAAGCTAAGATGAACTTGTATTATGGGTAGGTAATAGGTAATAGATAACTGATATATAATGTAATGTGGACTCTATTTTCCGCAATTAGCATCTCATTTGGGCCGTTGTGCGTGTAGAGCCAAGACTACTTACGTAACCAGCCAAGCTCCTCCCAGAAGCGCAGAAGACTCCTGGTGTCTTCATAGGCTTTGCGGAGCGACCTCACCGTTCCGAGGATTTGTGTTTGTTGTGTGGCCACTGCTGCGCACTCCAGGATTACGTGAGCGACTGTTTCTTCGGCTTCAAAGCAGCCCCGGCAAAGGGGACTGTCTGTAGCACCGATTGTGTACAAATGTTTGTTTAATGGCCCGTTATTGTCCCTATTTTAAGGTTTTGCCTATTTAGGTTTAATAGACGTTTTGTATTGGAATCGCAACCTTCGATTGTTTACAGTCAGTGGTTTGGGTCCATCTTTGGTTTTGTATTTTTGTGGATCTCTGGCGTATCCATGTTCGAATCTGCGAGAAGGGAAGTGGTAGAAGTGGCAGAGGACCTGTTACCGCCATACCTCAGCATCGTTATCATGTGATCCACTGTGCCCTTTTATCCATTGAATAGTGACTCGATTGTGCAAATATCCTATCCATGGCATCGTGGCACTCGATTATCATTTTGCTGTTTGTTTCTCTGTTTTATAGTGCTTTTAACACGGCTGCGCTGTCAGATACAAATCTAATGTTGAAATTGTTAACACTCAGCTTGTGAACGGCTGTTGCCGCCTTAGTTAAGGCCCTCATTCACACTGAAATATCGTACTGTGTTTGCCGAATGTGTAAGTTTATGTTTAGGTCTAGGGACTATGCTTCAGCTCCTGAACCATTCTGTGTTTTGGAGCCATCTGTGTATATGCGGTTTCATTTGTATTTGGTATTTTCTGTTGTATGAATGATATGTTTGAGTTCTACCACACGGAGCAGCAATCAGTGGTTCGTAGTCGAAAGCTTGGTTCTGGATAGTTGTGTGAGAACTATTATGGTTTTTACCCCATAAGCCAAGATGTCATAGGTGCTGCAAGAGTCTGGCGACACCTATGGCTGCCTCCTGCAAACGTTGTATTGCCATATAAATTAATAACGCTATAAAAAAATTGGGGTTGGTGTTAGAAGGGTGAAAATTTTGGGTTGTATGTATTTTTTAATGACAATAAAAAACTATAAATAAAATATTATGCCAAAAAATAATGTTAGTATAACTTATGGGTATGAAAAGTAGATAGTAGCCGATTCTCAGACCTACTGAATATGCATATAAAATTTTATAAAAATCGATCAAGCCGTTTGGGAGGAGTATGGTAACTAACATTGTTACACGAGAATATATATAGTATGTGATTACATTACATACTTAACATGCAAAGAAAACTAATATACAAAAAATGAGTGCACCATGCGAGGAAACGAACCTGCGAGGAAATGAGCGTGCTATCTGACCTGGCTTCATTCTCTTCTTATCCACCACTGATGCCCCGCCAACGGATACCGTTAGTACAGACTTGTAAATAAAACATTTATTGATTTAAAAACCCCTTATAGAAGATGTATGTAGAATTGTTATCTCGTTTAGTCATCCATTAGCTTGTCCATGTTATTATTGTCTTCACTTGGTCCATGTGCAGAATATCTCCAAAAAAAAAAACCGAAGTCGCTAGTAAGTTCTACTTTTATAATTGCGAATAAGTTTATGCCGGTATATGTTATTATTTAACGACTAAATGGCGAAACAAATCTTGGTAGGAAGATAAACCTATTGCAACACAACAGGACAGATATAAACTCTGTGTGGATGTATTTCTGCATTATGAAAAGATTAAAGTCTCTATTATTATACCTAATATTCTAGGTTTATAAATTTACGATAAATTATCGTAAGTTTAGATACGATGACGATTTAATAATATGTTTAGTTCTAAGATAAGTGTAAATTTAAAATTGGATAGACAATTAATTCGAAACGCTAATTTTGTTATTTTATTTGTATGACATTTAAGCAATGATGCGGTATGTAATATTTAAGGTGCGGTATGTATTGTAAAACTTAAGTTAGAGTTATTGTTAAGTTGGGCTAATAAGAACTTGTATCCATAGCCGTAAAACATTAATAAGAAAAAAAACAACCAACCTATAGACAAATGGTTTATCATTTATCTTGTTTGTGGTTTATTTCCTGTCTTGTCTATTGCAGACTATATTTTATTTTAAAAAATGAATACTACAGTCTTTGCTCTTTAAGTTATTGACGCTTTTTGTGAGAACTGCACGCATTTGCAAAGAAAGCACATTTTTATTGGTAAAAGTAAGTAACTTTTATTTCATTATAATTGATTATTATAAATATTTTGTTTCACAATTATATCCATTCATTGGTATACTATTCATTCAAATTAAATATATTTACAAAAAATACCACGACTTTCTATATAAACATTGTCTGATGCAACTATATTAGAATTAAAAATATGTTTATTTCATTCCTAAAAGTTCGTTTTTTATATCCAAATATTATCTTTTATTCATACTATTCTAACAAATCTGATTAATTTTTTGCAACAGTCTGCATATAATGCTGTCCGCCATTAGCATTTAGGTACCGATTTCAAATTTTGCTGAGTACTAAAATTACAGACCTACTATATATGCCTTTTTAAACGCAGTTTTCTCTTTTTGTCTTATAATATATTTGTATAAAATATATTATATATATATTTTACAATCTAAACTTTCAGGTATGTAACCATTTCTAACAAAAAATGATCCCTCAGTACGTAATGCATAATACCTCCATGCATATTGAAAAATTGATTATCGCTTTTTGTTGCAAAAATGTGAATATAGGTTTTTTCATTTCTTATATTATAGATTTATAGGATACGTTCATTTTTCAACTTTTTTTATTTCATTGAATTGAATAAATCCATATACAATATACCGCTTTACTAATGTAGGTATTAAATGGAATCATTAAAAATGAATATTAGTATATTGCGATTTTTCTTAATATCTTCAGACAACAATATTAATATCACCATTGTTAATATAGCATCTGAAAAATGTCCGAGCGCGGGAGGGGTAGAGCTCGCGGTCGAGCAGGACGCGGAGGTGACTCAACCGGTCCTGCTCCTCGTCGCCCTGGAGAACAACCAGGCGCTCCACAGCAGACAGGCCCGCGTCCCCAGCCCCCAGTAGCCTGGGGGGCGCCGACTGTCGCGCCACCTGTTAGAGCTGGTGTGCCAACCCCAACAATACAAGCTGGCCGAGCTTCACACCGCACTACGCCTACTACACATGACCACCCAGGCGATGTGGACATACAGCAGCGTATGCAAAAAATCGACATTGGTAAGTGTATATACATAACTGTTCTTCCATACAAAAGAGTATTAATGTCAATTATCCTGATAATGTGAATTGTAGTATTTTGAAATAAATCATTGCATTATTAAATGTTCTTTAATGCTCTTTAAAAGAAGATTTAGAAGAAGAAGAAACAAGATTAGAAATTTTCATTAGGGAAGGAGGCCTTATCTCTAAAAGAGATATCTACCAGTCAACCTAAAACAGTGTAACACAGGAAGTGGTATGTGGGTTATCTGTACAGAAGTGCTAATAAAAGTGAAAAAAGACAAAAGTAAAATAACTAATATTGTCATAATTGTTGGGATCATACTCCTCATTATTTAAATCTTAATGTGTTACAATCAGAGGGGAATGGTAGACACAAGCTCATGCGATGTTGCATTGGTAAGTTAAGTTGGAGCAGGGTACAATTTCCCCGCTGTGCCTAGTCAACCAAGATGACATTGCCCTCCTGGTGTTCATGCAAACATGATAATAATAGACTTTATTGCTGTAGATAAATTCATTATTAGGATAATTTAAATTATTGTAATATATAGGTTGCTATATTTCAACCTTTATAATACAACAAATGTTTGGTAACTCATTAGGGAATTAAATGGGAAGGTAAAAAATATATACATTTACTGCACAGTATAGTGCCTACATGTATTGTAAACTTAAAATTTTAACTGTAATAAACTATCATTAAACAGGTATTATTTGAGCTGTGCGACTGCAGACCCTTGGTCATTAGTGTCGCCATAGCTGGTGAATATGCATATGAGGTTTTCTTTATTTTTAACATGTACATTAAAAATATATACATAATAATTCTTTCACTTTTTATCATAATAATTATGTAAGGGTGGTCAATCGCTGTGTGTTAATCCAAAATGGAGATTAAAAAGTAAAAGGTTGAAAAAAAACTGTTCATTTATTTTTATACACTCACTTCACATATTTACATTCCAACAAACATCTGTTATATTAACTACAAGAACCTTTTAGAATGCAACTATTCAGTTATTGATATGAAATTTAGAAATAATAAAGAGTTGTTATTTCTTTTGTTGTGAAGTTTATTTCAAAATGTGTCTGAGATGGTTGTCTGAAGTCCTAAGATACAGATCTCTGATCTAGTGTAGGCTCCATATATCGCTGCTGTCATATATTTTGTCTAATTTCTGGTGAAATAAATAAATATTTCAATTGTCTATTTATCTTACATAATTCATTTGTTGATAAAAAAATATTTAAATACTGTTTTATAATCTAGTGCTCTTTTCTTCATTTTAAACACTTGCTACTCATTCTCAAATGTTATCTACTACTACGTCATATGTGTGGCTCTTTGTTTGACCTAAGTAACAAATAATTTATATGATGCAGACATGAATGCTATATATATTTGCGAAATTTACATAAAACATTACTCGCTTTATTCATGAAAACATCAGATGGCATACATACTTACTGCTATTGAACTGATGTGTCATATTCTATGAACTGTTTTCTAGATTTAAGTGATTATGCCTAGTTAGAACATTCAAAAGTTCGATTTATATATATATATATTGCATGTTCCGAATGTACATACGCTTGGTGTATTCTCTGAAAATTTAAAGTTAATACAAGTAATAGTTTAAGAGAAAAGAGCGCATTTAAATAAAGACGTCATGAGCCGCTTAAATGTTAGGTAAGTTTTAAAACAAAAACGGAAAATGTACGTGGGAACACGTGCGAGGCAAGAATGTCTTTTAAATAACACTAATTAACAATATCGAAGCAAATAATATTGCAGAGGATTTATCTTGTAGTCCTCGAAAAGATTACTCTGTAAGTAGAAAAAAAAATACTGAGTGTAAATGTCTCTTGAAACTTTTAACGATTTTTTCTCGAAACGGTGTTTTTACAGGCGGTGAGGAAAATTTGAGATATTTTCCTCAGGTAATGGACAAAGCCATTAAAGTATCTTGTAAAGTAGTAATAACGTCTTTGACAATAACTTATTTTTATTCAATTAGTGTTAATTTTGACGAAAATATCGATTTTATGGGGAGGCGCCATTTTGCAAATAACTTAACTGTACTTTCATTAATTGCAAAAATAAATCATATGGGTTTTTTTTACTTCAGTTATTTGGACCTCTCTACCTATAATAGGCAAATCACTTCACTCCTTTGAAATAAAAATACATATAAAAAATTATACTAACAAATTAATTTTCATATAAAACAACACAGTTAAATGAAAAATTTTACTACATGTGCATAATAGAGTTATTCTTAATAACAGTATTTTATTCACTATACAACCCTTATAATAAAGTAATAAGTAACTTGTTTACACATAAATTAGTATACAATTAAATGTGTTGAAAAAGGAATATAAATTCCTTTTTTTATAAGTAGGCATAAATAGTTAATGTGCTTAAGTCGACCACTTATGGTGATTTTGTTTTTGTTAACATTCTCTTCTAAGCTAGAAGTTTTTTTTACTCTGATTTTTATGTTATCCATACTTCAAGGCGAGACAGTATATCGCTGTATTTTTTAATTTTGGCAATCCTGATGATTGTCCATTCAGTAATGAATGACTTTGTTCATAAATTTCCTAAAATATTTTCTGCTAGTATTTTTTCTAGTAACAGGCCCAACCGGTCTAGTAGCCATGATTTATTCCGTGGATTGTTTTGAAGACGAATTCCTTTATCCATATCCCACTAAAGTAGTTGCTTACAATGAGGATAAAAAAATGTTAAATAAATGAAATATTTTATGGGATTTAATTTTTTTTTTAATTCCCATAAAGTATCTAACTTGCCATAGTTATGCTTTGCCTTGGATATTTCGTTATAATCCAATGGAGAAGGTAAATTTATCTCTTCAATTCTAGAAGTGCATCTGTGAATATGTTTCGCAATCCTTTTGTGTATTCTTTATTTGTGTGCAAAACTAACTAATAACATGTATGTTGAGCTTCGACCTTTTTGTATTGCTACAGATCACACATAATGACACAATTTTATAAATCTTATGTCGTATTATGTATTGTCTATTCTTATGAACATGTTGTATGTGATTAGTAACAAACAAATAAACGATGTATCCATCTATCTGTGTAGTAAGTAGGTAGTGTGAATATACGTGTAATAATTGTACTATTTATTGTACATTAATAAGTTTTTTTTTATAGTAAGACATGTAGCGGCTTATTAGGAACACGTACATTCGACGCACAGTTGGAACATAGTTTACACTAAACATAAATAAGGTAAAGGGCCATATTATGAAACACCTTTTGAGTAGGAGTTGAATATTTTACATTGTTTAAAAAAAAATAGAGTTGAAACATTGAATTTTTCTAAGTTAATAGTTTGCCTGATATCTACTGAAGTGATAATAATTATTATCAAGTGAGTTTTAGTTGAAAATGCTAATAAATTGAATAAAGTAACAGACAAGTACATACGGCCGTATTTATGAAACAGTCTAAAGCAACACGTACGGGTGTTCCATCGGGAATGTCCCAAATTATGGAACTCAAAATGAACTGAAGTACTCGCATTAAAAACATTTTTCAGTTACTAATTTATTTATTCATAGTATCAAAAGTTTTATTACTAATTATTAATACAGTTAGATTTAAGTATTATACGAATAAACAAGCAATAAATAAATATTCACTTACAAAGTAAGTATGACAAAAACAGTTTCAAATCTTAGCATTAATAAACAAGATATAAAAACCAAATATACATTAAATTTAACCAAAAATTCAACTATTTCATTTCTTCTTTGATCCTTTGTAGTAATGCGTTCTCTAGTAGCTTTTTCCGTTCATCAGCTATCACTTTTTTCTCATTTAGTAATTGTTTTCTTTTATGTAGCTTTTCTTCTTTAGTTTTACGATCAGTTTCTTTTTTTGAGTCATATTGCATCCATTGATCAGATGTGCCAGCAGAAGGTAGTTTGAGTTTACCTGATGACTCAACTTTAATCTATTTTTTCTTGACTTCAAATTCAACTCAAATATTAATTCATCACCAACATTACGCTTCAAAATATTAGTTAAATTTAGTCAATTTAAATTACTACTTTCATAAATACCAGAATGAGCTTCAGTAACCATATTTAAGGTTCATTTTATACTATAATTTCATACAGTAATTACCTCAGGAATGGCTGCTTTGTTGAGACTGGGTACTGGTATTTATCAGAGGAGAATATTTATTAGAAGAATGACAATCATTGTTAAGTGTCATGTAATCATTAGTTTTATCATTCGATTTGATTATTAATAAAATTATTTTCTTACTGTTCTGTTCTTTCTCTAAAAATTCAAATTTACCAACGTCACTTCTTTGACAGTTAGTTTATTTATTTCAAGAAAACCAACCAATATCAAATTATAAAAATTATACCAAACAATCAAAAAAAAAATAACAATATAAAATAAATCTATAGAATAAAGATATCAAATTCTATAAAAAAATGTATCTACCTACAAAAATTATTAATTTAAAAACATCTATAAAAATGTGATATGTAGGTGCTTCGTAAAAATTTTGAATTAAATAAAGTGTTATTAATTTTTTCAGGCAGGTTTTCCACTTAAGTATATGTTTTAATTAATATAAAACAATATTTATCATCCAGCTTATTCATTTTTGAGGTTATTTTCATTTTCATAGAATTTTACAATCTATGTACATATCTAAATGCAAATTTTTAGAAATATAAACTGTTCTAACGTAAATTGCTTTGTTGTAATTAATTAACAATGATTAACACGAAATTAACTAAATATTGTCCACTTTTTGCTGTTTCATAATTACGGACAACTAAGAAAATCGAATGTGAGGGGGATGTGGAACACTGAATATACTGTTCCATAAATACGGTCTGTTTAGAAATTTTTGCGGCAATTATGAAACACCTAAATAAAAAATAAATACCTTATTAAAGTACTTTAAATTCATTATCAATCAATAGATAATAAGTCAAACTTTTGATTGACATGTTTCAAGTATTTTTGTATCATTGACAAATATTTCAAATTGTTAAAACAATTGTGATGACACGTGTCATTCTCTAACTCTAAAAGAGTCTTTTTTCATGCAACCTGACACGGGCATTTCATCTATTTTTTTTTTGTATACATTTTAAGGTGTTTACAAAAATAAATTAATTTAATCAATAAATAGGTTATTAAAGAACATAAAGATAATATTATAAATACTGAATACGTTAGAAATTATTTGTAATTCGGATTTTTATCACTTGTTTCATAAACTAGTACAATGTTCCATAATATGGCCCTTTACCTTATCTGTTTTCTGGAGAGGTAATTTAATTGGAGGGTGCCGAGTGTTTACAGAAATATTTCAAGTGTAGGCACAGTAGTATAAAATAATTTCACATAAACTGTATGTTACTACAGTGCCATTTTAAACTTATGACAGCCATGGTGGTACAGCGGTTTGCATACAGCCTTACTTCCGATGGTCGCGGGTTCGATTCCTTGCACGGTACAAATATTTGTATTCATGATTATGACTGTAGTATCTGGATGTTTTGTATGCAAATTTTATATGTTTTTATATTAGTTGTCCCATAACACAAGCTTACTTAGTTTGGGTCGAGTTACACGGTCTGCTAAAATGGTGTCTAATAATATTTAGGTTACCATTGATACTATAATTTTGTTTGTATCAGGCCAGCCATCTCAAGTACCTGGGGGTGGTGACGCATCTAGTTCCGTAGTGGGACGCGGCTCTCGACGTGGCGGCGGCAGGGTGCTGCCTGAACAGATGACGATACTGCGCACACGTCCCACCACGGTCCAGTCAAAGAAAGGTATGAACCATGACAACAAAATAAATATACCACTAACTAACACACTAGGAATCTAGTGGTCAACATTTTATTTAATTTAATTTAAATTAAATTTTATTTTATTTAATTTAAAGAGCTATTATTTTTATGTTCTATTACATTAGATTAAATAACAGTTCGATACTTTTTCAACGAATATCAAATATTCCTTCTGTGGAACTGGTTTGAGTCCAGTCTTGAAATGTATTTTGTGTAGTTAAAAATACATATATATGTATATAGTTTGTTTATCTTTCATGTATCTGGTTTAAATCCAGGGCTTTTTATTAACGGTTTCGTAATTGGCCTATGAATTTTTATCTTATAACTTTTATTGACTAGCATACTTTATGCTATTAATTCTGCAATTTTAAGATAAAAATGGAAAAATGGTTAATAAAGCAAGCCTCTGAAAACCGATGATTAGGTGAGCAGACCCTAATTAAGATGAGATGAGGCTGGAAGTGAGAGAATGAATAATGAACTTGCTTTTATGTTTATCAGTAATTATGTGTATCTCATTTATGTTATCATGTAAATAGTGTTAACATTGTCCATTAGATTTGCTTCTGTACTGTGTCTATTTTGTGAGATCGATCTTTTTAAAGACGTCACTATCATATCTGATCTGTTATTACTATATGTATATATTACTAAGATTTTAGTTTGTTCTAAAAGTTGTAGCACAAGTATTAAGATGATGGGGGGAGCCTGCTTAGAGGCTTCAAAATGTTGTTTTTTGTTGCTTAAATGTCTTCCTAAACTATCCAATATTGTGTCCCTAAACCAAATTCGAAATATTTTCAGAGTTACAGAAGAAATAGTGACCAAGTATCGCCCTTCGATCTATTTTACGTAGTATAATCCAAAGGGACTATCAGTCCTTCGAGACTCTTAACTCTGTTCGCAACAAGAGAAAAGAAGAAAAGAAGTGGCTCTCCGAGACTTAAATAAATTAACAATTTATTACGGTTACCCTTAAGCGCATTCTAAATTTTTACAGCATACATTTTATCTCCGATGTAAGTTTGTAACAATGCTATGTAATATGTAATGACATAACGTCGGACGGGTCCCGCTCTATTGGCGCATAGGTTGCTACGTCCCACTGTCTGAAAATACGCCAATCTAATAATATGTGATTCTCTTCAGAATTATTCATATAACTTATGAACTTTTCACATTAACGAAATCTCAGAAAGAAACTCGCAATGTTATACCAACAAATAAAACACTATTAAGTAGCCAATCCCTCCATTCTATAACAGGCAGCACAGGAACACCCCTGGATCTACTTGCAAACTACTTTACGGTACAAACTACCCCACAATGGAGCCTATACCAGTATCATGTCGATGTATCGCCCGAAGAAGACAGCACAGTAGTTCGTAAAGGTCTGCTAAGGGTACATCAGAAAACTCTTGGAGGGTGAGTGCCAATAATAATTTTGAATTTTGCACAAACAAATATAAAGCAAATCGACGGCCCGGTGGTCTAACGGTTTAGCACGCCGTTTACTTTGGACGGTCGCGGAGTCGCACGGTACAAACATTTGTATTAATGGGTATGATTCTTTGTGTCGGTCTGGGTGTTTTCAATGTATGTATTTACAAAAGAAACCTATTTATGTAGTAGACCACAAATAGAATGTTCCGAAACCAGATTACTACTAGTAGAACCGTTACTACCTTTCATATCAGTGATCAAATTTTGACCGTACACCGATATATTCTCGTTTCTATACGAAAAATCACATGAGACTTCTAGTTAGTCAGGCCGCCGAACAATAAACACTAGGCACCCAAATTATATACAAAAAATTCATGGCTTGATGATGCCTCAATGAGAAGAAATGGAGTTAAAAAAATAACATAAATAGTATAATCCTAAGTTAATTATTTCTCATCAGATATCTATTTGATGGCATGGTCCTATACACGGTTAAAAAGCTGCATCCAGACCCTCTGGAATTGTACTCTGATAGAAAAACCGACGGTGAACGTATGCGAATACTCATAAAGGTATTTTTACGTATATTTATTTATAATTTTCATTATCCTTAAATAAATCATGAAGCTTGACCTACTACATAAATTTAATGGCTGAATGTATGCACTGGATTGTAAGTCACAACAGTTATCTACATATACAAACAGCATCATGGACATAAGGTCATTATGTGATACCCATGGTCCCCTCAAGCATGGCTATTCCTATAATTCCTCTACTATATCTAATCCTTGAATATTATAATGCCTTTATACATGCCTGCTAAAGTAAGCTATTTGGCGACTAAAATAGGTGAGACAAGCAGTCATGCATTCTTTCAACAATGATACATGTTAAATTATACTATTATTATTAACATACATATACCAAGCCGCCTGACTACCTTGGTTTTTCAGGCTAATTTATCCTTTTATGCCGTAAAATTCATTGCTATAATTGAAATGTTTTTTGTTTATAATTATTATGTATTATGTTATTTATGTTATATGTTATTTAGAATGATTGTTCCAGCTAACTTGTGCAGTGAGTCCAGGAGATTACCATTACATTCAAATTTTTAATATTATCATTCGCAAATGTTACAATTTGCTACAGCTGCAGCTTGTCGGTAGAGACTTTTTTGATCCAATAGCAAAGGTATGATGTTTGTAATTTTCCATAATCATATCATCTGAAGTCTACACATCAAGTTCTGTTATTTAAAATAGATTATTTTTCCAGATTGATATCCCAGAGCACAAACTACAAATTTGGCCAGGATATAAAACCACAATTAATCAGTACGAAGACCGTTTGCTCATGGTGACTGAAATTACCCACAAGGTACAATTGATATTAAAATGCGCATATATGTATTTTGTTAAAATTATTATAATAATTTTGATACTCAAGTTATTTAATGTAAAATTGGTGTTATTTTCTATTTAAACAAAAATTTAAAAACAAGAAGATAGATTTGTTTATAAGGCCTAAGATCAACAATTGTATATTCTTGTACTCAAGAATCTAATTTCCGAATAAGCGATGAAATTTAAAAAACTATTCTAAAGTGCTTTTTTTATACCACGAAGGCAATCAATTTATTATATTTGTTTCTATACATATTATTAGTAGTAGTTTTTCGTAACTAACTAGACAGGCTAAAAGTTTTAGTTTGGTGTGACTTCCACTAAAACCATCCTCACAAAAATTGGCCTGTAATTAGATACTCCATATACTATCTTTCAGTTAATTGAATTTCCAGTAGTTGTATTGATGATGATTGATTTACATGTTGTTTATTGTGTTGAGCTGAAATACTCTTGATCCTCAGAAATTTATGCAAAATATTATAATTTTCCCATACATAATGAATGTTTGTTTACATACACAATATGTTTTTATTATTCATCGCGCTAAGAAATATATTAATTAATATATCTTTACAGGTATTGCGCATGGACACTGTCCTTCAAATGTTAAATGAGTATGCGGCCACCAAAGGGAATTACTTCAAGAAAAATTTCTTAGAAGACATAGTTGGTTAGTAATGAATTAATTATATTCCTGTAAATTTTAAGATGTCATTATTAAATTACTTATTTGTACGCGTTTTTTTACAGGAAAGATAGTCATGACTGACTACAACAAACGGACATATAGGGTTGATGATGTGACATGGGAAGCAAGTCCTCGCTCTACTTTCAAAATGAAAGATCAAACCGTTTCTTACATTGATTATTACTATAAGGTCTGTTATTTTCTATAACATTTGTCTTTATTTTTATATTAGCTTTAAGTTTCATTAGCTGATAATAATCGTCTATCATGTTATTATAATACTAGTGGAACACGCCACTTCGTTCGCACGAAAAGAGATATTTTTATACGATCACAACTGTTATGCCGGATGGGATAGTTGGAGGCGCTGTCAACATACTTGACATGTCCACATTTTTCTAACTATATTTTAAATCCCACATGGCAGGGAGCAACCAATCGCTGTCTCACTGATTCATTTCAGATTTGAAATTAGTGTTTTATTCACGGAGAATCAGTTAGACATTAAATTGACTTTTTTTTTGCGTCAACCAAATTTGAACTCACGTCCTCTTGGGCGTAATTGGTAGTAAACAAAAATACCATGATGCACTAAAGATTATTTTCTTGTGATAAAATAGAACTTTAATTATTACTTCAATTTAACAAGATAGATTATGTACATTCACTTGCTGTCGTCCATCTGTCCTGACTATTTTAGCGGTCAAGCAGCTTGTTTGCCAGATGTATTTCGGTAGAATAGTGGAATAGGGTTGTGACATTACAGGATAAGAGGAATGGATGTGGTTGCTATTGCAATTACCTGGTATACCTCTAGCAATACAAATGTATTCTAAAAATATTGTTATAGTTTTATTATATGTGTAGGTCGTTTTTTTATGTATCTTTGTACTCTTCAGAAATACAATATAAGGATCCAAGATCCGGGCCAGCCAATGCTGATATCTCGCTCAAAGCCCCGTGAAATACGCGCCGGCATGCCGGAATTGGTGTACTTAGTACCAGAACTATGCCGCCAAACTGGACTCTCTGATGCTATGAGAGCCAATTTCCAATTGATGAGTGCCCTAAGTAACCACACCAAGATCGGGCCAGCAATCCGTATACAAAAGTTGCTCAATTTCAATCGTCGTCTCACACAAAAGAAGGAGGTTGTTGAGGTAGGTTGAACTGAAATTTTGTGTATTTATAGAGAACTTTGTTAACATTAAGATTATTTTATTTAATAGGGAATATTCATGTATTTTTTTTTATTTTTAACTAGCTACTCGTCCCGGCTTCGCACGGGTGTACATGTAATATATAAATCTATATCTTGAATCACTCTATCTTTTAAAAAAAAACCCTTCAAAATCCGTTGCGTAGTTTTAAGGATTTAAGCATACATAGGGACAGACAGCGAGAGCGACCTTGTTTTATACTATGTAATGATAATGATTCAATAGTTTACATTACTATATATAATATAAAATAATATTATTTTTTTAAATTTGGTTAGTTTTGTATGACGTCACAGTCTATATCAAAAAAAATATTAAAGTTAAAACTTAGATGAAGAAATATTGCAATTTTAATTGCAACTATGCTGCAATTGTACAGTGTTTTCTATTTTCAACTAATATTATCATGGAACAAACTATTTTTTATAAAGGAATAAAAAAAGAATGAAAATCGTAGCTGTTCTTTGATTTGTTTTAGTTTGTTATTTTTATATATCAAAATTCAATTCAGAAAGTGTGTGCAAGATAAATATTATAAATAATAATATAAAACATACACAACATATGCCTAATTTAATAATGTATTTAAGTAAAATTTTCACATTGCTAACCTATTCAATACCAATTTTCATGATATAAATATCATATTATATTATAAGCATCTGTGACTGTAAACTTTATGGAATATAATAAATTTTGAGTATTGATATCAATCATGACTGTTGCATTTAATTCACGATAAAATCTATGTATATAAGTTTTAAGAAATGTACAAAATATTTTTCATGAGGTCAATTTGCCAAACTTAAAAGTAGGGGAAATTTAAACTGATATCATAGAGATTACACAAATTAAACGATACACAAAAACCACTATAATTATTAATTTATTTTTTCCATTATTAAAGTCAAGTTTTTTTTTTATAGGAATTAGGAACATGGTCGTTGAAATTGTCTGAGAATCTTATCAGAATCAAGGGACGTCAGCTGCCCGCCGAAAATATTATTCAAGGACGGGAAGCTAAATACCCTGCTGGAGATACCACTGATGGCTGGACGCGCGATATGCGGTTAGTAATACACATACTGAAAATAATAGGCCCTATAGAGACTGCCGAAAAATGCTTTTCAGGTTATAATATATAATACATACATTTTAATTATTTAATATTTTAAGAAAGATATTAATTACATAAATGTTCTCGGCTCCATCATGAAAGTATAGAAGTAGATTGATTTTTAAGTTTATTTTTAGTGTCACTTCTTAAATTAGCTGTATAATACAGATCGAAACATCTGCTGTCACTTGCACAAGTACCATATTGGGTCGTGCTTTCGCCGGATAGACTACGACGTGAAGCCGAATCCTTTGCAGAGCTCATCATGAAAACCGGCGGCGGCGTAGGATTCCGCTTGCCCCAACCAGAATATGGTAATTATAAAATATACAAACTAACTATATTTATTTAACATAATTTCAAAAATAAAAAAAAATGAAACTAAGTTATTTGGACATGAGTTAAATTCGGCGTCGCTGAATAGTGTATGTTAGTGATGGTACCCCAGTCTCGCATGTTTCAATCGTTAATCAGTATGCTTTTCAAACTGTATTTCGGATTAAGGCATGTCTTCTTAGTCTTCCGGAATGACAATGTATGAGCACTATAACGCCATGTCTTATTGCTATTTATGTGTATTTGAGACGGTTACCACTTCCCATCAGGTACCTAGATAGCCATTCAAATGTTTGCCATTCAAATTAGTTAAAAAAGAAAGTCATACAGTTGAAGCAATTTCGAAGTGGGTCCTTTTCAACTTCCATATACATCACAGACAATGGGCCTAATAATTTTATTTGGCTTGTAGTAATTACATACAAATATATGCAACAACTTGGTAAAATTTTGCATCTCTTCAAGGGGATTCTGACTGCGGAACGCCATCCCAGGCTAGGGCTAACCTATCTTCCTGTCCTTTGTGCCCATCATCCCGAACAAAGGAATATCTAAAAATTCATTGAAAGGAAAGAAGAAGTCATTTAGTGGCAGAATTCATCAAAATCTTATTTTTATTTCAGTTGGCATCGCACGTGACGGGCACATGGATTACGCCAATATGTTGGAGAATGTAATTGCAAGAAAAAATCCAGCACTTATCTTATGTGTTCTTGGACGTAATTTTGCTGACAGGTTATTATAAAAAAAAAATACTTAATACTTAGTGGAAACGAAGTTAAATTATGTAATATTTCTTAATTTCTGCCTATTTAGATATGAAGCCATCAAGAAGAAGTGCACAGTAGACCGCGCCGTGCCTACACAGGTTGTGTGCGCACGCAACATGACCAGCAAGTCTGCCATGTCTATAGCTACGAAAATTGCCATTCAAATTAATTGCAAAGTAAGTAATGGCTTTTTATTTCAAGAGCCAGTAGTTGCAGTTTAAAGCAGTAATGACAGTACATAGTCTTTTACTGATATTTGCTCCATTTTTTATGTGCGAAATTAAAATATAGTTAGTATTATTATTTCAAATTCGTCTACCATTCTATTGAGTGTACTTATATGATCTTACTATTTTACGATCATACTAAATCTTGAGATACTATTTTTTCTATTAACACTTGAGAATTTTTTTTATTAACAGTTGAGAATTCGCGTGGCAAATCGAAGTTATAATTATGAACTTTGATGAATTTACTTTGTTGCAACATAATATACAAAATTTTTCCATTTGTATATTTATGTGCAGCTTGGCGGGGCACCATGGACAGTATCAATTCCATTGAAAACATTAATGGTGATCGGCTATGATGTATGCCATGACACTCGTAGCAAGGAGAAGAGTTTCGGAGCCTTTGTAGCAACACTGAACCAACCAATGTCGCAGTATTATTCAATGGTGAATGCACACACCTCCGGTGAAGAACTTAGTGCCCATATGGGATTCAATATCGCCTCAGCAATACGAAAATACCGAGAGAGAAATGGTAAGTTTCCAATTTTAATAATATTGTAATCACTTTTGAATAGTCACAGCTTCTATCCAGCATTGTATACTTATGTTTTTGTCGATTTCATCTGCAATAATACAATAATACCAAGCTCCATTCAGTTTTGATGGCGCTCAATAAAATGTAAAATATACCGGTGTGTAATATTTAATTTCAAAAATACAGGTGTCCTGCCAAACCCCATATTTGTATACCGTGATGGTGTTGGCGATGGTCAAATACCATATGTCCTCAGCCATGAGGTAAACCTTTTTAATAAGTTTTAATATTTTATTACATGTTAATTTCAACCGTTTTGCATCCCCAAATGAATGTTGAATATGTATGATTTTTTCATTATTATTGCATTTTTAAAGTCTATTCAGATTAATGTTTTTTTAAGTGTGATCATTATATTTTTATTTTTCATCAAACATTGTAGCTATCTAAAGTCTAAATTAAAAAATAAGGATTCTTCATTTGATTTAGCCGATATTAATGTTTTATTTAACTTCATAATGAAATCTTTATCGTAACAGGTAGCTGAAATCAAGAAAAAGTTGAATGAGATTTATGCCGGCGCCGAATATAAACTGGCATTCATTATTGTGTCGAAACGCATTAATACAAGGATATTTGTAGACCGCGGCCGAGGCGGCGAAAATCCGCGCCCCGGCACAGTCATTGATGATGTCGTTACATTGCCAGAAAGGTAAGCTTCCAGCTTAATCCTAATAAATGGTATTATGGTATTATCCTAATATATAGTATATAATTGGTACTCGTTATATGATATAACGAGTACCAATTATATACTATTTAGTTTAGGGAAAGTTGGAGTCGTGTTGTTATCAACAACTAAAGAGATTGATGGAAGATCTTGGAAATTGACAAGAGCTCCATCGACAAGAGTGCAGCTCTTAAAATAAAAATTAATGAATGAGACATTTTTACATAATCTTTTTAAACAACTAAACAGGGAATGAGAAAATTAAACATACAAATTATGTGTCGAAATAACATGTGTCTAAATACATTCACTATTTTAACATGTTTTCTACAATGACACCCTCTAGTGGTGTTGGATACTACCGGAAAAGCATAGCATAGATAATTTCTCATTCCTATTTCAGATATGATTTTTATCTCGTGTCACAAAATGTACGTGAAGGCACTATAGCACCAACATCATACAATGTGATTGAGGACACAACAGGTCTTTCCCCTGATCGTGTAAGTAATTTATTAACATAACACCTTCAATGTCGGCCACAGTGGTCTAGCTATTTAGCACACCCTCTTAAATGCAATGGTTGCAGGTTCAATTCCTTGCACAGTGCAATTTGTATTAATGAGTATTATTGTCTGTGTCTGTCTGAATATTTACAATATACATTATGTATGTATTTACAATAAATGTTTTAGTACTTATATCAGTTGTGAACTACCCACAACACAAGCTTTGCTTAGCTTGGGAGTATATGGCACTGTGTGGATTGTCCTTATAATAATAATTATTATTTATTATTTTATTTTTGTATTGTGTGATCATAATAATAAAACTACTGAGTAATATACAATGGCTTCAGGGGTTTTGTTCGTTTTGTCATAGTTTGGTTTATTTCGCACAAAGTATACTATCAATTAAATTTCTAATATACTGTATGATTTTTTCCATTCGGTGAAAGTTAGGCCATAAATGTAGAAATACTATATATAGTTAAATTAGAATTTCCTCTCATATATGCCATGAGAGCCTATGCATTTTTTTCAGCCTGTGAACAAAGTCATTGGGTATATCTAATCCAATAATTATAATGCTCATAAAATCTTATAAATTGATTATTTTTGTTCACAAGGTAGTCGGACAATGCCAAATTTGAGATTTGTTTTAGATCTTCCATGAAGCATTATTACATTGTAATTAATGTTAATTTTAATTAATTATCACAGATGCAGCTGCTCACGTACAAGTTGACGCACTTGTACTTCAATTGCTCCACACAGGTCCGTGTGCCATCCGTGTGTCAATATGCACACAAGCTCGCATTCCTCGCTGCAAATAGTTTGCACAACCAGCCTCATCACTCACTCAGCGAGACCTTATATTTTCTCTAAATTGTTGTTTTTTTTTAAATTATATTTCTTTTGTTATAAAATTACAGCTACACTCAATTAGGTAACGTAATTATTAGTTGCCTTTGATAAATATTGAGTAGTACTGACATTGTTGATTAGCTATAGGTCGTCCATTTGACTTTACTTTATGCTTAGTATACCAGATTGTACCTCATTTAAATGTATTTTTAGTTGCGCTGGTCCTTATAGTTCTACTATAAGGGACGAATTATTGTTTTCGGACTTTATGAAGTCAATCGGACCGATTTCGGAATGCCGTTCCCATAATCTCTTATTTAGGTACTTAAAGAAATTCAAGAATAACATTTCAAAATTGGTCCCAGCATACGACTAAGTGAAAATGTGTGATAACTGCTGTGTATTCCTTTTGTTAATTAATTTCAATTTATGTTCCGTGATATTGTATAAAATAAGAATGTTTGTGTAGGAAGACTGGTTAATTATTATAGGCATTTATAAGTACTGAGTTTAAATATAAAGATCTGAGACCAAAACATTTAGTATGTTACCAGTAATCCTACTTTATTTACCATTTATGTTTTATTACAGATGTACTCAATATTTTGTGTTGATTGCCAAACAAGCATTCCATATTTCTTAGATTTTATTCATGTAGACATTCTCAAGTCTTAATTACAAAGACAGTTATGTCACTTTTGATCTGACTGTGAGTTAAAATACAAAATATTTGTATTTTATTATGAATACTATAAGTGTTTAGATTAAAAATTGCCAAATGAAACTTGGCTATTCTAGTGTAAGTTTTTTACTGTGGTGCTTCATATCACCGTGGGTATAAAAAATTGTGATGTTCAAGAAAACGAAGACGGCATCTTAGCCATAGACATTTCTTTCTATATGAGAGGGTGGTTGAATTTATAATGAAAAAGAATTTATTGTATGGGTATACAAATGGGCCTACTATTTCGATTTTTTAAAACAACCTCCCTCTTAAGTTCCGCCATACTATACTTATTATAACTACATATTAAAGTAATTAAAAACAAACTTGCATAAGTTTTTTTTTATTCCATGCCTGCAAAAAAATCTATAAATGTTAATGTACTTCACAATGGTTGCTTTCATAATTTTCAATTAAACTGCATATCATTTATGTTTATAATAAGAAACCAAAACGTACCAAACCAAGCATTTGTTATTATTACATTAATAAACATGGTAGGGCATCCATTCCATGCAATTCTTACTATTACATAAACATTTGCTTCGGTTTATATTTTCTGAAATATTATCATTATTGAAAGATCCATAATCAAAAGTTATTTCTGTATTGGGTAATATATCTGAGCAGGTGAATATAGCAAGTTTTGGTATAGGTGTGTTTACTCTTACTGGTATTATACAGCAATTGGGTTCACAACTATGATTAATGTATCTACCAATGTTTCCAAATTTACTAGGATCTACAAACCACTGAAGTAAATTGCCCGCACTGTGTTCTTGTAGACACAGTATATAATTCATTTTATTTTGTGCTGCATTCATTTGATGTCTCATAATGGCTTCCGATTTTGTTATTACTTCACCTGCATATTCACAGACAAACATTCCTTTAGGTAAGTGACATTCTGAGAAAAGTCCCAACCCTTTGGCCTCGTCTTGACATTTTTTAATATTTAAACCTTCAATGGGCCCTTTTTGGACAACACGGTTACCACATTCATTTGAACATGAACAGAGATCATTACATTCTATAATAATATTGGAGGAAAGCTCTCCATTATCTAAATTCAATACCGACATATGCTTATTTTTAATGTATGGTACATAATTAGTAGTCTTTAACTTTTCAAGGCATCTGCATTCATTTTTTAAACAAGACTGCTGACACAGACAATGGTCAGTTAATTGAGAGTTGAAGTTATTGATTATCTCGTCATACTCTTGACTTGATTCCTTGGGACCTGGAATGCTTTCGATGACGTAAATTATGTTATTATTTTCGTGTGTATAATTATCAATCATCGAAGTTTATTTTCCTGATTATCTGGACTGTTGTGTAGTTTCTACAAAAGAGAATAGATATCAGAATATGTAAATATAATTTCACGACTGCGTCTGTGTTATGGTGAATTCAACGCATGACCTCCCAATTTCGTGAGTTTCGATGTTTCCGTCTGCGGAGAGTAAATCAGAAATAAAAATTAACATTGCTCCTACACAATAATGACATGGCTAATGGTCTTAGAGTTCAAATCTCGACCTGTCGATCTTATCTTGTCATATCTATTTGGTAACTAAATATGCATATAACAAGTCTTTCATAATATACGAAGTCAGTTGATTTCTGCTTAATATGTCGAAGGAGTATAAGAACTAAAAAGGTATCTTTATTCATATTTTATATTAATATAAATACGAGTCTATCTTTTACTTATCATGACTAAATTGCTGATCAAATATTAATTAAATGTAATGTTAAGATGAATAAAATAATCTGGAAAGGGCTGAAATAGTGGTTGTAAGTTCGTATGGACGATTAGTTATTTTGCAAGTATAAATAAGTATATGAAGGCCTAAAAACTAATCATATAAAATGGGTTACTTCGTACCTATTCTAAGCAAACAGAACCGCGGGCATATAATTAAAAAAATCACAATAATATTAGCAATTTTTGTGTAACACCTAGAACAATAATATAAGCGGTATAATGTGCAAATGTAACCATCAAGCGACATAATGGTAAATGTCAATTATATACAATTACAAAGCATACATTAGACAGTTTGTGTTTTCAGTCTTCAAATACTTCTCTGGTTAGTGTGTGCAAGTTTTAAATTTTTTTTTTCTTTATGGCTTGGCACTTCTGTGCATTTGCCAATATACAAAATTTGGGAAACAATTGTTCAGGTAAAGAAAATTTTGGACGATAGGTTTAAAACTTACCTGATAAGTTGACAATAGGATTAATTATAAGGATTAAACTAAGGTAATACATATTAATTATATACAATATGTCATTATACTTATATAAGACCTTAATATATTAACAGACAATTAATTTATTTATATACAGGCAGGTATTTTTATATTATTACTACTTAGAAAAATCAAAATACTTTTATACACATCAATATCATTAAGATATAATAAGATTGGAATTGATGTAGGTAAAGGAATTCGGTGAGATAGATCATTAAAAAGGTAAGAATGATCATACAGAGGACAATTTAAAATAATATGGTTCAAGTCATCCACTTCTGTACCACAGCTACATAAATCATTATCCACAATTTTTAGCTTAGCTAGATGTGCAGGAGAGCATACATGCCCCAATCTTATTCTAATTATTGAGGTAGTCACGCTTTTGTTCAAATTAATTTTAAAGAACCAAGGTTTAAACTGGATAGTTGGTTGAATGTTAAAATAATGTCGTGCCTTATTCTGACAGCTATTAGGCCAAAATTCACTTCAAGCATTATGTAGATATAATCCTGGGAGAGCAGCCAGATCTTGACAATCATTTTTATATGGAACAATATCATCGCACCCAATTGCCTCGTTCGCTAAGCGATCTGCTATCTCTTTCCCATGTATACCAGTATGTCCTGGAATCCACGTAAACGAGACAGAGAACCCCTCGAGTTACATAACTGCAGCAATTTTCTGATTTCTATAATAATAGGATAATTAATATTTGATTTAAATGGAAATTTTTGAAGAGCTAACTGTATACTTCTGGAATCAGTACACACTATTGTTTGCTGAAGTTTCGTAATTAATATATATTCGAGAGCTTTGTAAATACCAAAACATTCACCAGCAAATACAGATGTTTCAGGAGGAAGTTTTAATTTTTGGACTAGCTTATATTTTGAATGGTAAACTCCGAACCCAACACATCCAGTTGGATGATGTTTAGATGCATCCCAAAAAATTCGGTGCCAATTCCGCCATTTCTTGTCTACAGTTGAGTTAAATTCTATATTTGAGTCGTGATTTTTATGAATATTAAGGTCAAAAATTATACTTGGTTCAAGAATTAATGATTCATAATTCGTACAGAATATAGATGCATTCAAATAATTTCTTATCTCTTAATAATTTCCGGGTGGTTCTGGATATATTACAGAAGACATCAAAGTTTTCCAATGTAGAGTGTAAATTGTATTGTTTTTCAGCATTTTTTCTTTTCCTAATAGCTTCAGTACATTCACTGTCTCACCATGGTGGTGAAGGTATTATATTCTTAGAAGAAGATTTTTTAGGAAAAACTTCATTAGCAGCCTCTATTAATACTTCAGTGAAAGCATTAGAGCAAATGGTTTCACTGCCTTGAGTAATAATAGGCAGTGATGAGATTATAGATGTAATGACGTTATTGAAAGTATCCCAATCAGCATTATTTAGCTTATATTTCATCCTTGGTTCATATTTTGGTAGTGGTTTATCAATAAAAGGTAAAGAAATAATAAGAGGGAAATGATCACTTCCAAATGACAGTGACAAGGGGCACCAAGTAAGGGATGAGGCAAGAGTAGATGAACAGATGGAAAGATGAGGAACACTATTTCCTTCATTAGGTGGAGTACGACATGTAAGTTGGCCAGTATTTAATACACACAGGTTAAGGGTATCTAATATTTCTAAAACCTGGTGGCCATATGAATTGTTTGTTGTACTACCCCAGGACTGATATTGTGAATTTAAATTCACAATATCAGTCCTGGGGTCTCCTAGTATTGATAAAGGTTTGGGAAGGGCAGTAAGAATATTATTAAGTTCATTAAAAATAGAATTTGCAGGATGAGGTATAAAGATACATAACAAATGTTGTTAACTTGGACAGCTAATATGGAAAAATTACTGCTATGATTAATAGGTGTATGTGAATAAGGAACTAAATGTCGGACAAATATAGCGACACCACCATACCCATCTGTCCTATCTTCTCAGAGACAAGCATAACCTGGTACCTTAAAAGTAGATATGGGTTTCAGCCATGTCTCCTGAAGGGCACAAATAAAAGGTTTATTTTTATTTAAAATATGAAATAATTCACTTTTTTTACTACGACAGTTTCACTGGAGAACTTTGGCTAATGGGGCCATTGTTGTTGAGGATTTGAAGAAGAGCACTAAATAAAGAAGCAGCTTTGGACGGTACAATAGAATTAGACTCGGTCAGCAATTTAATTAAAGCCATGATTAATTCTGAAAATTGATTTGGTGAATTCTGATCAGCTACAGATTTATAACCGCATCCATCTGCAGGAGTAGGAGGATTATAATCTTTTATTAATTGCTTATGCATGTTTACATCATAACCATGTGATAATTTTGGAGGTTGATGGGATTTTTGTACAATGATTTTTTTATATGACCAACTGATTATATTAGAAGAAAGAGTATTTGTGGTTTAGTATTATTTAAATGTTCCGCAGTTATTATAGAAGAATTAGTTTTAACTGTGTCAGCATACGATTTTATTACAGGACCATGCAATTTACTGGCTTCTGCATAAGATATACAGCTTTTAGCCATAGTTTCTTTTATTGCTTTTTGTCTCCATAGTTCCGGGCAGTTTTTACTTTTACATCAAGCTAATGATGATCTCCAGGACATAGACAGCAGCAGAAGTCTTCTTGCTGCGTACAGTTTTCACCTGAATGTCCTTTACCACATTTCTAGCATTGTGTTGTAGAATGGCATTGATCCTTAACATGACCATATCAACAACAGTTATAACATTGTATTGTTGGATATATGTAAATGTCTACAGGTAATGAGTTGTAACACATAAATACATGTTTAGGAAGTATTTGACCATCAAAAGTTATAATAACAGTTTCTGTGTCAACAAATATGGATTCACCATTAATAATATTCTTACGTCTAATCCTATATTTCTCCACAGCCAAGTGGGACAGAAATATTACTTATTACCTCTTCAGGGGACCAGTTTGAGGGAACACCCTTAATTATTCCTATTCTAGTAAGATTAAAAGAGGGGACAAATGCTTTATAGTTCTGTTGTTTTAAACATTCACAGTCAATGAAGGAATTGGCATCAATAAAATTAGAGAATGACAAAGCTAGTCTATTCCTACCAATTTTTTCAAACTACCATTAATAACATTTTTATAAGTACAATTTTTTAAGAGGCGACCAAAGGCAATTGGATGTATAATAATTCTGTCATCCGGCGAAGACTGCTCCTTTTGGATATGGACTACATAAGGGGTAGCATCACCTGATTGATAATATAGCCTAGCTACTGATGTTCGTAACTGACTTGAACCAGCATTATCCATTTTATCCTCATTATTTGCACATGTCACAGGAGGTTGCTCAACCTTATTCTGATTATCCTCTTTATTTGTACATGTATTAGAAGAAGGTTGATCACCTTCATTAACAACAGCTCATTGACAAGTGTTCTCTTAGTTTTTAGAGTTTCCTTTAGAACCGCGATTTCTTCTTCGCTTTTTATTACAGTGTTTACACACATTAGTAGCAGATATACCTACGTTTTCGTTTAACTTTCAAATTCTCCACTAGGGTAAAAGAGCAATCAGTGTCCATGGAGTCATTTTCATTATTGCTAATAGTTAAGTGGGGCCTCCACCTGAGGGCCTGTGCCCCCAGGATCCTCAGAAGGGTCTATATATAAATTAAATAAATAATTATGACTTACCTATGTTACAGCTACTATAATTACACTAATAAACAAATAAAATATACATAAAAGAGTGAAAATATCTACAATATCTAACTTAACTGATCACTGTTAAATTTTTATTTAATTCTTATCAAAAACCACCACCACCAAATTCTATGTTTCCCGCCTTTTTTCTTTAAAATTTTTAAATAGACTTTAATTAAACACAGTATAATAAAGTACTCTGTGCTAAATTTCATCAGCAGAGTTTAATTATTTGACTATTTCTGACATACCGAAATAAATGTCATTTATAGAAAACTGCAAATCTACTCATAATACGAAGGCAAGGTATTAGTATTTTCTTTTTATAATAATTTTATTTACTTTGTGGCTCTGGGTGTCAGTCCTTTTGAGAGAGTCCATTCGAAGTTCTTTCATTGACGCATGAGTGTTACCACTTTCACTTGCGTTACCCCAATAACGTAAGCCACGTTCTTAGATAATTTTACTTACATTGTCATACGCAAGAATATTAGAATATTTAATATTATAGAATACATCATTCAAAGGACTTAAGCATACAGAACTGTTGAATTGTTCAGTGATACTTCAAAATTCGCATCATATTGGTTAAAAGTTTATTAACTATCACAGAATATGTGTTATTGTAAATAAAAAATATTTGGTATCATTCTAAATAAAAAAATAAATAGATCAAATCCTTAATGTTCTGGAATAGCTGTTCATAAGGTGTATCACAGGTGTCACATGTTAATGTAATATCCAGCTGTTTATGTACATAGACGATACGATGGTCACTACTTACCATCAGGTGGGTCATCAGCTTGTTTGGCCAATCTAATTACATATAATACATCATATTTATCTGTTACATGTGTTATAAGACTATCGTTATAGTTAACTATAAAAGCCTTTTAACTGTAATTGTTACTGTATTTAATATGTAAAGATAAACATGGTATGAAATAAAGCAACGCAACACATTTTATTAGTTTTCAGTTATGAAAATAGAGATATTCAAAAGGAAGGTATTATAGTACTGAAAAACGAAGAAATTCAAATGTTGCATTATCTATAAACTATTCAGAAATGATGATAAAAATTAAGCTGTTAGTGTGTACCTATGCTTTTTGTTGTTCTGAAGTAAGTGATAGGCTTACATCACTAAGACCAAAATGTTTTTAGGTAAAAAACTAATGCTTTTTTTATAACACCTTTTTCCATCAATAGGCTGCTTTTCTGTAAAACTGCAAGCTCTTCTTTTTTTAAATATTAAAGTTTGTACAAAGTATCAATTTTGTTGATTTCTCAGAAGTATTGTTATTTGATGAGGGTATACATAAAAAAAACTTTTTATTAATGTCGATTCCAGGATTTGACTTTAATAATAAAAAATTAACATGTTTTTATTACAAGTCCTATTTTATGCCCTCTGCCTCTTTCATGTTTCTGCTGAAGGCACTGGTAGGGAGAGCAGAATTACATAGAACAAATACATTTTTAGAATTATTCTGATGTACATTTTACACTGTCTATTAATAAGTTTTCGATTACTTGTTTTGTATTTATTAAATCAGTTAATACTATTCCTTTATCCTCCTTACCATATTTTTCGAAATGTTTATCGACATGGTTTGAAATAAGCTGGTAACACTGGTAGTGAGCGATTGATCATCTTATTCACTCTATAGTTCTGTAAAGACAGAGATACCTACAGACACAGTCCCACAGTTCCTTCCTATACATACATACCTACATCCGCGCCGCCGACAGGCGCAGTCGTGACGTGACGTAATTGTCCATTCATACTTTTTGTTCATTAATGAAAAGAACCTTTCAAATATTTTATTGATGGTACATTATTTACACATGATATCCGAATTATTGTGTTTTATTTATAATAATGAATAGTGTAGACTATTGTTTTGTTTTATTGTGAATCAAGATTGTGTGTTTGGAATAAAAGTGCATTCATTCATTTATAGTAAAGTGCATGTATTGAGCACATGCGCATTGCATTCGTGAATTTGGTCGATTAAGCGAGTGTTCTATGTATTGAGAACATTACAAAAATGTGGACACCAATGGATTTTGTGTATATTCTTACTGGATCTCAACTTCTAAGTCAACTGGTTCAAAACAGGCTCAAGTAGAACATTACGACACTCCGGAAGTGGCGGGACAAGCCAGCCGGCCGAGCTCGATCCGAAAGAGATAACAACGGATGAAAGAGATAAATAGTAATGGATTTAACATGGCGGACGATACGCGTAAAGTGCGAGTCGAAGAAAGATTAAAAATAAAGATCGGTAAGTAATATTTAATAATTCTTCCCCCATAAAACACCTGTCAATTTTGTTTTTAGAATGATCTTTTTATTATTTCAATTTAATTTACATTCATATATCGTTGCACACGATCTGTTGTCACTGTGGTGAACAGGTGGTAAAAGAACTAGGTTTTTAATCGTAATGTGAATGACCACCACTGTAAAATTCATCTTTGTCTAAGGTTTACATCCTGATTATAAACCAAATGTGATTAATGGCAAGATATTGAAATGTCTGATCTTCCTTGGAATAGTAGCTCTTTGTATTCTTCGTTGCCTGTTTTGACAACTCGCGCAGTTTATGAATGAAAATGAATTGCCATGAATACAATGAATCTTGTGTTTATATCGTAGATTAGATATCTACGTTTTTTATGTGGTAATTACACTTCTAGACATTTGTTTACTGCATCAATGGCAATCCAATAAATATTCTGTTAGAAAAAAAATCTCGTACATTGCTAATATAACCTCACATATTTCTCACAATAATATATTTAGTTCGAAAAATTTTGCTCGTATTGTATTTTAATACAAGATGAAACAATTGTTTTCTAAATAATGTGTGTCTGTATTAAGTTGTAGGTCTGACAGTCTGCATTCACTCATAATATGTAATAAATTGTTTTTCTTCTTTGAATTTCATACACCATCCTAGTTTTCACATAATGTATACATTTATATTATATTTTAGATAATAAGTTTAATAATTAAGTAGATTGTATTGTATTGCTATTGCTTTACTTTATTTTGTGCGTCTTCTAAGTACTCAATATATGGCAATTCATGGATTAACCATTATGGTGCATGATTAAAGAAAATTTATATTTGAGAGTTAATCTAGTTTTTTTCTTTAGACTTATTAATATTATTTCTAGACATTTTTTACTTTCCTGGTTCTTTGTAATCCCTTCTAATATTGTTTGGGCAAATCAGGTTCTAACTAACATTTCTTATTTGTCTATTGTCGCCAATTTTCTCATTTTATTTTAACTTTTAAAGTAATAATTTTGTTACTACTTATTACTATTCCATTTAAATTGAGTTTCTATTTAAATATTAGTGACTTAGATAAATTTTGAATATCTTTAAATAGGAATGATTCTCTTATAAAATTATTAACATGAAATGTTTGCTCTGGTTTTCTATAATAGAATAACTACCATGCACAGTTTGTCTAAATTACCTTTTGATTGTGTTTAGTACTAATATATATTGGAGCATCAGTATTATGTTAGGAGTAAATGCTTTATATAACAGTAGACACTGCACCTGTTTCTTTACACAGTTCCCTTGTGTCTCAAATATTCATGTCCATCATAAATTCATCATTGTTTGCATAATAGGATTTAAATGATATTCTAATGTACTGAAAATGTATACTTTACACATTTTGTCAGCAATAGCATTTACATGAAACAAAATTGTTTCCTTATTGAATAATAAAATATTTAATGTTAACACAATTATGCATTCTGTGAGCTGAATAGATATATATATTACATTTACACCTAAAATTAGCTGGAATTTTACATTAACTTTATTAATCCAATATTAATATATTACTCACCTTGGACAATACTGGCTTAACTAAAAAATTAAAAACTTTGGAAACTCTACTCTGATGTTTCGTAGAGTCTAAATTAAAAAAAAACAATTTTTTTATTGAATCTGGTATCCTGGGTATGTGATATGTAAAAAATTGTATACTGGTATAAAAGGGTGTTCTTAGACATTTCAGCTATTTTATTATATTTAACTATTCCCCCTAGTGGTACTCAAGTGTGACTATACAAACTACAATACTGGTACTTTATAATAAATATTACTTTTAGCATCTATTTTACTTTTCTATACACAAAATTTTAATCTGGAATCTATAAACGATAATTAAATAACCAGAGTAGTATTTTGATCACTCTCGCACCTAATTCAGTTGCCTGTATTTTGATTGGTATGATGATGTATGTAGTGAAATTACAGAATATGGAAGCATGCAATCTTAACATTTTGAGAATAGTAATGTATGAGTTATATCTCACTGTTACTATACATTTTGTGATATTTGTAATGTACATATGTATATAGATGGACATTTGTTACTACCAATGGTTGTCAGCTCGTGAAATAGACACAAAAAACAGAAACTTTGTTACCATGTAGTTACAGTTAAATCCTTCACAAACATAGTATTTAAAATCTGCACAAGTTTTTCTTCACCATAGAGTTTTATGGTCAATATAGTTGCCAGTTACTTGTACCGTCTATTTTATCGGCTGTACATATAGATGATTGATTAAACTGTATGACAACTTGGATACATAAATCTATATCGATAAAACGAAGTATGTCTGTCGCGATAACAGTGTACCACGTCTTCCGGAGCGCGACCCGCGACCCTTCGCCTCTGCCGACTGCTCTCATCGGCGCTATCGTCAAATAATATTACATATTATGCTCTACTAAAATAACTGCAAACTTTCTGCTGATATTGTATTCGATTTTCTATTTATTGTGTTTTAACACTAAATAATCATTAAGTATCTGTCTGGGAATCTCCAAAACCGCGGGCCAACAGGCTGGTAAAAAAGAGTGATTTTTGGATTTTTGTTGCTTCCGCCTTTTCCTTTGTCGTAATGATAATTAAATAAAATGAAGAATATGTAGGAATAGTATTTTAAAACCCTTTCTGATATAATTTTGAAATTGCGATTTAGAACTAATATAAAGGCTTGAAAAAACTAACCACCTCTCTGTCTTTAATTTTAATAATAGACTTAGCAGTTTATAGAAAAATTCACTTTTTCTTTGAAAATAATTTTAGTGATTTATGCTCTATTTGAATGGAATTGTAATTAATAATATTATATTATAATTAATATAATAGCAAACGGCATACCTTATGGGATGTGGTAACCGTGAATTGTAGATATAAACAACAATATATATATCATAAAATTTATTGTAACTACTGTATAATGAACATATTTTCCTGATTGGAATATAATTTATTTTAGTAATAATTATCAATTAAAATTCCATTCTGTATTCATGTATAAATTTATATTATATTATTTGACGTATAATTTTATTTAAATAACATTTATTAAGTCTAATATATAGTGTAATCATAGTATAGCCAGATTTCGTCTCAATATAGTAACCATATTTTCTACTAATAAAATTCATCATATGCTATGTGAAACTATGTATATATTTTAGAAATCTTTTGTAAATCTATTCAATAATTAGTAGAATTGTGTTAAGCACTGGTAGGTTCGTAGTATTATAGTAGGTAATAAATTTACTTTACCAAATGAAATTTGCACAGTATTTGTATCCTATCTGTGTAGTAATGACGGATAAGAATAGGAAATTCTTCCTATTTTGAATGTAGACCTTTGACTGTAGAATAAATGCAGTTTCTAATGTAAATTACGTTCTCATTTATACTACTACTATTATAAAGAGAAAGATAAGAAATGAGTAATAAGAATATGAGAAAAGTAAACTCTTGTTTTTAGGGTATACTCTTATGGAGTAGCTTAGGCTATATTGTATATATTAGCATAATGTAACACTAACAAAGTGACACTAACGGTTATTGGTAAAGTTAAACAAAATCCGGTAATATATTACTATATCTGCTAGGCCTCGCAAAGGGTTCGTTCATTATTTCGAGGAACTTATATTATTTTCTGAAAATTTGGCAATCGAAAATAGGTGTAACGCAGGAACACTCCTTGTTATTCAGCGTCAGACTGGACTATTTTGGACTCCAAATAAAAGGAAAGTAGCAAATAATAAAGCGTGTATATTTGTAAGGATGATAATTATTTGCGTTGCATAGGTACTAGTAATTGCATCGACGGCGGCGCCGGTCGCGGCGTCGTGTCGATTGCGCCGCCTTTAAATGATTGCTCGCTTATGGTAACTTCCGTCGGCTAGGCCTTATCTAACTATAGCACACCTTTGTTCTTACCATCACTTAGTCAACATACCCAATCGGGTGCCCGCTAATTGATTATTACTCATTAGGCACTGTGACTAAAACAATACCTGTACCCGCTGATGTCCTGTGTCATTAATTTCATGAGGTTTACAGAAAACAAACACATTAGACTTGAGTGGCCTTTATCATAGCATAATGTCGTTATTCTGAAACCTATTCAAATTATTGTTTAATATTAACGTTACAGTAATATAGCTGCATCAGAATAACACACAGGTCATATTTTATATTGAAATTTAACGCGGGTGAAACCGCGGGCACCACTAGTTACTAGTAAAAGTACATTCAGATGTGTTTACATCATTTGCATATAATAAAGCTGCATCCTGCGGCGCTAACTACGTACTCTCTGATACCGTAGCTTTATAAAGGTGTAATTTTTTTTAATATTACTGGTATTAGAATATTCAAACAATAGTACACACAACATACAGGCAATTCGTGTTTATTTGTATTGTTCATTGTGTAAAGTTCTATAAATCTACGTTCCCAAGTATAAACTTATTCCAATTATTGTGAGAGTATTTTACTTACCGCCTTACTTCTGATTGCCGCGGGTGTGGTTCATCGCAGAGTAGAAATATTCGTATTCTTAAGTATAATTGTACTTATGTGAGTGTTTGCTATGTCTTGGGTTATTATTTTTTCAAATATCATATGAAGATACTGTAAATTTTTCACACAACCAGTCCTACCGTTTTCACGTGAAGAGTTAAAAAATAATATAATAATAAAAATATTTTACGGTACTTGGGTTCGGTACGCATAAACATTTCTATTTCTTAACAAGTATTTCATGTACAAGTTTGGATCGCGAATCGTGACCTTCAAAAATCAGCGAAAGTAACAATTTAGGTACCTATTATGTTTTCTTTGATACAGTGGCAGTATATAGACTGATAGGTATTCCATACGAGCTGTAAACGTTACGCAGAAATGGTACACGGTGTCTCATTATGAGTATGTAG